GAGCTATTTAGATTCATAAATTATATATTGTCTGCTTTGAGCTGTCTTTGTTACTAAAGCGTTGGTATAATTAGTGTTGTTATAATTTCTAGTTGATGACTAATGTTCTTTTTAGGTTGTTGAGCATTTAAATAATGGCTGTGGGGTCGTGATTTAGCACAGAGATGGGCAAGAATTTTGGATCAGGAGCTAAAAGTTTTGCCCATCTAGACTGGTTGGCCATGTAAGTGTGACGTAATAAGTTACATTTCATGAACAACATTTACAGTGTTACAAAAGCAAAGGCGGAAAACAATAAGCCTCGTGCCAAAACTAAATTCAATCGTAATCTCAACAAATCTTTGAGCTACTATTTAGCTAAAACATCAAAGTTCAGTTGTGGCATTATCAGGCGGGATAGATTGCATTACCCAGCGGGCCACATTTGGCTCGCGGGCTGTAGTTTTCCCATGTCAGGCTTATAATGTTTTTTGCTGGAGTCATGTGCATGGAGATTATCAAAATCTTCGCCGCCATAAGGTGAAATTATACAAATATTAGCTATATTAAATTATTCGATGTGCTTTTAAAAAAATTGTTCTTATATTAACTGTTATTGTGACATATTTATTTGCATATTTTAAACCTTTCAATCTGTACAAGAGGCAGAGTGCACATATTAGTATTTAATGACTCACTAAAGATTGATAAAACTGCGTAAACAAACTTTTCATATGTAGTCATATATAGTTAGTGAGGAAAAAAGAAATTGAAATAGTCGAAGGGATTAACATATCAAAAAAGGTTCAAACCGTCGCCCTAAAGCATTGGGAATTTTAGATACGGTATTTCACATTATGAATTTCAAAACATGTTTCCTCGTTATATAGTTCTATTGTATTATTATATCATAATGACGAGTTGGTCATCACATGACACTTCATGGATGACGGAAAATGAATCAGAAAAGTCACGCTAGGAGGCTAATTATAGAAGGATTATGTACTTTATTATAGTTAACATATAGCGCTTGACTGAGTAATAAGTCTGAAATGTTTATGTCTTTACATGCATGATCGGGTAATAAGTCTGAAATGTTTATGTCTTTACATGCATGATCGGGTAATAAGTCTGAATGTTTATGTCCTTTCATGCATGGTTGGATAATAAGTTTAAAATGTTTGTCTCTCCATGATTGACCAATGAATCTGATATGTTTACTTCCTTTCATGTAAGATTAGGTAATAAGTTTGAAACTGTTCCGTCTTTTCATGCATGATTGGGTAATAAGTATGAAACTGTTCCGTCTTTTCATGCATGATCGGGTAAAAAGTCTGAAACGAGCTATGTAACATTAAATACATATGGCTGAATAATTTATTAATAATTATGAATGGTTAGACTGACATATAGCATATATCATGGGTTACCAAAATCAAATGATTTATTATTCCAAAACCTTGAATATGGAATATTGAATGTATTCTAAAAGATTAGTATGCAAATTTATAAATACTGAAATAATTGCTCAGTTTTATGGTGTGAAGGAGAGCCACCGGGAACAAAATCTGGTTAATATTGAGCAGAGACGCTGATATTTGAAAATTAGAATTTCAGAATTTCGAAAAACACTGTTGTTAGCGGTAAGTACCGGATGGACATGAGAATAGTTTTTAGATACTACCGTTGTCAAATTTCATTATTGCTACTTGGATCAGTTATTCAGCAGCGACACCCAAGGTTCTGATATGAATATTTTTATTTTCTTTAAAAAACAAAACTAAAATATTAGGGCATTACTGATATGAGCATGTTTTATGACGTTGTAAAATCGTGACTCACTGTAATACCACGATAACCCCTTTCACACGAATAATCCCAATAATAACAAGACGGGTATTTTGTATTAATATTTGTATAAGAGACAAATTTGTAATCGTTATCTACGTGGTATTATCCCACTGTTGTCATTTTGTCTGGAGGAAGTTTATACAATACTTCCCAATGTACCGTAACTGTTGTTACGACAGAATTTTGTGATAATCCCAGGGAGAAGAAAGTACTAGTTTATTTGTAAAAGATTAATACATTGCAAAATATCTTTTTCCAACAATTTATTAGAAAGATAAATACCAAGAACAATAGTTTTGTGAAATTATCCGGACTTTGATCAGGAAACATTCAAATTATAGATTTTAACATTATCGATGTCACAGCATGATATGTCAGTATTGATCCAGTATCCATGGAATTTATTTTATTATAATCGACCGAATATGTTTCTTGGATAATATACAAGATAGCTTTTATGAGTGCAGAATTTTTTTGCGTGTTGCAACTTGCAAAGATGACTGGGCATTTCAAATCGGATAGCAAATTATTTGAATCGGTTCAGAGTGAATTTTGAGTTGTCGCTATCTTTTTTTTTCAAAATTAATGCAAGACAGTAACCTTATAAACTGACATTATTGCGCCAACAAGTAATTTGACATTATTTCGTGGAAAGACACTTCTCCAACGTTTTTGTATCTCTTGGAATGTCAGTGGTTTGTAGTCTGGCTGTTAAACATGTTGCAATCTTTGTCTCAGTCTTCTATGGTATTGACCCTTTCACCACAATTGGTGGAGTAATTCAGCACTAAAGGGTTAACGAAGCATGTTAACGAACCAAATGAAATTTAAACTCGGTCGTACATTTTTTTCGGTGCGCAGCAAGACTCCTAAATTATTTGAAATGTTTTTTTAGGAATTTAAAATTCATCTAAGTAAAAAAGATTTTGCTACACACTAAGAGAAATGTATTTCACAAATGTGATGTTTTGTATTATCAGAGTCAAGACTTCCTCAGACAAACATAATTCAATTATCATGGTGGTACGAACTGGTATATTGATTACCGTATTTTATGGATGACCATATTAAAAGCCTAATACCCTTTTTTTCTCAAAAATCGATTGTGTGCCTTGTAAGCCGGTGTGCCTGATGTATGAATCAGGTGCTTATTGTTGTACATTTGTGTTGATGTACAACACGACTCTTGAATTATTTTTGGCTATATTTTGGACTTCTGAATTTCTGAAAAACCTAGTATTTCATTGAATTTATTTTTTTACCGTTGAATAACTTGACCTGATTGTGGGAAAAATTAAATGTCATTCGCTTGTCTAGTTACTTGTTTGAAACAACCCATTAAAACATTTCATTATTAATACATCAGTCAAAGCATCATTTTAGGATACATGTCGAAATAGAAAATTTAAAGCAATTCCTAAAATATTGTGTCTTTCTACGTCTTAGATTTGGCGCTTCAGAAGTATGTGTACTCATATGGAGGTAACTAATTTTATTTGCTTATGTTACATCAAGTTGTGTAAAGTGACTGAAACCTATGGGTAGGGGGTATATTCACTTGGCTAACACAGACAGTCCCTGAATTCCTAATAGAAATAGAATAAGGAAAATTGGAATAAAAATAATAACCTGGTACACACACTACGGGAGTACCTCGGATTCTTCCTATGTATTGCCTAGTTTGGAGCAAGCAATTTGAAACCTATTATAGCATTTTAATTTGTTGTATGTATTTTGGTAATTCCTAATTTCGAGAACAATTTCATTGATTTTTATCAAAACAATGTTTTTGGTTATGCCGGTATTTCCAGTGTCGATGTTTTTGTTTACATTACGCCACTCCAAGCCTCCTTGTTAGTCATGTATGAATGAGCAATTCGACAATAGCACTTATCACCACTTGTCAACCTGTTTGGACGTCGAGTAAAATTCTGTTTCATTATTTAAGGGTGTCCTGATTTCCTAACGATATCTCAGATTACAAATTTCAGTTTCGCTGTTTGTTAACCAGTATTTGCGACCCCCCTCACACTGACACGCGGCTTTTACGTTGTCTTTTTATTGTTCGTACAAAGTGTATTTTTATGATGGTGAAAAAGGCAGAATTGGATGGCATAACCTGAAAGATATCTTTTTTTTCGGATAATAACCTCATACGTCATTAGATATCAGTGGCTAAGTTTATAAGGCCTTGCGGGAGATGTGGTTTACAGCTAAGATCTTATGCTTGACCCGAAATGTCGATCATTTTGTTCGGGTCGGGTCAGGCTTCTCTATCGCTGACTTTTTTAAATAAATATATGTTTATAAAAAATATATACTAAAACTATGAGAATTCAGAGAACTCCTAAATAAAATATGAATATTCCGGACTCGAGTCATGCCGGGCTGGAACCCGATCTTACCTCTAGTGTGGTTTCATGTCATATTAAAAACCTCGGCCTCTTGTCTGGTTACCAGTCCATGTCTTCGTTGTTGACTAGTTTTTTTGTTGTATGCGTGGACTTTACATTCGAAGTATTGTTCCTCAGATTTTGTCATTGTAATATGCATGTTTAGTAGTAAGTCCCAGAGAAGTCTCTCACCCACTATTTCACTCTCACCTAATGTGTAATAGATCGTATAGGAACCACGTCATGTCATTTTTCTTCAAATACAATTAACTACTTCTCTCTTTAATTTAATCAAGTGGTTTTCATGCTCAGTGGTTCGAGATGAGTGGCCGGAAAATCCCCATCACGATAATTTGTTTTGATTTATTTTGGCCTCGTTTCGTTTTATATGGTTTCTTTGTCTTATATTTTATTGTTTACTTGGAAATAGTACCTTGAGGTTTTGGAAATTGCTGAAGGACTAAAAATTTGAATTGTGAGAGAGATTAATTTAATTTTAAGGGCTGATAAATTTTGGGTGTATCAGGGCGTTGTGCACTGAACTGCAGGTCCTTTCTCCTTGTTTACTTCATTATGATAAATGATTATTTGCTGTTATATTGAGACATAATTTGTTTTGTCTGAAGAAGTTATGTTATAACAAAAGCTTGTTATTTTGTGGAAAGAGATCATGTTATTCCGTTTTACTAACATATTTTGTTAGCTTTTTCTATATTATATTAACTTTAGTAGCCCCACAAGAGTGTACTTGCCATGAGACTCGCCATGAAAATATTTTACTTATTTCTCAGTCTGTATATATAAAATAAACTAATTTACATTTGAGCTACGAACCAACAAAATAAAAACAAGAGAGAGAGATTCAAAAACTAGGCAATTTGTGACATCATTATGGGGAAGTGGATTATTTTGGTGGTTGCCATGGCAGCAACAGTGATGACGGCTACGGCACAAAATTCAACAAGCATGTTCGGAGATTTGCCAAAGGTTTGTTACTGTCTTTTTTTAATTACCAGCTATATAAGAATTTCAAGCAGCCACTGAGTTATTTTTATTTGAATGTAAATAATATTTGTTAGAAACAGGGCGTCCAGAACAAGTCAAATATTAGGATTGATTTAAAATTAAGTGTATTTAATAATTTATGGGCTATTTTAACGAAAGCTCAAACGCGGACAAGCCGTTACATTGAAATTCCTAATTCCGATTTTGAATCCCAATTTTTTCTAAATTTCGCGATTTTCCTGCCCCGTCTTTTTCGAGGGCTCGTTACATTGAAATTCCTAATTCCGATTTTGAATCCCAATTTTTTCTAAATTTCGCGATTTTCCTGCCCCGTCTTTTTCGAGGGCTATATGCAAAACCCCCATTTTTTAATCTTGAAAATGGGCTTCGTCTTATTCACCAGGAAATACAGTAATTGGGTAGTTTGAGCAATTAAGGTGTCTCACATAATATTCAAAGTCTTCATTAGGGCTGTCCAAAATCGAATATTTTTTTGATTCGAATCGAACCGAATATTTTTCTCGAATCGAACCGAATAATCGAATATATTTTTTTTTTATTATTATTTTTTTCAGTAAAATGATAAACAACTATTAATATATATATAAGAGTGCAATTATTTGTCATAGTAATAAATGGATGATACAAAGTATTGCCATTAGAAGAAATTACAAATTCTATTGAAAAAAGGTATTGGACCTCCAAAACGTGTTTTAGTCCTGTACCATGTTCCTATGATTACTAACTCAACAGCTACAAATCGATTCTTTACCGATAACTTTTCAGTTATGACCATGCATGAAATATATAATTACATGTCACCTGGCAATAAAAACCTTTTTACAGCAAAGAAAGCGATAGAAACATGTTTTTGCTTGCCTTGTGAAAACGTGGTGCTAAAGTGGTAGTGAGGCACATTTCGTACCAAAATTTAGCGATTCTTAAATTGGCAGAGAAACGCTTCAAATAATTTGTGATTCGATTCGATTTCTAATATTTGGTTCGCTTGGAAAGCCCTAGTCTTCATTCAATTTCTGCAAACTGTAATAAGAACGGAGACCAAACTTTACTTTATTTTAGAAAAGTGAGAGAACGCCTTGTTATAATACTATCTAAGAATCTGCCATATTAACGTCTTTCCTTACCCGTAATAAATAAAATTCCTTGCCAGGGCAATTACAACACATCTGATGTCGCGCCAGGAAGCAGTGGAAGCATGCAGGGACTGTTTGACATGGCTCAGGGATTCGTCAATGTTGTGTTCAGACCCTTCTCAGAGTTGGCAGGTAAGAATAGGCTGGAATGAGGCATTTGGGAACGACATTTTTTGATACGAGGTTTTATTATGCATTGTTTGCTCTAAAAATGCTCAGCCACTGCTATGTAAGAATTTTGGAAGAAACAGAATCCTTTTTTCGGCATTGCGATTCCAATCCATGGCGCTCCCGAAGTATTCGTACCAAGATGACGCACAACCTGAACCCTAACTTGGTACACATACTATGTTCAGGTTGTGTGCCATCTTGGTGCACATACTTCTGGAGGTCTCGGTTTATTACACCTTGGGCGAGCTTGTGGGCATGTGATTTGAACCTGGTATTTTAGCTGTGTTGTGTCATCATTTATCCCCTAAGCCACGACCGCCAGAATGTTGCAACTTTTCTCAGAGATGAGTTACCTTTAGGTCTGAGTGAGTGCCTGTAACTTTGCTCGGAGATGAGTCTCCTTTAGTTCTGAGTGAGTGCCTGTAACTTTGCTCAGAGATGAGTCTCCTTTACTTCTGAGTGAGTGCCTGTAACTTTGCTCAGAGATAAGTCCCCTTTAGTTCTGAGTGAGTGCCTGTAACTTTGCTCAGAGATGAGTCTCCTTTAGTTCTGAGTGAGTGCCTGTAACTTTGCTCAGAGATGAGTCCTCTTTAGTTCCTAGTGAGTGCCTGTAACTTTGCTCAGAGATGAGTCTCCTTTATGTCTGAGTGAGTGCCTGTAACTTTGCTCAGAGATGAGTCTCCTTTGCTTCTGAGTGAGTGCCCGTTACTTTTGCTCAGAGATGAGTCTTCTTTATTTTTGAGTGAGTGCCCGCAACTTTGCTCAGAGATGCGTCTCCTTTACTGTCGAGTGAGTGCCCGTAACGTTGCTCAGAGATGAGTCCCCTTTGCTTCTGATTGAGTGCCCATAACTTTGCTCAGAGATGAGTCTTTTCCAGTTCTTCTTTGTGAATGTTTTCCGTTTTTATTAATGCTTTTTCTGCTTATAAATATGGTAACTTAATTCTTGAAAATTCCTAAAAAAAAATTCTAAAATCTGACATAGCTTTGCTACTTGATATGTGGTGTCAAATATCGCGAACATGGAAAATTTTAATAACACACATATTCAGTATCCTGAATAATATCTTTTTTTAGTAAATCCGCTTGTTTTCGCTCATTTTATGAAATTCACTTAATTGTGTTTTTTACAGATTTCATCATAAAAGTCTTTGCTTCTGACAGTGGGGCGTTGGACTATCTGCAAGGAAATTGGCAAGATGTAAGTTCACTTATTGATAGTCTATGGCAGGGGTGGGCACAATTTTTTAGTATAAGAGCCGCATGCTACAAGTCAGAACTTTAAAAAAGCAGCAAAATTTGTGAATTTATTATTATTGAAATACCACGAACAGAAAAAAAATTCACACAAGAGTCTAATAACAATAAATAGATAAATAAGGCAGCTATGCTTAATTATATGCACAATTTGAGCTCATTTAATTTGTGTTTCCTTATAGCTGATTTACGAGAGCAGTCTCGTAAGAAGTTTTCATGATTCGTTTCATGGTGCCGTTTAACATTGCTGACTTTATTCTGACTCAGTAGCTTATGACAGATTAAGCCCAAAGGTTTATTCTCCCGACTGGTAAATCCGTACTATCTTCCCATTCTGACTTGACAACTCTGTTTTCATCTTCGTACTTTTGTTTTTTAATTGAGGACATATCGCACAGTAACTTAGACTGACTAACCGCAATCAAGCTGCAATACCGCAGATGCATCCATAAACATTGACCATCGTGGCGTAAGATTTGCTGACTTAAATTCAAAATTCAACGCTACAGCGATTTCATATACTAAAATATAATTTGTCCTAATCATTGACGAAAACTTCTTTACAACTTTTAATATATTAAGAGAGTTTACATCAAAGCGACGCTTCACTACACTATAGTAACAAAACATTCGTTTTGACGAACATATTCTTTAGACTAAATTATATTATAACCTAACAATTATATAATTCACAATTACTCGTTCAATGAAATGAGCATATAATTTAATTATAATTGAGCAAATGGCAACAAAACGCTAAAAAGTTGATGCTAGGTGCAAAGGGTTCAATGGCGCTGAAAATATTCAAATGGAATTTTATGAGATGCAATGAGGAAATAAATCTATATTCTATTCGAGAGATGCATCACTGCTTGAATTTTATTGTAAAAAGTATCATCCGTTCGGTTTTTCAACTCTCTAAAAATATGTGCGGCCCGCCAATGACTTGCAACCTTAATTTTGGCCCGCGAGCGACAAAAGGTTGCCGACCTCTGGTCTATGGGTTTCGTCTGGGCAGATTCCCAATGAAACACTCCAGATGCTTGGGGAACTCTTAATAATAGTTCAATTGTTTTATTATTTACGTTTTATCATATACCTGTAAGCCTGTAACTGCTTAGTAGATCTTTGCGTATGAGCGCTTGTTTATCGCAACTAAAAATGGAAAAAGTACTGAAAGAAGAATTGCAAGTTTGCTTAAAGCAAGGTCCTGAGCCCTCAACTAAAGTGGAAAGAGTGCTTATAGAAGAGTTGCAACCGACCACCGTCTAAGAACTACGTTGTAAATTCATTGCTCTGAATTGTAAATAGATAACAACTGACACAATTTGAAACAAGTCTAGTCAACACTATGACTAAAAACTTCGGTACTCCCGAAGTATGTGAACCAAGACGGCAGACACTGTAACGTAGTATGTGTACTAGGTTAGGGTTAGGCCATAATTTCAGGTGCAAATACTACGGAAGTCACCTGTATGTATGTATGTTTGTTCGTCTCATAATAGTAATACATAAATAAATGAACAACTATTATTATTTAAGATGGGATGCATGCACAAGACCGTGCTGGCCTAAAACACAAATGTGCGTCATGCGCCTCTTTTGACAAATAGAACTAAAATAAGGAAAATTGGAATAAAGTTATGGCCAAGCCTTAATCTGGTACACATACTACGTTGCGGTGTCCGCCATCTTGGTTCACATACTTCCGGAGTACCAAAACCTAAATATCGTCTTTTTCATACAGGCAGCAAGTTTTGAAGCCGGTTACATTGCATGTCTCGTGTTCGGAGTGTTGTTCATCGTTTTTGTACCGCTCGTTGGCTCCTTCATGTGTTGCTGTCGGTGTTGTTGCAACAATTGTGGCGGTCGTCTCGAACAATCTACGAAGCGTAGCAAGAGCTGTTGGCGACAATGCTATTGTGTCACAATGCTGATTCTAACGACTTTCATGGCGTGAGTTTGATTTAATTCTTTATTGCTTTGCTTTAGAATGAAATAGGATTTCAGTTTTGTCCTGGGGAAACAATTTGATATATTTCAAACATCCTCACTTATGATTTCAAAGTAACTGTAAGCATATTTTGTTGGTTCTGTGTGGTTTTTAATATCTGCAGCATTTTTATGAGCGTTTGGTAAAATTTTATCAGCGTATATATTTGCCCGCTTATTTGCATAATGTGGCAAAGGGGGATTTTTGATTAATTCAGTCATATTCTAAATAATAAAATTCTTATATCGATGGTAATCAAGTTTTTAATTAAATTTAGAAATCCTACTTATAATGAAGTTACCATTAAAAATTTTGAAAAGATGAATATTGCCTCTAGTCACATGCCATGGCAATTTTTAAATAAATTTATTTTAGAGTCATATTTTAGATAATTAGAATTCTTGTTTTAATGTATTCAAACATCTGATTCCATTTAAATATCCCCGTTATAATTTAAGAGTTACTGCAAGCATATTTCTTTTTGGGAGTAGGCTCAAATATTCTTGGCATTTTTATGAGTGTCTGATGAAAATTTATTGGCGTATGTTTTTGTCCGGTTTCTTGGATAAAGTGGAATTTTTTGATTAATTTGAGTCATATTTTGCTAAATAATAATAATTCTAATACCGGAAGTAATTAAGTATTCATTTGAATATGAACCTCCTAATAATAATATAACCTTTGGAGAGACAAACAATGCCCCTATACTGGTATCACATGTCATAGAAATTAAAAAAAAATTTCTTTTAAAGTCATATTTTTAGATAATTAAAATCTTATTTCAGAGTATTCAACACTTTGTTTTCATTTAGTGATCCCTCTTATAATTTGAAAGTTACTGTGAGCTTATTTATTTTTGGGGATTGGATTTAATATTCTTGTCCATTCTATCAGTGTTTGATGAAAATTTATTGGCGAATGTATTTGCTGTTTTGCCATAAAGTGGCAAATTGGGATTTTTTAATAAATTCAAGCCATACTAAAACATTGAAATTGACAATTCTTATATCGCATTCATTCAACTTTTTAATTAAATTTAAAAATCCTTTTTATAGCCTAATGAATTTCTCATTATAAAGTTTGAAAAAACGAATATTGCCTCTAATCACATGTCATAGCAATTTTTAAATAACTTTATTTTAGAGTCATGTTATTTTAGATAATTAGAATTCTTGTTTTAATGTATTCAAACATCCGATTCCATTTAAACATCTCTCTTATAATTACTGTACTGTTACTGTAAGCATATTTCTTTTTTGGGGATTGGATTGATAAATGTTCTTGGCATTTTTATGGTGGTTTGAGGGAAATTTATTGGCTTTTCTCTTATTTGCGCAATGTGGGATTTTTGATAAATTCAAGTCGTATTCTAAATAACAAGTAAACTAGAATATCGGTTAGAAACCGAAGACTTATCGATCGAAGGTTAGGGGATCCCCCAAAACAGTGGTCTTATTCCATAGTGACACCGTGTGTCCCATCACTAAATAATTAATAACTCGCTAATTATAAGACATAATCCATCCAAAATCAATAGGCTTCTGATTCGAGCTATGATGAATGCACATGCAAAATTTGGAGCAGATTCAACCTCGCTTTCGTGAGATATCGCGTGCATTTAACACACAGACATACAGACAGACAAATACCTATCAACATACTTACCGATCTTAAGATCGATAAGTAAAAACATTCTGACCTTGAAATCTAAATTAGGTCTACTCAACTGGCAGATAGCGGTCTGAATGCAGACTTTTTGATTGTTTGGTTCAAACTTCAGTTGTTTCTTTATTTAAAAGCTCTGGGATATGTGAAGTTTTTTTTGTTTTCATTATATAACTTTTATTTATAGTTTTAGGTTTTTTTTTTATTCCTATTTACGTTTAACTATGTACCAACTGTGACAGTTTAACAGTAATGTATGATCATTGCTCTCTTCATTTTGCAAATAGTCAATTACCTAGAAACTACAATGCGCAATAATAATATTGAATTTTTTGCGGATAATCCTTCATCAGTATTCTGCAATTCGATTTTTTGTTTTTAACCTTGAATCTAGGCTCGCTAAAAAGGGTACTCTTGTAGTATGTGTACCAGGTTAGGGTTAGGTCATAATTTTATTTCCATTTTTACCTATTTTATTTCTATTACGAGTTCGGGGACTATCTGTATTAGCCAAGTGAATATACCCCCTGCCCATAGGTTTCAGTCCCTTTACTCAAATAGATGTAAAGTAGGCGAACAAAATAGTTAACTTCATATTGGTACACACATTCCTAAAGTGCCAAATATTGTAATTTGTTAAAATCGTAAAATAAATTTTCTGGAAAGACCATACCCCCAATATTCCTGAAGTTTTGTAATCCGGTCTTTTATCACTCTGAATGATAAAAATCCCCATTTTGAAGTATTTGAATATTTGAATTAATTTAGACGTATTCTCCTAAAACCTGAAAGTTACCCTTAGCTTCATTTCTGTTGGTTCTGTGTTGGTTTAATATTCTCGACATTTTTATGAGCGTTTTGGTATAATTTATTGGCGTATGTATTTGCTTGGGTTGTTTGCGTAACATAGCTAAGTGGAATATTTGAGTGATTCACGAGGCTTGATGCACACTGACACAAATATAATTCTGTAACGTTTCGTTTTACCAAAGACAGATCACTTCATAATATCTGGTAGTTGAAAGTCTCGAATTCAAATCTTGGCGATCGCATTTTCCAGCTAATACAGACTAGGAGGATTTCAGTCTATATTTTTGTCTTTAGCCTTGTGCTGATTGAAATATGTAATTGCTTCCTTTTTAGTTAAAATAGAAAATCAATCATGCAAACAATAGTAAATTATTTTATACAAGCTTTACTTGCGTTTATGAGTGTTCTTTTTTCAAGAGAAGCCACATACACTCACTCAGAAGCAAAGTATGGAAAGTTACATGCACTCACTCATGAGTAAAAGATACTCATTTCCGATCAAAGTCACGTACGCTTGGGCAAAGTTGCGGGCAATCATAAGAAGCCAAGATACTTGTTTCCAAGCAAAGTCATGTACTTTTACTCAGAAGCAAAGGATGCCCATCTGTAAGTAAAGTTGTGGGCTATCACTAAAATGACAAGAGGTATTGAAATATGAATGAATGTTTGCACACACTTCACATGAACGCTTCCAGAAGCACATATTGTTATTTGCTCTATGCTGGGGGTGCAATTGAGAATTGTTTGTTGTCGTGGGTATTCTTGGTAACGCTTGTATATCAAATTGTAAGTGGATTTATAACTTATGATTTTGCTTTATTACGAAATCTGTTTGAAGCAGGAATACACCGTCAATCATGTATGTCAAAAGCTGAGCTAAGTATTTGCTCAAATATTGAAATCATCAAGAGTTTTTCAATGTGGAAAGCTTCCAATCTTTTCAGAAATACTGACATCTCCCTCATGAATAACCACTTCCTCATGGCCTTAATCAGAGTGATAAGTTAGAAAAGAAACATTAATCATAAAAATAATTCTTGATTAGGATTACCACAAGTTGAGTATCTTTACAGCAGGAATGTGCAACATTTTTTGTCGGCGGGCCATAATTATAATCAACTTCTTTGAGACATTTAGCTGGGACAAAAAATTTAGGCAATGCTGCTACTGCGTAGCCTTTAAGGAAAAAATGCACAAGAGCTAAAGACATGAATTTTCATCAATGTGAGCTCCTTTTCAAACCAACTGCCAGATTAGGATTTTATGCTTGATGGGAAAAATCAGAGCCCTGGAAAGGACCACACTAAATAGATTGGCGGGCGGGGTTGTGGCTAGCGGGCCGCCTGTTGCACACCTCTGCTTTAGAGTATCTTCAGTGCAAAGATTTTTTGAATAACAAGCAAGATTTTTGAAATAACATTTTATTGTGCTTTTTGCCTCAAACAAGGCCCCATACAAGCAACCAAAGATATCTGACAATATGAAAGAAGCGGAAACCCTTGTTTTCAACAATTTTTCTTGTAAAAGTAAATTCAATTGCTATAAAAATAGTATTCTATTCAATATTCAAATATTAGTTTAAAACGTGAGCAAGGTTTTTGTATCAGGGGCCAACAATTTTGCCCACCTTAACTAGCGGGCCATGTAAGTGTGACGTAAAAAGTAACATTTCAAGAACAATATGTACAGTGTTACAAAAGCCAAAGTGGTAAACAATAAGCCATTAATCGCAATCCCGATAAAATCCTTGAGCCATTTTTAAGTTATACATGAAAATTTGGTTTTAGTTCAGTTTTGGCAGCATCAGGCGGATAGATTGAATTAACCAATGAGCCCCATTTGGCCCACGGCCCGTAGTTTACCCATGTCAGGTTCAGAATGTGTTAAGAAATATTTAGTATTGACAATCACAAGCGAAATAAGATTTCAATATTTATTTAGTCAACGAAATGAAACAAATTTAATTGAACCCTTAAAATACAAATTGTATCCACTCGAGGAAGCGTCATACCACATTATTTGCGTACTCTAGAGATATCCTTGTTTTTTTTGTTTCCACGGAGTCTGTATGATTCACAGAACAAATAAAATATTTGTTGAAATCAAAATCCTAGAGATGGAATAGGATCTATGAGTTCATCTCGGGGAGACAAAAATCTATAAGACGGCTTAATTAAATGGCGAACCACGTCCCCTTGTCCAGTTACCAGTCCATGTCGATAAGGGATTAGTTAGCAAGAAGACGTAACTTACAAGCGGTCATGTGAACCACACTACGGCGGCGAGGAGTCCACCAATCTCCTTGCTCATAACTATCTCTCATGGGATTCAAACCTGCAAACCCATTGAGGGTAATCAGAGGTGGCAAGCATATTCCTAACTCTTAGCATGATTCGCCAATTCAAGTTAGCAGATGACCTATGCAATGGGTTTTCAACCTCATTAATAAATACACTCCCTTTAGCATTAGACTCTATTAAATGTGTTGGAATCGCATATTATCTCTGCATCTGGTTTAAATACCGTGCCCCACCTCACACACAGTGTAATAAATTGGGTGAGCAATGCGGGACTCGGGAAATTTTTCAGTTAATGTCAGTTTCTTACATACTGTTATATATCAGTGGCTACTTGTACAGGGTTATTATCCTCTCCTAAAAATTCATCGAAATTGTAACTAACTCCATATACAATAAAAATGACATAATCAGCATTATATATAGGACATCACATCAGGTATAACTATGTTGCATGGCAACTTGAAGCTGCCAAGAATTTATTGGTTACAAACTCTCCCTAAAAGTAAAAATTGGAAAGACCCTGATATTAAAATGACCTACTAAGCAATATATTATAGAATGTTTGAGCTTTCACAATAGCTTGATGTGATACATGATGAGACTAGTTTTGATGAGTTTGCCTAATCTGAATTTTTATTCAAACTATGGTATGACTAATTCACGGAACTGGTACCTAATGACCAGATAAATATTTGCTTATAGTTTTAGGACGCATGGCGCTTGTCATAATATTTTGATAAATTATGTCAGTGTCTGTCTGTTACACGTTAGTTACATTTGTTGCACTTGTCGTTAGTTATTATTAACCGCAGGAATTTCCTGGTGATTATGTTAAATCAAACTTAAAAGGAAATTGATAATTCTATGTGAGTGCCCATAACTTCACTCAGAGAGATGAGTCTCCTTTACTTCTGAGTGAGTTCCCGTAACTTCACTCAGAGAGATGAGTCTCCTTTACTTCTGAGTGAGTTCCCGCAACTCCACTCCGAGAGATGAGTCTCTTTTACTTCTGATTGAGTACACATAACTTTACTCAAAAATGAGTCATATTTCTGAGTGAGTGCCAAACACTTTAACCAGATAAGAGTCCCCATTTACTACTGAGTGAGTGCCCAAAAATTTACTCAGAGATGAGACCTGTGAGTGATTTTCACAAAAAATGCTTCATAATTAAACCAAATGCTTTTATACCAGACTATTTTTGATTGATTGGCAGTTTAACTATTTTGTGGAAATTCTTCCAGGAAATTGAAGTTTTATGTTGTTTGCTTTTCCATTCAATAAAGCTATTTACTTTTTATTGGCTGGTTTTCTTAGGAAAAACTGACAATAAAATAAAGTTTATGTTCTTTCGACTTTGGCCTTTTATAAACCACGGAAAGGAAACGATTGGTGTGTTGTGCTTAGCCATTGGTTCTCAACCTTTTTTATTTCTTGGCTCACTTTCGTATCATGAAAGTTTTGTGGCCGACTTTCTCATGCAAAAGAAAAACTACAGAAAAAAACGAGAGTATTTTTGCAAAAATAAATACTTTAACACTTTGATAATAATTAGAATGAAAAGCAGCAGCATCGTTCATTGCTACTACAATAAAAATTTGACTATAATGATGCAAATGAAACTAAACCTTTTAATATCCATAGTAATTTTTAATAAGCTTGTGGCCCACTGGATAATGTTTATATGGCCCGGCAATGGGCCACGGCCCACTGGTCGAGAACCAGTGTGCTAAGCGTTAGGAATGCACTCACCATCGGTCCCTAACTACCCTTTTATGAGTTTGTTTGTTCAAGATATATCATAATCACCATATGGTTATTTCCCATTAGTCAGTTAATTTTGTGACCATATAAGGCACTACAACTGCCTATTTATTAAGCATATTCTTGGGTTGCGCGATTTTCAAAAATTTATTTTCAAAAATTTTGAGTTGCTTGGAAAAAGTTTGGAAACCCACTTGGTAAAGAAAGGTGTCACAGCTGATTACATAGCATTATCATTCAGACATTTAGTCTCTTCGATCTTGGACTGAATGTGTGCGTAACTATTCCACTCCTCCCTCTTTTCTTTTTTCCAAAATTGACATTAAATGAATTTTCAAGTCATTGTTTGTTTTTTAGGCGGTAATTTTATTTTATCAAAAATGGTGAGAAGTCGTCCAGTCAATGAAGACAGGTCATGCTTTCTTAAAAAGCCTTTGTATATGTCACAATGTATGACTGGACTAAACAATCAAAACCTTATATATGTCATAATATATGACTGAACTGAACAATTGAAACTTACAACGATATAGTCTATCGCATCACAATAGGGTTTCGCATCTTTTGGAGATATGATACTTTCAGTGCTTAATTAGACATGTCCAAACTGGTAAAGTAATTTCTTGATTTTTAGAATAGTTCTTCATTTGGAAAATGGTTTGGTCGAGAACCATTTTTAATTTGTAACCCTCGTTTATTTAAAAAAATTCGGCCAATCTGATAACAGAACAGGGCTAGGACTTTTTTAAGGTTACGAAAGCGAAAGTGGAAAACAAACTAAATTTAATTGCAATCTCAACAAATTCCTTGGCTATTTTTTAGCTAAAACATCAAAATTTGTTTTTAGTTTGGTTGTGGCAGCACCGGGCGGGGCAGATCGAATAACCCAACAAGCAGGTTTTGGCTCGCGGCCGTAGTTTGCCGATGTTAGGCTTAAACGAAAATTTTACATAATAGATACTCAATTGTGCTGACTAAGCACTTTTCCGTAACGACTTAACAAAATAAACTTCAACAAAAGTTCTTTTGACAACATAAACTAATATTATGAAAGGCTGTTTGCGTTGTTTGAAGACACAATATGGAGAATCATTTATTCTTTTGTTCGGTCTCACGAGACCAGCTCTGCATACATTGTCAGGTTAAATCCCAAAAATAGCTTTTTTAAGAATTCAACTAGTTCATTTAATGAATGTCTGCTTAGACTTTTTGTCAGGAAAATATACATGGTGTCCATAAAGTCCCTTTACAATTTCAACTTTGTCATGATGTCAGTTTTCAATATATTTTAACCAGGTTTATTGTTTTTTTAATCAGTGATTGTTTAGGTATTTTTACTTCATTTACGGTAATACATCTGTGAAGGCCAAAATAATTTATGGTTTCGATAAATTTCCTTTGCAATCTAAAAATATTTTTAGGACTTGGACACCCCACATAATTATAAGCTAATAATTATAAGCTGTATTATTTTTAACAGATTTAATTTCTGCATACACTTAAACCATTATATCTCTTTCCTCTTCAAGAAAGAACAAAATATTTATCAATATTATTAAATATTTTAACTAACTATACACATCATAGTTTTACCTAAGAACAAGATGTCCTGTCAACTCCGCTAGCCAAAAAAATGATTTTCAATTTTATTTTTAATCATTTCAACTTTTCAGGGTTCCCACTGTCTTTGTGTTCCTAACAAATGAATGGATAACGGACGTAGTCGACACAGCGCCGGTGAAAATGACAACGTTACTTGGCGATACATCTGAATATTTGAAATTGGTCCCCAGGCAAATCCAGTACATCTCAGACGAATATGCGACTGTCGATAACAATGTGCGCCCTCTTGTGGAAGGTGTGTATAATTGCGAATGATACTTTTCCTCTCTCTCTTACCAAGGCTATGAACAAGAAGAAACTTCTTCTAGGCCGGTGGTTCTCAACCTCTTTTTTCATGGCCCATTTTTGTTGCCCAAAAATTCTTGTGGCTTGTTAAATTTTTTTTTGCACAGAGAAAACTACAAGAAAAATTAAGATCTTTCTGCGAAAATGGACTCTTTAATGTTTATAATTAAAATGGGAATTACCACTCAGTAACAGAAAACAGCATCGTCATCCATTGCTGCTACAATCAAAACTAACTATTGTGACATAAATAAAACTAATTTTTATAGCACTATGGCCCACTTCAAAATGCTTCTGTGGCTCAGTGGTTGAGAACCAATGTTCTAGGCCAGGGTGGTCCAAACCCCGGCCCGCGGGCCAAATGTGGCCCGTCGCTTCATTATATGTGCCCCCCTTGACATTCGGAGAGGAATCGAAAAATCGCATTTTGCGTTGTTTCGTCACAAAATCAACCAGGAAAATCGTTTGACATATTTTTACATCACTAAACTAAACCTATTACATTACGTCACTTAATTGACTGTGTTATGGCTAGCTGAGGCGACCAGTCAAGTCGAATGATTTGCTTGGCATTCACAATTGTTGATAAGTTTGAAATCTTACACTGTATGAAGGTATAGAAAAACTTTTGCACGTTTTCGTAAGTTTTTTTGGTGATTTTTACATGGGTTGCTCTGATAAATGACAGATACTGATCAATTTGTTTAAACAATAGAAGTGTTTGTTTTGTATTACACTGTTTACGTATTCTTGGCACTATTGTGGCCCGCGAACATTTCAAAAATAATTTTGTGGCCCCTGGAGCCGACGACCTTGGACCATCCTGTTCTGGGCCTAGTCTTGTGCGTAGCGGTTGGTTAAAGCATTAGACTTAATACCAGGGTCAGGATTGGAATTAAATTCATTGCATCTTATGGGAATTGGAAATATGGCTTTAATTTACTAGGGTTCACTGTTCTCAATAAGGATGGCGACTGATACACATGAAGTCACTGTGTTTTTAGACAGGGCCAGGGTCTTTCCTATTTGCTATAGCATTTAGAATGTCCTTCTGTAGCGTGGGGAAACCTTTTCACTCAAAAGAAGGCTTCGGACAAGCGGTTATTAATAAGCGCAGAGATACTATGTTTCTTGCAAGTCCATGCATCTGTAACAAATAATCGATTATCTCACCCGTACCCAACAATGACAGGTAACCTAACAAGAGTTTGCCATATAATTAATCTGGGTACTCCCGAAATATGTGAACCAAGATGGCAGACACAGGAACATAGTGTGTGTACCAGGTTAGGGTTAGGCCATAATTTTATTCCAATTTTCCTTATTTTAGGCCTACTACGATTTTTATTACGAGTATTAGCCAAGTGACACCAGTAGTATTTGTACTTGAAATTATGGCCCTGACCTGGCCTGGCCTGGTATACATACTACGTTCCGGTGTCTGCCATCTTGGTTCACTTACTTTGGGAGCACCTAAATCTGTCCTCGGTTAAATATGAAAATCCTATGTCATATAAATTATTGATGTCATTAAATATATGAACAAAATATTTTTGATCAATCAATTAATCAATCATTTATTTCGGTACTCTGACATAAAAACAAAACAACACAAAAAATAGACAGACAAACAAAATGCAGAGATACCTGGAAGAAGGCATAATAAAATATAGTTAAAAAACGTAAGTAAAAGTACGCGCCCACCCACCAAAAAGGAATAAAACAACCACACAAAAGACAATTCAGGTTGCGCAATTCGGGCAATGCTTTAAGAAAACACATTTAATTGCTGAAGGGATCTGTGAACAACTTAAACGAGTAATAATAAAATTTAGGTAGATAAATTGAATGTAATGGACTGCTATAGACTTTGAACGATTTTGAAACAACACTAAGCTGTCATACTCATTCCCAATGGTTATGTATCTACTTAGCCTTTGGATTAAATTCAGCTGAAATAAAAACCCAGTCACATAACTATTATAGCATTCTGATTGCTTTAATATACATTGTGACTGGGGAAATGTGTCAAAGGATCAGAGGTTGTTTCTTTGAGTGTGACTTTCTTGTTCACTTCCCCAACAGTGACCTGACCAATCAGACAGAAGCATATAAAAACTTGCATATTATTGTTATTAAACACTGCTGTCACCTGTCAGAGGCCAATTAATAAATTTTATCTTGTTTTGACTTTTAGATTTTGGCGTCAGTGTCGGCGTTCCTCTACAAGCTGAAATTGAGATGATTGCTCAACCAACTTTGGATGAAATGGATAAAGCTATCCAAGGTTACTTTATTCCAAAAATTTATTTGTTTTTATTTTTGTTCGTATTATGATGTTCGTTGCACGACAAGTATAAATATGGGAATCATATCCTGAGTGTCAAAAATTAGGTCGAATTAGTCGCTTCAAAAAACATTTCAGCTCTTCCATGAATAGTATCTTTTTATATATCAGTGGAGCTTGCACAAACCCTGTTCATAATGGTATAAAAACTATAATAAAATCCTTATATCCTCATTACAGAGGTTGACAAATCACTCGCTGCTATTAACGCCGTTACCAATTCGCTCGGAGCATTATCGACTGGTATGGACACTGTCGATAAAAGCCTGACTGATCTTCAGACTAAAATGGAAACGCAATTGAACGTTTCAACCTGTACCAATGACACCCATTGTAGAGCGGTTTATGAGAGCAGAACTAATTTGACTGTCGGATTTAATGTGACGGACGTAAGTATACTCATTTTGTTATGAGGAATTGCTTGTAACTTTAACACACTCTTCTCTCTTTGAGCAAAATTACTAGCACTCACTTCATCTGAGGCAAAGGATAGTCATCTGTCTCTGAGAAAAAATACTAACTCAGAGGAAAAGTAGACTCTTCCCTTTGTAAAGTAAACGAGACTCATCACTGAGCAGAGTTACATGCACTTACTCAGAAGTAAAGGAGACTCATCTCTGAGTAAAGTTACGGGCACTCACTCAGAAGTAAGAAACTCATCTCTGAGCAAAGTTACGGGCACTTATTCAGAAGTAAAGGAGACTCATCTCTGAGCAAATTTACATGCACTTACTCAGAAGTAAAGGAGACTCATCTCTGAGTAAAGTTACGGGCACTCACTCAGAAGTAAAGAAGACTCATCTCTGAGCAAATTTACAGGCACTCACTCAGAAGTAAAGGAGACTCATCTCTGAGTAAAGTTACGGGCACTCACTCAGGGGTAAAGAAGACTCATCTCTGAGTAAAGTTACAGGCACTTACTCAGAAGTAAAGGAGACTCATCTCTGAGCAAATTTACATGCACTTACTCAGAAGTAAAGGAGACTCATCTCTGAACAAATTTACATGCACTTACTCAGAAGTAAAGGAGACTCATCTCTGAGCAAAGTTACAGGCACTCACTCAGAAGTAAAGGAGACTCATCTCTGAGCAAAGTTACATGCACTTACTCAGAAGTAAAGGAGACTCATCTCTGAGCAAATTTACATGCTCTTACTCAGAAGTAAAGAAGACTCATCTCTGAGCAAAGTTATGAGCACTCACTCAGAAGCAAAGAGACTCATCTCTGAGCAAAGTTACGGGCACTCACTCAGAAGTAAAGGAGACTCATCTCTGGGCAAAGTTACGGGCACTCACTCTGAAGTAAAGGAGACTCATCTCTGAGCAAAGTTACGGCACTCACTCAGACATAAAGGAGACTCATCTCTGAGCAAAGTTGCGGGCACTCACTCAGAAGCCAATAGCTAAAATTTACTGGAGTTTTTATTTTTCATAGCTGGATGATTTAACAAATGAGTTGGACGGCGTCAACGATCAGCTATCTGGCTACAATCTCACAGAATTGCAACAGAACGTCACAAATGAGATAAATAACATTCCAAGTACAACTACAGATCAGACCAAGGCAGCCAGTGAAAGTGAGTATGGATATCTGATAGCATAGTGCAGTTGTTTTTCCAACTTGCCAGTCCTCGAGAAATTTGGTTGTTTTGTTGTTGTTCTGCCGTCTCAATCGCTTTGTAGAAGCAGAAGTTGCGCCGGTTTTATTACGCAATTTCGCCGTTGTTCTCAACTTGTCTTTCTGTTTTTGTACAGTAAATAGCAAGATGCTGCCCCTTTATGTACTTATCTAAAATCTTGCTCTGCGTAATACTCATTATTAAAATCACTTAGGTGCAGTAAGCGCTTTGGATGAAGCGAATTCGACGATGGCCGACATATCGTCCAACCTTCCCACGGATAAATTTGACGAAATTGATCAACAGGTTGTCAACCTACAGACCACGATTACCGACGCTTTCAACGTCTATGATGATAATTTTGATCAGTATAGGTAAGTTTTTTATTCATGTCTTTTGCTTTAAGCAAGGCAAGCACTCACTGATCTGATTTCTATTGAGCTACTTGGCGCATCATGCTAAGCGTTAGAAGGACGCTCGCATCACCGTACCTCTGATTATCCTGCAATGATAGAAAGGTTCAAATACTGTGTGGAATGCTGTGCAATGAGATCAAAGAATTAGCAAGTCACTGTCAATTTACTTTCTATATAGCCTCGCATATAAGTTAACCCCCCAAAAACATTGAATTTATAAAATTTCAGGACCTCCAGAAGTATGCGCACCAAGATGGTGCACAACCTGAATATAGTATGTGTGTACCAGTTAGGATTCAGGTTGTGCGACATCTTGGTGCACATACTTCTGGAGCACCAAATTTCATTTGTAAGCTGACTCTACAAATTGTAACACGCTGTACCTATCAAAGCAAATTCAAGTTGTAGCTGTTGGAATTAATTTAGCGGAATCATAGTTATGCACGTATAAGTCAACATCCTGTTTTGGCAACTTATTTTTCCAGTTTTCAACTCGACGTATATGTGAGATATGTGGTAATGTAGTCTTCGCCAATGAAGACGTTTTTTATTGGCACTAGAGAACCGCTTTGTGGCCCCTTCAGCATGCAGAACCGCCAGTTTTAAGAAAACCTACTCTAACCAACTGTTTTTTTTTCTCAGGTACATCGCAGGCATTGTGCTTGGATGTATGCTGGCTTGGATCGTCTTCTGTTACTTGCTGGGAATGGTGTTGGGAGTTTGTGGAAACAGTCGTGATGTCGCTCCTTCACAGAGAGGCTGTGCGTCTAACTGTGGTGGAATAATGCTCATGGTGTAAGTAGCCCTCATAGTACAATGGTTTAAATCAGAGGTGTGCAATCTTCAATACATTCACAAGTAACTTGGTGAAACCGCCCCCAACCTTTATTTAAGGTTTCTTGTAATTGCGCAAAAATTTTTAGCAAAATCTTAGGGCACTCCAGAAGTGTGTGTACTAATATAGAGGTAACTAATTTTGTTCCGCCTACTTTACATCAAGTTGTGTAAAGGGACTGAAACCTATGGGCAGGGGGTATTTTCACTTGGCTAACACAGACAGTCCCCGAACTCGTAATATAACTAAAATAAGGAAAATCAAGATAAAATTATGCCCTAATCTTTACCTGGTACACACAATATGGGAGTACCAATCTTATGACATGTGTTGTTTGCTTCTCACCTGTTAGCTGTTACGTCATTTTAATTTTATAGGCATAGATGATAAATTGGACTCAGGTACAGTCTTTGCAATACAAAGGGATTGGAATTACTCGCACATGCCAGATTAGACTAAATTAAAAACTGCAATACTCAATTTTCAAAATTGGCACTTGCCGGGGGTTGCGAAAATTTTTCTTGCGGGCCCCGGGTTGCACACCCCTGGTTTAACGATAAGGTAATATAGTTATCCTTAAACACACTATCCTATGGAAATTTCCTGAAAAACGAATTTTTCTGCATGGTATATTTCATAGGGGGTGTTTTACTGGGTGAATTCTACTGCGTGAGGACCGTTCTGGGGGAAATTGTCTGAGGGAAGAATTTTGATGTATGTAATATTTCAGAGGGAGGACATTTTATGATGGAAAAATACTCATTGGCGGGGGGGGGGGGGGGGGGGATTTTTGTTTTGTACAATCTTTTTATTAACATTGTTTCAATTTCAGTGGCGTTGGATTCTCGTTCATTTTCTCTTGGTTGTTGATGATTCTTGTCGTTGTGATGTTCACTATCGGAGGACACGGGGAACGCTACGGATGTCAGGGGCTGGAGAAACCAAAATATGAAGCCTTGCTGGTGAGCATGAGAAAAAAGGGGATTTTAATTTTTTGTTTGGAGAGGGGCCTAATGGGAACCTTGGTGGATGGATTATTTGCTGAATTATTGTTCTTGTTAGGAACTACTGTTGTTGTTGTACTGAAAAAATCACTTTTCTCTCACTTTATGGACCAAATGATTGAAAAATTTTCAGTATTTGAAAATGGAAAAAGGCGCTAGAAAGTTATTACTACAGTTATATATTATTTCTGACAGCTCCCTAGACACGGTTAGCACACGCAGTGATTCCCTTTTTGGAATTTAGTGTTTCGTAGATGTTTTATATTCATATTGACGTATGCTGCTCTAAGTCTCGGTTTAGTCTTTGTTAATCTTGATTCTTATTTTGTATTGTTGGGCCAACTTTGGATAAAGTTTCCTTTTCTTAATTAAATGACTTTCATATTTTATTCCATTTCCAGGTTGTCGAAAACGTATCCGGAATAAATCTCGAAAGCACTCTCGGTCTGCCAGAAGGTGTCAGTCTTGGGCTGGTTGACATTTTGAAGTAAGTTATAGTTTGTTTTGTGTCGATTGTGGAAAAGTTGGATCAAACATTTTTTCCTTCTTCGACTAGTTGATACATTCAAAAAAGTTGATAATTTGTTTGATAACTGGGCCGACATGACATGGGATTTATTTGTTGGTGGGGGGAGGGGGGAGCTCATATACAATCCACTGGAATATGCAGTCTCCGCATTTTTTTTTGCCAAGAGGTCATAGACAATGTTCCCTCTAAGCTGCGCGGCCGCGCATCTAGACGAGGATCCCTGCACAGTACTTTCGTTCTGCTGCGCATTGCATAAGTTTTAAAATGTTGTGTTTTTTTTTTTTTTTCTAATTTTCTGCGCAGACGTTTTTTTTGAAGCTCACAAATAAACTCACATTTCTATTCTGCGCAACCAAGCGAGCTCTCAGAAGGAACTCTAAGCTCTTAGTTCTTATAGGCAGAATAATGGTTGAGAATCCCTATACTGGAGTGTAGATTTTGTGTGAACCATTAGTTAACAATTATTTTGAGTTTCAACTGGAGTTCAAGTCCCATGCGCCTCACTCAGGGTGGTTGTGAACTATGCTATGACGTCAATAAGCCTAACCGTCCTCTTGCACAAATTATTCCCTGCACGGTTTGAACCTGCATATGGTAAGAGGTTCCATGGCTGGTTTTCTTAAAGCTTAGGCCAACTGCGGCTTTGGGATCAACTTGTTACTTATCGATCTTTAGATCGGTAAGTATGTTGATAGGTATTTGTCTGTTTGTCTGTTAGATACACGCGATATCTCATGAAGGCGTGGTTGAATCTGCTCCAAATTTTGCATGTGCATTCATCATATCTCGGACCAGAAGCCTATTGATTTTGGATTAATTATGTCGTATAATTAGCGAGTTATTAATTAATTAGTGATGGAACACGCGGTGTCACTATAGAGTCATGAATCGAAACCGCAGTTTCGATCGATAACTCTTTGGTCTCCGACCGATATTCTCGTTTTAAATTTGCTTGAAATTCCATGTCATGCTTGACTAATTCTCTAATTAATTTTCAGTTCTTGTGAAAATGACGCTTCTGCGTACGAAACTTTTAAGTTGGAATATGTCCTGAACATCACAGAATACCTAACAAATGTTACGTCACAAACGGATGAACTACAAGCGGAAGTCGACAAGGCTACAAATGACATCGATCTATCCGAAATAGTGTAAGTATTTGGTATATGGCCAGGTCTATTATATGAACCCAAAAATAAATACATCAGGAAAGCAATAATAAGATAACAAAGAACAAAATGTATTTATGCCAGTGCGACCCGTGTCTAACCATACTTCACACAAGAAAGGATTTGCACCAGCAGTTCTTTATTCTTCGAAACTATCTGTTCTATCTCACTATTTAAGTTCATTTTCACTTATGGCATGAATGCGCGTAGTAATTAATGGGGTTCTAATATCATTCATAACAAATCAATCATTCGAATTGACCAATCTAAGTGTCTGATATTAGAAGCTCTACCTCTAAAATGAAACAAAATTAAGGACACATGTCAAAATAAGGATGTTTCTTAGAAATAAGGATGTTATGGCAGCCCTGTATATGGCATTGCTTGGGGTCTTCAAGGTCATTATTACACAATGACGGAGATGTCATACTATGACCCCTGATTACCCTTCGTGGGATCGCAGGTTCGAATCCCATGCGGGGATGATCATGTGCGAGAGGATTGCTGGACTCCTCGAGGCCATAGGGTGGTTCACGCAACCGCTGGTCGGTTACGGCTTCCTCCACCACAAAGTCCATGCTTCCGAAAACAAATAACTAACTAATCCCATACGCGACCTGGATTGTTAACTGGACGAGAGGCCGTTGTTCACCATTATGATTAAGACGTCTTATCGGCTTTCCTCTACCCTCTCTATTTCAAACTAATAAAAGTGTTCCAAAACAGGAGTACGGCATGCGCATAACACTTAAGTATTTGGGTGTATATATTTGGTATATACTAAGACTGCTCAGAACAAGACCTTAGGCAAGGCTTATTAACAGGGATAATTTCAACTCTTGGGGGTATATATCTCAACCAAGAAGCTTGCACTCTTTTTTACCACACGTATGGCCATTATGCACATTGTAGATTGTTCGGGGGTTTTAGGGTTGAGCGGTTGTAAAAATTTTCCTAACTTCCTCCCAGAGTAGGGGGTGTACAAAATGCTTCGGCAGGCCGAAGTTGGAAAAAGATAGAATGCTACCTTTTACAAACAAAACAGCTCAGAATCTAAACTTTCATCTATCTTAGGATCTACACCGAAGAAAACCAGGAGAATTTGTTAGGCTTGATGGAGTCGGGACTTGACAACATTGATTTCAACGATTATTTGGGAAAGGTGAGTGAAACTGTGCTGACAGGGAAACACAACTTGTGGGATTGAATTTTGTTAAAAATTACAGATTTATAGGAGACATGTAACACTTTAAAACTAAATATTCTGGGAGCAGCCTGTGAAATTAGATTCGACACAACATGCCAGAACAATATATAATCTAGCCCATCAGCGATTTCGGCAGCATTTCTCTGCGACCGCTTATTTTTTTTCTTGTGGGTCACATTTGGCCTGTTGGCTGCAAGTTGCACAACCCTGACCTAATAGGTCTGGGGTTCGCGAAACCCCCAGGGGTTCACGGGAAGATTTCCAGGGGTAATCGAAAGGCAGTCGAGTTTTGTGTGTTGCTGTTTTTGATGTCCCATATTACTACCAGAGGAAAATGCATGCCACTTGAAACGTAGATTTTCTCTGATCTTGAGTTGTTGTGATTATGACGCAAAAATGTGGAATTTACCGCTTTGCAGACAAACTGAAATCTCTAAGACAACGTTCTTCGAGCACTGGAGAAAGCGATTATGCTTATTGATACTTGGGAAAGATTTTAAGAATTCAATAGTTAGGCAGACGACAAGGGCAGTAATATCAACACGACGATTTAATTTAGTTACCTATGGTCAATAAATTGTTTGTGCAACAAATTGTTAGGCAATATATCACGATTTTGTTCGCTGCCTGATTACGGGGGTTCGTGTTGATTGTTTCGTCACTCTGGGGGGTACTTGACAGAAAAAATGTTGAGAACCCCTGATAGGTTATCATGCTAGCCGATTTTCATGGACACGCTGGGTATCAAACTCTAGTTCTCTAGTTCAGTTTGCAAAGCTAATTTTTGTTTTTTTCTCATCATATCGACGGCCACAGTCAGAGGTATGAAAAGCATGATAAGGGATGCGGCATATTTTTCGTTATTTTTTATTTCTGCATGAATGTACATTACTGCATTACCAAGTGAAGCATGTCCATTACGGAACATTCATTATTTTAGTAATATTTCCTAGAAATTTAAAATTTCTGAAAAATGTTTTTTGTCGGGTGGTAAATCATGAAATCACAGACACATGAAATGGCAGCATTGGCAAATACTAGTTTGAATAACATTATTCTGTCACATTTCATTGATTTCTGACAGTGAAGCGTTTCGTAAAGTTCATAAATGGCCTGGACTAGGGTTGAGAACTTGAGTGACGTTATCATTGGTTAAACTAGACATGGGCAAAGTACGGCCCGCAGGCCAAATCCGATCTGTTGGGTAATTCAATCTGGTCCGACTGATGCTGCCACAGCCAAACTAAAACCAAGCTTTGATGTTTTAGCTGAAAAATAGTTCAGTTCAAGAATTTACTGAGATTGCGATTAAATTTAGTTTTGACATGAGGCTTATTGTTTTCCACTTATGCTCAGGTAACACTGTAAATACTGTTCATAAAATGTAACTTTTAATGTCAAACTTACATGGCCCGCCAGGTGGGCAATATTTTGGCCCCTGGTTCAAGAACCTTACCCATACCCGATCTACAACCTGCATCCTGAATGTGTTCACGACCTATGAACTAACCACCAAGCTATCGGCTAAAGTATTATTTTTGCCTGAAATATTAGCATGGGTGATATATTTTGTTTTATGTTGTCTGGGTGATAGAAAAAGCTGTTAATGGTAAAATAGAATTTTTTTTGTAAATAAATTTTTTGTAAAATCGAACCAGGTCTGTGGTGTCAGGAAATCTATACCAGACTTTTAAGCATTTCAATATTGACTTATTCTGATTCCTGAGTGATTAAAAAGTTTGATGTTTAATGTTGTATACCTCAAAGCTAGGGGTCTGAATTTTACACTATTTGTATTGTTGGAATATTAGAACAGATGCTTGATTTATTATAGTAATCAGCTAACAGAACCTTGGGTGTCGCTGCTTGGTAATCAGCTTTGGTTACAATCCTCAGTGAAATTATGTTCTTGATATATTCGCATATATTTTGCATTTGTATCGTTTGATATTTTGCTTGTTGGAGAGAATAAGCTTGACCATGAATACTAAAAAGCGTTGAATGACCGTTCTCAACAGACAAAAGAACTGGAGTAGCCTACCTTGAAAAGAAATTGAAAATTTTTTGTTGCAGGGTGGTCCACGTAACCGCTGGACGGTTTTGGCTTCCTCCACCATCAAGTCGATGCTTCCGAAAACAAATAACTAACTGATCCCATACCCGACATGGACTGGTAGCCGGATGAGAGGCGGTGATTTTTCATGTTTCATCCGTCTCTTCTTTGGGTTAATCATAAAAATCCTATTCTAAATCTTTTCTGGGTAGAAATAAAAAATATTCAACTACATCACTTTTTCAGCTTGGAGACGGCATCACTAAAGTCGACTTGACAACTTACGCTGCATTCTTGAGGGCTCAGGCGGCAAAGTTCACTGGAGCAGTTGAGACTCAGGTAAGCATAATACAGTTGTTGGTACTCCTGAACTCCTCTTTTAGTGGCTCCCTTGGAACCACCATCACCCCATGGTTCGTCCCTTAGGGAGCGAGAGGCCCAATTCGATAAATTATGGGTTATCCCTTGACAAGATTTTGTTTATTCGCCTACTCTCCCCACTTTCTCTCCCAATTTTCAAGTATTTTTCATTTCGAATGAAGGCTTTTGTTCACAGCTCCTAGAGAATGCAAAGGAATCAGTTTGAGAAACACTGATATAACATCTTGTATACACTCTTACCCATTTATTACACCCTCATTTGGATGGGGACATTGAATTTGAAATAAAGTTTTCAGACTTCTGAAACCTGCGCTCCAGAAGTATAAGTACCAATATGGAGGTAACTAAGTTTGATCGCCTATTTTACATCTATTTGAGTAAATAAAACTGAAACCTATGGGCAGAGGGTATATTCACTTGGCTAACACAGACAGGCCCCGAACCCGTAATAGAACTAAAATAAGGAAAATTGGAATAAAATTATCGCCTAACCATAACTTGCTAACTTTCCTCTTCCTAGATTATTATAAAAAAATACCCAAATTATCAATTTTTTTTTTGTTACAATTTTACTCGACAGTTCGAATCTCTTGTTCTTGGCTATGCTGACGAGGTTGATCGGATTCAGACAGACGAGGTTGGAGCAATCCAAAATGACTATGATACATTAAACAGCAGCATTATATTCCTGGGAGAACAATCTGTTGTGTTAAATGTGAGTAGTTTCATTTTTTATTTTTTTACTTTGGGGGAGGGAACAAGTCTTTAGACTAAGGTTGTCAACATCTAGAGAAGTGCTTCTTGAGCTTTTTAAGCCACGCCGCCTTTTTAGAATTTGTCAAATCTCAATTTGTCAAGCCCTATTTCAAAAATAACTAGCTAACAATAAATATGCTACAAATAACAGATAGTGCGGCAAAAATATGTTTCATTCAAAAAACACATTACAAATACATAGATGGAAATCAAATCCCAAATAAAGGAACGCAAATATCTTATATGTCTATTGTAAAAATGAGTTGAGTGGCGATTTTTCGTCATTTTCATGAGGGGGAAAAGGGTGGGGGTAGATTTCCCAGCAATATAGGATGGCCCATGTGATTTGGTTTACACTGACAAACTTCAAATTTTTTCAGGATACCATCCTAGTTTTGAACGATGAGTTGACTGCGTTGAACGGAACCATCCAGTACCAGGGAGCGGAGATTGTTGGGAACATTGCGGGGAACATTACTGATCAGGTCATTGGGAACGTTACTGCGTACACTGACTGGGCAGGACAACAGGTAAGATTATTTAACCTTTTTTTCCGATAACGAAGACTTAAACAAGCTTTCTGACGATCCTCGAGTGAAGTTTCTCGCACATTTTAACAACAAATTATGACATTTTTAGGAGAGATATGAAAAGGCGCTCTGGACCATGCAGAAGAGTTAAAATAAGAACAAGTGTTTCAAGACAAATGGGCGAATATTGAAATTTTTAAAACATTTTATTCAAAAAAAATTATAAAGAAGTAGATACTTTTTGAGCCGATTTTCTATAAACAACCATGCGACAACGACACCACCACCACGCTACAACCATGTGACGCCACGCCACGCCACAGTCATGTGATGCCACAATTGTGCTACGCAAACCACCACAACGACATCACAGCCATGCCACAACCATATGATGCCACGCCATCGCCACGCAACAACCCTGCCACTGCCTAGACACCACGGCACTGGTCTAATAAATATTTATTGTAGAACAACGATGCCTCAACAATGTCAGGTCACAAGCACGCCACGGCACCGCCCCATGACGACACTACAACTATGCCATGCAACTAGTGACGCCACAATCACCACGACATCATAATCACGCCACAACCATGCTATACCATGCCACACCACAGCCCTGATCTAATAAATGCGTCTTGTTAAAACTTTTCTCTCTCTCTCAGGTTACTGATAATCTTGGAGCTTGCAAACCTGTCTACGATGGCTATGACGGGGTCGTGATTCTGTTCTGCGACTACTTGATTGATACAATAGTGAGTATAATTCTCGTTCTGGGATTCTTGCGTTTTTCAATAAGATAGTCAAAGGCTCACCACTAGGAGAGCTGTTGGATTTAGAGCAGTGGTTCTCAAACTGCGGTCCTAGGGCCAAATACGGCCCACGCAACGAGTTAACATGACCTGCCGAACTTGAGTGAGATATTTCAATGTAATGATAGTTTTATGGGTGCTCCTGAAGTATGCGCACCATGATGTCACATAACCTGAACCCTAACCTGGTACACAACCTGAATTCAGGTTGTGCGCCATCTTGGTGCGCATACTTCAGGAGGTCCGTTTTATGTTTATAGTTATTGAAAATGATGACCATTTTTGTTATGTTTTACTTTTATTAATAACAAGTGTCCCAAAATCCTTCAAATTCATCCTCACTATCATTGTCAAACCCCTCAAAGAAATCTTTCCAGTGAGGTATAAGGTGACCTTTCAGGACTCCCGTAGTATGTGTACCAGGTTAGGGTTAGCGCATAATTTTATTCTGATTTTCCTTATTTTATTACTATTGCAAGTTCAGGGACTTTCTGTGTTATCCAAGTGAATATACCTCCTGCCCATAAGCTTCCGTCTCTTTACACAACTTGATGTAAAGTAGACGAACAAAATTAGTTACCTCCATATTGGTACACACACTTCAGGAGCGCCGAGAGTTGTGTGCGTATGAGCCGACCGACCCCTTAGTTTTTTTTAGTTTTAAACTCTGTTCTTGGTATATTGATCACCATTTGACCTATGGTCGGTCCTTCCTCATCTCTGGCCAATACAATGTGTTACAGTATAAGAGAGGTAAATCTATGGAATATATTTAATAAGCTTCACGCCCCATCAAAAACTTGTCAATGCCCCCCTTGTGGGGCGCGTCCCACTGTTTGAAAACCACTGTATTATAAAGTTCCCAACAAATTAATCACTATTTGACCTACGGGTTGGTGCTTCCTCATCTCTGGCAATACAATGTGTTACAGTATAAACGAGGTTGGCTCGGCGGTGTGGCTCATCGTGCTAAGCGTTAAGAAAATGCTCGCCACCGCATCTCTGATTACTCTGCGTGGGTTCGCAGATTCGAATCCCGTGCGGGATGGCTATGTGCGAGAGGATTACTGGACTCATCGCTGCTGTAGGGTGGTTCACGTAACCGCTGGTCGGTTATGGCTTCCTCCACTATCAAGTCCATGCTCCCGAAAACAAATAAATGATTAATCCCATACCCGACATGAAATGGTAACAGGACGAAAGGCTGTGGTCGGCCATATGGTTAAGTCGTCCCTCCCTCTCTCTTGGTATAAATATGTAAATCCTATACTTGTTACTCTTCTTTTCTAGAACGGTCTCTGGTTCTCTCTCGGTTGGTGTGTATTCTTTCTCATCCCGAGTGCAATCGTCGCGATGAAACTCATGAAGTTCTTCAGGAAAATGGTGATAGAAGAACAATATGAGGAGTAAGTTTTTTTAATTTGGGGAGTGGGGGAATGAATATAAAAAAATTGGTTTGAATACCATATAATAGTTTTTAACATTAGGAGTGAGATTAAGGGGTAATTTTTTTTCGTGAATGTAAAAAAGTTGGTGTAAAATGCCATAACAATTAGTTTTTTTTTTATTCTGGGGAGTTGTAAGAGGGAGATTTTTTATAACAATATAAAATTCGGTGTTCTAGGTGTTTTTACTTTCTGTTTTATACATCTTTGTATTTTACTGACTTCATATTCTGAAAAATTTTGCTACATGAAAAATATGTTTCATCAATTGAATTTTTTAAAAGTCGTGATACTAGGCAGTGACGTCTTAATTAATTATGCTTTTATGAAGTTGGCTTTAATATACAGAGAATATATATTTCCAGAGTAATGATTGAGGAACACACCCACTTTTGAGGTATGCCACACCTATTTTTGGGATGAAAATCACAAATTTTTTGACCACCCTAACCCAGTATTATTTGTGATGTTTTCTGTTGCAAGGGATGTCCATTTCTGAATAATTTGGTTTTTTTTGTTACAATTCGGTTCTTTTTATCTGTGATTTTGGATAGAATAGGTTTTTTATATTTATTTTCGGGAGAGAAAAGGTGATAAACCGGCATAATCATATTGCGAACTAGGCATCTCGTCCAGTTACCAGTCCATGTATAGGTTGGCCGGTTATTTGTTTCAGATGCATGGACTTGATGGTGAAGGGCGTGACTGACGGTTATGTTAACACCCTTGCAAATGAAATGATGAATTATGTATCATTTTGAATAGGACAAGGTTGTTATAGAAAAATATATAAATCTCATATATCAATTAGGCAACTGTTGTCTATGGACAGAAAGCCGATAGGATGGTCGAATAATATTGCCAAACATGTCGGATTTTAAAAATATTACCAGTTATTCAAATTGCTTGAACAAAAAACAGAATTAAATTTAGTAATATCTGATACAAAATTTTTGGTCGATATTAAAATATTTAATAATTATTATTAATTGAAACAAATACTGTTATACGATATTAAACATGTTGTTCAGTTTTGTATTTCGGTTCTGGACATCCCTAGTATAACCCGAGATATTAATTCTACGCTTAAACCTTTATTTTACGGTATTTGTGGTTGCCACATTTTTATTATAATTTCCACTTTTAATAACGAATATTCTAATAATTTTGATTTTTATTTCATACTAAGACGTCGTGGAACATGGTATTACACTGCGGGTATAAAGGGGGATTCTTAACATTTTAACATGAAAAATGGTAATTTTGGTTTTTCGGAGAAATCAATGATTCTGGACCCAGAATTTTTACAATTTTGATATTATTGTTTTAATTATTTCTCACCAAAACAGCATTATTATTATTATTATGTTTTTTTGAGTATTTTTTTTCAGTTATTTTTGTAAGGGGATTTTGGGTTCATGTTGGCTAAAAAAGGGACATGTGTGCTCTAAAGAATAGAAAAGCATGACAAAGTGGGATATGTTTTCCGAAAAGGTGGACATGTATCCTAATAGGGGAGCATATAAGTTAAAATGTACATGTTTACTAAAAGGGGTTCATGCATTGGTGGGATTTAATTTTTTGTCAGCCTGTTCCATCACAAAAGTCATATTTTCCAGCTGGTTCTGTTTCAAAAAGTCATTGACAATTACCAGTAATGCTCACTGGTTTGCTGATCTCATAAAATTCTGTGAGACGGTTCTATAGAACCGGTGCGAACCGGCTGAATCCCACCACTGGGTACATGTATGCTCAGAGGGGGACATTTTTCCTAAAAAAATGGGACCTGCGTGCCAGAACAGGGACAAGTATTCTTGAAAAGGAAATTTGGCTAAAATGTTACATGTATGCTAAAAAAGGGGTCATGTTTCATAATAGCGGATATCGTTTTCAAAAAGGGGAAAATGTATGTATGCTAAAATAAAGACAAGTATGCGCAAGTGGGCCGCAACATTTTTGAGGAATTCTAACATTCTACTTTTGGCCAGAATCATTGATTTGATAAAATATTACTTTGCTAACTCTCAGAAAGCATGGGTGAACGCTAAGTTTAAAGTAATCAAATTTCCACTGTTAGATTGGTGATGAAGTTTTAATTAAAACAGAATACCGATATAATCCTTGTGTGAAATATATTATTTTGATAGCTTTATCACCATCGAAATAACGACCCCTGGTAATGTGAACACTTGATGATTTGAGAACTTTTTGGTCTTTTTATTTTTTTGGCATTCTCACTCAAAACAAGGCTTTGAACAAGAAACATCCAGTATTTTTCAAATAAGAGTTGGAAAACTGATTTTTTGCTACTCCCCAAAGTATGTGAACCAAGATGGCTCAACCTTATTGAAACCCTCAACCTTACTATTCAACTATTTTTGTTGTTCTTGCGTACCACTGGTTTAAAATAAAAACTGTCTGAGCAGTTTTATATACTTCATAGTTGATATGTCATTGTTACCTTGTTGCTGATTGGTTATCAATATGGAAATGAACAAGGAAATTTGTCTCTAGAGCTTAGCGTGCCACGAGTTTAACCGATGCACTTGATTGCCCTTTTTTCCAAGCAATCGTGTGTTTCCTATTTTCTAAAATATTGTCTTGTGTTTCTCCAGGGGAGATTACTCAAGTTTTATTAAGTAAGACTCGCATGGTCTTGAAAAAATAGGAAAATTTTAGAAATTGATTCTGGAATCTTGTAATTTTTTAGCAATCAAGTGCAAATGGTAAAAACAATCGATTGTAAGTTTTGAGCCGCTGGTTGTGTGACATTTTCATATCTTTCTTTGTGGTCGACCCAAAAGTAACTCAAGATGCAAGCTTTTTTTTGAGTAGTCAAATAATTTTTTAGCGAAAAAAACTCGGCCAACTTCTAAAAATTGTAACTTTTTACATTCTGTTAGATAGCAGTGGCTGGTCTGGGCGAAAGGTGCGAGAAGGTGTCGAACAAGCAAAAAAAAATTCCTTTAAAATTTTTTAGCTCCATCTCATGTAAGGATTATTATAATCCACAACCTGCGGGATAGGACAGTTGTTTGTCGCACGACCTGCAATGCAAAAACCTATTGTAATGGGCAGAAAGCCGATAGGATGGTCGAATAATATTGCCTAACATGTCGGATTTTAGAAATATTACCAGTTATTCAAATTGCTTGAACAAAAAACAGAATTAAATTTAGTAATATCTGATACAAAATTTTCGGACCTCCTGAAGTATGCGCACCAAGATGTCGCACAACCTGAATCCTAACCTTGAGCAAAAACTTATTATTGTTTTTTTTACCAGTTGCGCATCGACTTACTATGACAAGATTCGATATTATTATTATTCAATGTTTTTTAATTTATCACTAGTAATTCATTTCAATTTTTTAATTTAGTTCCATAGTCTGAAAAATTTTGATGAATGTGTCAAATTTTTCTTTTAAATATAGACATTTGACAATTTATCAGTCATTTTTGCACATTTTGCCATTATTGTTCTGGAAATTGCCTTTGAAAAACGATAAGCAATTGCTGAATGAACCAAAAAATGAATATTTTTTAAAAAATATTTGCACAGAATTAATTTTTACTAGACTTATTATTTCCTGAGATTTTCAATATTCATCTTAGGGGAGAGGAGAGCTGATAAAGCGACTTAATCATATGGAACCATGGTTCATTGTATGGCAACCATTTCTGTATGAAAAATGACGGGAAACACCATTTTTTTCATCGATATCTGATCAGTGAAATCCTGAATTTTGGGCCTAATTATATTTGATGGTTTGTAATGGCACTATTGCCAAACAAGCCTTCCCACCCTTTACAACATTTCCGCTGACTGAAAACACTTGCATTTCATTTCTGAAAGCTGAAAATGTTGATAACTTTTTAGACTTAGAAATAGTACATGATTATCATCCCCAAGTATGAGTGATGCTGGCTCCGATCGTGTCTCTGAATAAATAGCATAACACTTTAGCACGAACGCACAAATTTGATCAATGCGCATATCATCAACAACAATAATTGCTATTCATTGCTCGTTCACAGCAAAAAGACATGAAAAAACGTATTATCAGTGATCGCTGAGAGAAAATTACACAGCACAGATACTCACATGAGTAGTCGTGCGGGTTGTGACGTAATATAAATTATGCTGTTTTTTAAGTAATTTCGCGTTCACCACCCCACCCAGGGTGTGTGTAAAAATTGCGGAAAATGCGCAATCAAAGAAATCAGTGGCCTGTATTACAAAGCCTTTTCGAGGGCAAAAGGTGTGAAAAAGCGTTTCACCAGAGATAGACGAGGCAAACTTAGCGTGGCAAGGATACTCACAATTATAATCATGCAGAATATGGCATGATATAAAAACTCTAGTCGTTCGACTCTACCGGAATATTCATACCAAGATGACGCACAACCTAAACAACCCTAACCTGGTACACATACTATGTTCAGGTTTTGCGCCATCTTGGTACGAATACTTCGGGAGCATCGCTTGTTATTTTTCAAAATCTTTATTTATTTTTGTTTTATTTTAACCAGCTTTGGTATCAGTGGAAAGACCTACATGTACGTGAGGTTGATGGACATGTAGATTTGTGTTTAACATGCGTGCAGTTCGTTCATTTCATTTTAGAGGTTTAATTTGGTTTTTGTTGATGTCATTGTAGTTTTTTTATTTTTCATTTTTGGGGGGGGGGGGTAGCATGAATCATGATTGTCTTGATTAAAATTATGTTTTTGTATCAAATTTCTTATGGAATCTGACAAATTGATTATTATTTTATTTTGGGGTGGTATATAATAAATCTTTATCTATTTCAATGGGAAAGGAAAGCTGACAGCATGGCTCAGTCATATTGCACAGTTGTACAATTCAGGCTGTGATTGACTTGATTGAAACCAAATTTTTGGCCAGTTTTTTTAGAGTCTGCATCAGCAAACCAAATTTATTCCACAATGGGTGAAGTGATGGGTATTGAAATTTGAACCTGAATTGTGTAACCTGCAATGTCAACATGTTAGGCTGCCACAACCAAAAATGGCTGATAGCTATATGTACTACAATGGAACAGAGATGGGGACCAGTTGTTTCATTACCACAAGTATGATGCATTGGGCTCTAATCTAATTCCAACCGTCCAGGGTGTGGTATTAGTAGGCCATGTTGAATTTCAAAAACTTTGATTTTTTCAGTACCAACGGTTTTTAACCATTTTGTGGGAACATCAATGAAACTTCCCAGAGGGTCAAGGGCGTCCTGTTTATTTGGCTTTAAGCTGTAGATAACCTGGTCATAAACCAGAATGTGTGAAATACCTTACTCATGCACATATTCATTAAAACATTGTTTCAACTTCGCTAGTTATTTAGCTCACAGCGTCATTTTGGTGACATCTCGTCATTGTATATTAGCTTCAGTATCGCTTGTGTGTGCTTGTCGATTGTGTGTTCACTAACTATGTGATTTTATCAATCATATGTGTTATACCATTTGTCATGTGTGTGCTTTTTGTCAATCATGTGTGTGTGTTTTCATATTGTATGTGTGCTTCACTGGCCATTTGCTGTTCGTCTATCAGATGTGTGCCTATTTGTCATTTGTTCGTGGTTTTAGTCATCATGTGTGTTTTATCTCTAGAATTTTGGGTGTGTATATTCATTAGTTGTGTGTGTGTGTGCTTTCATTTATTCATGTGTGCGTGTTTATTCAACAATACGTCTGTGCGTATGTAAGACTCTTAACATTATTTGTCTTCATTTTTCCTATAAAATATAATTTTTAATAATTTACACAGTTTTCGGGTGGATGGGGGAATTCCCCTCATTCACCAAAACTTTTGATGAACTGTTAAACTCTGTTATAATTTCCAGGGAGTTTACTGAAGTGCCGCCATTGATATATCTTCCAGCACTTAGAAATTATTGTAAGGAGTCGTAGAAATTAACATTGGCTGAGAATTTACTAATGAAAACTTTCTGAAACTTTCCAACTGTTCACTTCGTTTTTTATTGATAAAAATTTTTCAAAATTTTTTGTGAATTCTACAAATTGCAGTATCATGATTTAAGCAAAATTTGAATAAGCCTTCTTTACTCTTCCTTGTCTTTCAAATATTTTAAATTTTCAAAATGAGAACTTTTTTTGACAAACCAAGCTCTTTATTAGTTGAACTTAATTTTACACTCGAAAGTATTTTATATATAAAGTTTGTTCTGGATGTCTTCGGCTTTGGCCTAAACTTATTACAGTGCAGAGATCTTTAACACAAAATGGGCGAAACTTCAAAAATCTGTTTTTGGAAAATCACAAAAATATATATAGGGTGTCCATAAAATGTTAACTTTATTTGAAATTGCAAAGGTGAATTTATCGATACCGTATATTGTTAATAATTACTGATTTAAAAACAACAAACCAGGTTGAGATACATTGAGAAGTTGAGAACTGACTTCATAACAAAATTTTAGCTGTAAATGAACTTTATGGACATCCTGTATATAATAATTTTCAAATTCATGTAACTTTTAATTGGAATACTTCGTAAAATATGATTAGAAAACAGCTTAAAAATCATCTATTTTTTTCCATTATTTTCCATTCTCTCTTTTGTCTCAAAACCCTCGAATTAGTAAACCTTCTAAAGTAATTAATTATTTGTTTTTTATTCAAATAGACGCAGAGAATACTCGGTAAATAGCTCATCACATTACGGTGGCCTTCATTTTTTTTGGTAGGGGGGTGGGGGAGGCACCATCTCCGAGTTGTCATGGAAACCCCCTACTGAAGAGCATGTTTCTTAAATTTACCAAATATGACATTTCTCTTCCTCTAGGCTGGCGGTTATCACAGAACACCAAAAAACAGGCTTGAGAAATCCCTGCGCAACAGTTCATTGTCTTTTATAGTTTTATTGTAATTGTATGAACTATAATTAGATATAAAAGCAAACCAAGGACTTCCAAAATAAAAATGATCTTCAAAGTGTAGCAGGTTCAATAATATCGGCGAACCTAATACAAAAACAATATACCTATATTAACATAGACCAATCCTTCACTATCCCTCCATGAGAGCAAATTTTCTCTCAAAAAACGGAAGTTGATGACTCTATCATGCTCTCAGATAGATTTATGGTGCCTCCTCCATTGTTAGTCCAATTCTAGCCTTTTGCTAAACTTCTAAGTTTTCTCACACTGGCTGCATTTGTGCTGCATGTCTAACAAATTACCGAGTAAAACTAACGAAGAAGTAATGTTATAGTGCCTTGTTTAGAGTGAGTGTTTGAAGAAATTGATAATATAGGCATAGACGTCATGGATGCATTGATTGGCATTGAAATCGCTTGGTGGCGCAGCTTTACCAAAAACATCAATGATTTTGAAGAAACAAAATCCCAAATCAAAATCGAAAGCGTTGGACACGCCCACTTACGTACACAATTTAAGTTATATATATGTTTGTCCTTAGCAGAGATGGTCTGTCTCCTTCTCATGAACCTTTAAAACACCAAAATCATGGTTTAGAGCAGTAGTTCTCAAACTTTTTAAGCCGCGCCCCCTTTTTAGAATTCGTCAAGTCTTGCGTCCCACCTTAAAAATATCTTTCTAACAATAAGCTACATATAACAGATAGTAAGGAGAAAGTATGTTTTATTGAAAAAACATGTTGAAAATATGTGGATGGAGCGTAAATATCCAAAATAAAGCGCCATGATCAAATCTAATAAACATTTTAATTTTTAATTAGCTTCACGCCCCTTGAAAAATTGTCAACGCCCACTTTGTGCCCCCCCCACCACCGCTTGAGAACTATTGGGTTAGAGAGTAAATCTCCTCTATGCTGACTGCAACATGTCAGACATTTCGTTATGCTGCTGCAATAACACAGCAACAGAACCAAGCACCCAACTTAAGAGAACACATGGTTGGTCATGATCAGTCATCTGTAACTGATGATATCACCGGTTATGTTTAGTCATCTGTAACGGATGACATCACTGGTCATGCTCAGTCATCTGTAACTGATGACATCACTGGTTATGTTCAGTCATCTGTAACTGATGACATCACTGGTCATGCTCAGTCTTCTGTAACTGATGACATCACTGGTTATGTTCAGTCATCTGTAACGGATGACATCACTGGTCATGCTCAGTTATCTGTAACTGATGACATCATGCTCAGCCATCCGGATAAACACTAGTTTGAATCCCGTTCAGTTCAGACACTTTTAGGCGAGGGGGGATTAAAAAAGGGGGAACCACCCAATTTGAAATCAAACCATTTGTAGTTTTTTTGGTACTTTCGTAGTATGTGTACCAGGTCAGCTTCGGATTTTCCTTATTTTAGTTCTATTGGGAGTTTTGGGACTGTCTGTGTTAGCCAAGTGAATATACTTCGTGCCCACAGGTTTCAGAGTCCCTTTACACAACTTAATGTGTAAAGTAGGCAAACATAATTAGTTGCCTCCATATTGGTACACACACTATTAAGCGTCGTTTTTTTTATTCACATCATCTCATGCATGGCCGTTCTTAACAAAACCAATTCCAAATCAGAACTAACAAGATCACTTATGTCTGCTGTGTTACACCTGCATGATTTATGCTACCATTCATGGTAGAAATTATAATTATATAATGTCATTTATATATGAAATTTTTATGTTTTTAATGTTAAACAAATTATAGTTGGTATGATAACTGATTGGGGCTACAAAGTTCATCATTATGTATGTCATAATAAAGTCTGAATTCAAATTTTGAAGTAATAATAGAATATCATTAGAACTAATAATGTGTATTGTTACTCAATAATATTCATCATTGTTTTTCTAGTTCATGGGATGACATGGAAATGAGAGATTACGGATCGCCATCCAACAATAAGTAAGTTGATTATCGGTTGGTTGCTCGAACTTTATAGGGGTGAGGTCTTCATTTCTGTACATAATTTTAACCTCACCCAGTATTCACCACACCCTTTAACCCCTCCCTCCCCATCCCCCCACTAATATATGAATACTCACACTCACTAATAAAAGTATTAAAAAAGAAGGAAAAGGAATTAGTGGAAAATTTAAAAAAAGGGGGGATGAGTTCAATTTTTGCAAGAGATGGGTGCTTTTAACCCAAAAGTTGTACCAATGGCTGCAGTAGGGAGGGGACCAAATGATCCAGCAGAGTTAATTGGATCTATGTATGCACCAAAATATTGCAAAAAAAAGTTATAAAAGTTTAAAAAATAAAAAATACGTCAAGGAACACGGTTTTCAAGCTGAATTTTTCAAGCATTCCTAAAATTTTCGGATCCACTAATAATGTTGTTGCAAATTCAGCAAATTTTTTTTGATTTTCATTGAATTAAGATTGGTCTAGCATGGTCCGACTGTCACACTGAATTTATCTTTGACTTATGCTGGATTTTGGAAATGATTTTTATCTGAGAAATAGAAATCTCTGATTTGGTGACAAATTAGTTTTTGTTCTTTTTGTCGAAAAAATGCAAAGGAACACAGTTTCATTTTGATTTGTAGATTCCAAATTTGATTATGTTCAAACAATTCATGCTCAACAAAGTAAAAACACTCTGTGAAATACCCACATTAAGTAATGAAACTAGGAAGAACCGAGAGTTTTCTATAGTAAAGGGAAAAGTATAATTAGTTTCGCGCCTAGCATTGTCGTCCCAAATCGACTGCTCTGTGGCTGTTGGTCGGGAACCGTTGGTTTCCAGGGCCCAGTAATTTGTTTGGTACAGTGGCTTCCAACCTGGTTTTCCCGAAGTTTCTGGTCACAACACTTTATCAGCTGCTCATTTCTGTCAGAAAATTTTTTCTGCTAAACCTTTTCCTTTGTAAAATATTTTTTGGTTGTTTCCATGACAGCTATAACATTTTCTCCTGTGTCTTCGCTTTTTGAAACACTATTTCTAAAACTTTGGTTTGACAACAAATGAAACAAAATGCATTATAGTCAAAAATTATATAAACGCAATCATGTCATTACAGTTATGGCAAATGTGACCCAAATAAAAAGGGAGTTGCGTTTCGATAACCGGTATTGGTTTTTAGCGTCTCCTTTCACCCTGAAGAGCGATTTTTTGGTTCAATATTTTTTTAAATTTTGTATGTATATCGTGCGTATTTCAGCATGGTGAAGAAATAAATTACTGATTAATTGTGGTTCCAAAAAAAAAATCTTTTCAGTGCTAGAATATCATGTGAGAGGCTATTGCTGGATTTGTTCGGGGGGGGGGGGGGGGGGGGGGGGGTTTGACATTGGTCGGTTACTGCATTTCTCCACCATCAAGTCCATGCATCTGGAACAAATAACTAGTTAACTATTCCCGTACCCGACATGGACCAACCGGACAAGAGGCCGGGCCAGTTCACTCCCTTCCAACGCCCTTCCCCCCTCATGAATGAATATGAAAACCGTAACTTACCGTATTTGCTCGTTTTATAGCCCGGGCCCATATTTTTTCAACCAAACTCACTAACCGGGCCCTTATTCAAGCACGGCCGCTTGTTATTTTTAAAGTAAAATTATACACAAAAATTACGGTTTCTTTGAAGACAAATATTTTTCGACTGTAATCCGTGGTGACAAAAGCGCTTCTTATTTCCTATTGTTCTCTACTACTGAAAAATTCAGCTTTTACATCGGGCGGGTATTCAAGCACCGCCCTTTTTATTTTATGTTCTGTTCACATGGGCGGCTATTCAAACGGGCCCTTTAATGAAGATCGGGCGGTAAAACGAGCATATGTGGTATCCTATATTTCATTTATATCTTTACCCTGGCAGTTGAGACTAGACTACAAATAATTCTGTTTGTTTTGTTTTTCAGAGTGAACAATGGATACTACTAACAGTTTCGGAAAGAACCCCACCCCCCAAAAAAAAAAATTTGTTTCCCTTTTTTTTAGAAAGTAACTATGCTCGTTGTAAATGTACATTTATCATAGGATAACACGCGATCATACATGGCCCAAGTTTATGTACTTAAGTTACTGTTGAAAATCAGTAAAATATCTTGAATTGCCTGAAGTAATATTTGCATCCCATAAATATTTGGAAAAATAGAAAACTATGAAAAATCAAACTCATATTTAGTCCTTGGTTTGTCAGAATTGCTTGCAACTTTTATTAAATAAATTTTGATTAAATTTAGATAAAACTTAAGATTAGCCTTTGAGTCTTAAACTGAGTAAAATTTATATCAAGCGTCTCATACAAAAACAAAAAATCTAGTCCCTGTCCAGTGGTTCCTCTTAACCGGAGGAAAAAAATTTTGGCATCAAATTGAAACTAGCTCCTATTCATGAGTAAAAGGTATATGAAACGTCTCGTACAAAAACGAGCATAAAATTCTAGAAATTTTTTTTAACTTTACTGTGTTTTTAACAGTAAATTTCTGTCATTTTTTCTTTGGCCATGGATGATTGTTTGTAAAGTGATTTCCACTGTTGGTTGGTGCCTTACGAATCTCATTGTTTTTTTAAGTTTTTTGTTATTTTTGGGTGGTTTCCATAGTAACAGTATTCTTCCTAGATGTTTTTTGTGTGATTTATAATTTTTCCCGATTCAGGAATTATTTCACGACCGTGCTTTTTCTGATTCTACGAATTCTTGATCGAAGCCAAATTATTGTGATTTTGCCGCCTATTTTGTTTAGAAATATTTTGAAAATTTCAAAATGTTTCATTTTTTGGGTTAAATTGCATATATTACTGAAAAAACACATCTTTATAAAATTCAAATTTTTTTTTGTAAAATTTTCACAAAATAATATTTTCATTTCTGTAAAACTCGTTTTTGAATAATTTATCATTATTATCCACGGCCAAGTGTGGCATGATAGTATAACATGCATCATTAGCAAGACTTATCACTGGCCCAAACATAAATTTCCTGATATGCCTCAGCAGTATTTTGTACAGCTTTGTGCATTGTTATTGTTATCATAGCAACAGTGCATTTTATTGTTACCATAACAACCTGTTTTCGCTTCCTTGCCCACCCGCTGCGTCATCTGCAATAATTTTTAATTTTTTTTGGTTGTCATGGCAATGCGCTTGTATATTTTGAAGCATCTTTCTGATTTCTTATATCTCAAGATTTTTGCAGCTTATTCATGACATGAATTTGATTTCAACGCAAAAAATAACAAAATTTCAGCCAAAACAGCAATTTTTGAAATCCAGTTTATTATTGTTTATGTAACATTATCGATATGTTCCCAAAGTTTCTCGTCAGCCAAAATCTCTTTTTATATTGTTTAATTGACATTCCTAATATATGATGCAATAATCAGCATTTTTTAGTATGTTTCCATAGTTACCTGACACACTATTTTTTGAAACAGTTCCCATGGTTATCTGACATCTTCTATTCCGCAAAATTTTCTGAATGTTACCCTAGTAACCTGATTTCATAGTGATTTCTTTATTCACGCTATGATGCGTTAATTAACATTTAGAAATGTTTCCGTGGTAACCTGATGTCATAGTTTGCCTAAATTTATAATATATTAGTTTTCATGGTAACACTTCATCACTTTCATTTGTATCATCACATCTTTGAATTTGTATTATTCCACTAACTTCTGTGTATTGTGATTTTCCCTTTTTGGTAGTCGTCATGGTAACGAGTTGAGCACTTAATTTTTTTAAAATAATTTCTCACCATTGTGAAGTTTTTTTTATAAAAAGCATCCAAATCTTAAATTTTTTTTATTCATTTTCCAAATATTTATCTAAGAAACCTAATTAATGTAGCCTTTTTCCTGCGCTTGAATATTGGCAGAATATATTGTAAAAACATGTTCCAATTCTGCCAATTTTAACTTGAAACATTTTTTCAAAGTCCTAAAGATGTGAATATCTAGCGTGGGAAAGGCATAAAATCCTATATTATCCATGTCCCATGTGTAACCAATCATTATTTTTAAGGTTAACAATATGTTGTATTTGTAACTACCATAAACGGTAGCTTAGAATTGGACTGATTTACCATTTAATTTGAGAAATCATTTTTTGGTTCTGCTTACCGTATATGCTCGTTTTACCGCCTGATCTTGATAGAGGGCCCTTATGAATAGCCGCCCGTGTGAACAGAAGATAAAAATAAATAAGGGCCGGTGCTTGAATACCCGCCTGATGTAAAAGCTGATTTTTCAGTGGTAGAGAACAATAGGAAATAAGAAGCGATTTTGTCACAACGCTGTTGAATTTTAAGTGCTGGTAGATAACACTCACGCCTTCGGCGTCCAAAAGTCAAAATTTTTGTTATTCTCGTTTAAATCATACTTGAGAACTGGATATGACAATATATTTTGTGATAATTTTACTTTAAAAATAACAAGTGCCCGTGCTTGAATAAGGGCCGATTTAAATAAGGGCCCGGTTAGTGAGTTTGGTTGAAAAAATATGGGCCCGGGCTACAAAACGAGCAAATACGGTATTTTTCTACTGTAGTGTAGTTTTTCTACTCAATTTATACATCAGTTGCCTCCATCAGCATTTTCAGTTGGGGGTTCTGGGACGTTTTCCAAAGATATATTTGCACAGGCCTTTAGTATGTTGCCCTACATTAAAAACTTCACAAATCAAATTTTATACACATTGCTGCTTATATTCATTGGCTTTCTGCATTTTTTCCATCAAAATCCCAAATACAGTTGGACATTTACTTTAATGTTTAAGTGAAAATACCATCAAATTTTGATACATAGGTGGTACGCATATTGATTAGATTTTACTGTGTTGATATCGCAGATTGCACATTTTATTTTCAAATCACTTCACTTGAAATATGCTGTGAAAAATTTGGGACTTCGTATTAAAATGATTTATATCTTTCCCAGCAAAGAATAAAATCTTGCATATCATCACATATTGGGGGCTGCTTCTACATGACTTTGTTCATAGCTAAAGCATGAAAAACGTAATTCCTGAATCTGAATCAACTATTATTCCCATATCTGGTTTAAACAGACAAGAAGTCATGATTTGTGTAGCAGTTTGGTCGTGTGATAAGCTTTCCTTCCCCCTCTTAGAGTAAATATGAAACCCCGGTACTTTGATTAAAACTTTAAACAAAATTTTTTATTTTGCTGATTAAAAGCTTCATAAACATTCCCAATGCTTAAAGAATCATTTTACAGCAATAAAATTAAAAAATTTGCATTTAATTTCAATATGAAATTGCTTTAGTTATTCTGTCAGCTCGTTGTTTGAATTATTATTATTTTTTTTTATATTTGTGTGCGAATATCGTAGAAATAATATTTAAGAGTTAGTTTATTTTATATTTCCTGAACCACCCAAGTTACCGGCACCCCTAATCCCCCCACAAAAAATAACCAAATGGACAAAAATATTTTCGGTACAGTAAAAGTTACAATGACCAAACTAATTCTTGTGGGTACTCCCGTAGTATGTGTACCAGGTTAGGTTTAGGCCATGAGTTAATTCCGATTTTCCTTATTTTGGTTCCATTACGAGTTCACAAAGACTGTCTGTGTTAGCCAAGTGAATATCCCCCTGCCCATAGATTTCAGTCCCTTTACACAACTTGATGTAAAGTAGGCGAACAAAATTAGTTACCTCCATATTGGTACACACACTTCTGAAGCGCATTCTAGTGTTATCTGCTTGTCAAGTTCAACTTCCAAACCTTGGTTCAACCTCAATCGTAAATCTCCAATTTGTAATTTTTAATTGATGGTGTTTCTCTGGGACCAATGCACCCCAATGAGAACTCCAGGCCAATTTGAAATATCATATGGGTCTGAGAAACACTTGATCTAAAACTTTTCGAAATGTTTCAATTTTGTTAATATATAGACGGGAGGGACTGCCTAATGCAGTAGTGCTTCCAAAAGTTTTGAGTCGCCAAAAAAGATTTGGGAACCGTCAATGGATTGCCGGTAGCTTAATGTCCATTTTTAAATATATGTATAAATCTCCTATTTGCTAAATCAACTAGATGAAAATTGATTTTTGTTGAGTTGTTCTTAAAATAAATAAGTATGTGATTGGGCAGAATAATCTCATTGCAATCACATGCTGCTATTTTATGCTTCATTGATTGTATATATCTATGATTTATACTGGTGTTTATTAACAGCTTTTTTGATATTATTGTGGCCGCAGATTTCCTTTGGTTTATAAGATTCACAGATATGACCTTGAACGGAATTCCAAGGTCATAAATAAAAGGTTTTCGGGAAAATTGTTTCATTTTCAGTAGTATCTCCTTAAACTTACAGGATAAATAAGACACGTGAGGGCGATGCTCGAATGTAAAAGCACAAAGTTCCGTTACTGTCTCAAGGTCGGCAAAATATGGCCCGCGGGCCAAATGCGTTTTTTGTGGCCCTCGAACGACCTCATTTACAGTGAATAAAAACAAAAATATCTCGAAAATAGAGTTAGTTTGAAATTAATGAGGCCGCACTCTATCGGAAATGTGTATATTCGGCTTGCTGATACATAAGGTTTGCCGACCACTGTTGTAGTTATTTAATATTTCATTTACCCGCAAAATGTTTTGCAACTGTTATTGCAATAGTAATGCTCGAGATAATAGACAATTTAGGTCCTTCTGACGTCACTGGATAAGACAGAATAGCGCAAATAAAGGACATTTCTTTGATAAAAGGCAGTCGGCAGTTATAGAATTCCTCCACCATCAAGTTCATGCATCTAGAACAGGGTGGTCCAAACACAGGCCCGCGGGCCACATGTGGCCCGCCACTCCATTATTTGTAGCCCGCGCCGCATTCAGAGAGTGATCAAAATATCGTATTTTAAATCGCTTCTTATAAAATAAATCAGAAAAATCGTTTGACATATTGCTGTTACATATTGTTGTCACTACTGTGACTGAATTGACTAGTATGATGGCTAGCTGAAGCAACTAGCGAAGTTGAAGATGTGATGGGCAGTCTAAATTGTTACCTGGATTTCTATCGTTTTGGTCGGGAATATATGCTAACAATATAGGCATGATAGAAAACTAAACATCGGATGCGGATTCCCTAGGTTGGCAATGCCTGATAACTATGTGTTTACACAATAGAAGAGCTTGTTTTGTATTGCACTGTTTACCTATTCTTGGTACTATTGTGGCCCGCGACCAATGCCAAAATAATTTTGTGGCCTGCGGAGCCCACAACCTTGAACCACCCTGATCTAGAACAAAATGATTGACTAAGTCAGAGTAGTCCAAACCCAGGCGTGGCCTGCAGCTTCTTTATCTGTGACCCGCGTAGCATTCGGAAAGTAACAAAAATCGCATTTGGTGTTGTTTTGTTATAAAATTAACCAGAAAAGTGTTTGGTATATTGCTTCATCACTAATGTCACTGAATTGACTAGTGCGTGTAATGGATAGCTGAGGCGACTAGCAAAGTTGAATGATGTGCTTTTTAAATTGTTATATGGCGATCTATTTTTATTGTGGCGTGCGAACAATGCGAAAATAATTTTGTGGCCCTCGGAGTCGACAACCTTGGACCACCTTGGACTAACTGATCCCATATTTGATATGTAGGCCTACTTACCGTGTTTCCCTGAAAATAAGACAATTTTCCTCCGAAAAATAACACTAGGGCTTATTTTCATTTATCGAAAACAAAATCACAAAGTAGGGAATTACGAGATTTTCAAATATACATAATATGAAAACCTTATCAAACTAACTGCAAAACACAAATTATCAATCATTTGAAACGTGTATGGCGAGATTTCTTGTTATTGACTAGGTCAAATTTTTTTTCAATAAATGCCTAACCCTGGTCGTGATTTAACATATGTTCAAGACGTGTTATCGGTTTCTTTTGCTGTCGAGATAAAATGATATCTTATCCACTAACCTCAATAAAAAAGAAAATATTTAAAATGAAAAGGTTTGTACGAGAAGCGTTGACCAGGCAATTACAGAAAAGTGTTTCAGGCAGACCATGACCACAATTTGGGGAAGCGCAACGCAATATGGAGGTAAACTTTCATAAATTAGATTATAAATAATTATTTAAATAAGATCATTGTTTATTAGTAAGTGACACCAAACAAATTTTATCAGGTCTGTGGAAGATTGGTCACACAAAGACTTACATACTTATACAGGGGAGGGGGAAGCCGATAAGACGGCTCAATCATACGGCAAACCACTGTCATTTGGGTACCAAAGGCTAGATAACCATCTTTTGGTTTCCCGTCTGTCCCTTCACCCTGGAATGCTATTTTTATATATATATAATTTATTACAATTTGTAAGTGTGCACTTTCAGCATGGCGAAAAAATAAATAACTGATTACTAACGACCTCTCGTCCAGTGACTGTTACAGTCCCTGTCGGGTATGGGAGCACAGAGAGAGTTAATGATTTATTTCCGAATATATCAAAAATGTACAATGTTGCAACGAATAGAAAAACAATCATAAATTATATTCGGAGGATTAGCTACGGTAGCCCGTTATTCGTTTTGGATGCACGGACTTGATGGTGGAGAAGTCCGACCCAACAACTGATAATTTAGATGTGCATACAAAAACTGTTGCAAAATCTAGTCAAATGGGCAGCTATGTATCAATAGCAATGTGGCAGCGTTTCAGTAATCAGTAATGCAGTCTAGTTTTTCACTTCTGGGATACATTTCCTTACAGTCAGTGAAGTGAAGAATAATTTTTCGAGATGAAGAAATGCGCGAAAAACTATCATGGTTATCGAGAAGGAATACCAGTAATCAGGTATAACGGTAATTAATAAAAGAAGAAAAAAATTAACAATACTCTTGAAAGAAATTCACATCAAAGTTCGCTGCGACGGCCTGATATATCCGGAAGATGCTCAATGCAGAAGTATAATCGACTCCGAGCACCAACAACTAAAATAACCACGGCAACAGAGACGCAGGTACGTTACTGCCCTACAAATTTTTCAAGGACGCGGTTTTGTTTGCTAGGATAGGATAGGATAGGATTTACATATTTATCCAAGGGGAGAGGAAAGTCGATAAGAAGTCTTATCCATAGGCGAACCACGGCCTCTCGTCCGGTTACCATTCCAAGTCGGGTATGGGACTAGTTATATCGTTTGTTTTTTCGGAAGCATGGACTTGGTGGTGGAGAAAGCCGTAACCGACCAGCGGTTACGTGAACCACCCAACGACGGCGAGGAGTCCAGCAATCCTCTCGCACATAACCATCCCTGCATGGGATTTGAACCTGCGAACCCACGCAGAGTAATTATTAGATTAGCGCATTATTATTAACATTCAAGTTTATTCCTAAGTCATTATAATGAAACAATGTCATTTTATTCCACGACTCTAATTTCGATTTGTTTGTAAAACATACCTGAATGTTTCATAAGTACCGTACCCGTACAAAGATAGGATTTACATATTTATCCCGGGGGAGAGGAAAGTCAATAAGACGGCTTAATCTAAATATAACCATATAACAAACAACGGCATCTCGTCCGGTTACCATTCAATGTCAGGCTTGGGATTAGCTAATTATTTGTTTTCGAAAGCGAACCCACACAGAGTAATCAGAGGTGCGATGGAGAGCGTATTCCTATCGCTTGACACGGTGAGCCCCACCGCCACGCTCCTGCCTCTGAATAGTCCCTACCGGTAGGCTGTGGACAGATGGGGCACCGTCGCTGTGGCTTGAGAAACATTCATTAATTCCTGTTTTTTAACTTTCTTTGTCATTTTTAGTTTAATTAATAAACATGGAGGTCTGCTTGAACTAAATCCTCTGAAACATTTGAAGCATTGAAGTTTCAATTCCTCGCAATTGATGGTGAGTATAATATATTCTGGAATTGATTACTCAATGAGTTATTTTTTTTTGAAAATTATAAGATTTTAGAGATTATGGGACTATAATATTTTATCTGGGGAGAGATTAGAGAAGTTAGCTCAGCGGTGTGGCGATCATGCTAAGCGTTAAGAAAATAATCGGCAACGTACCTCTGATTACCCTCCATGGGTTTGCAGGTTCAAATTCCATGCGGTGTGAATTATGTGTGAGGGGATTGCTGGACATTTTGCTGTTGTAGGGTGTTTGGCGAAACTGCTTGTCAGTTACCGCTTCCTCCACCTCCATCAATCCCATGAATTTGAAACAAATAACTGGCTAACTAATCCCATACCTGACATAGACTAGTAACCAGTCGAGAGGCTGTGTCCTGCCATATGATTAACCTGTCTTATCAACTTTCTTTTGCCCCCAATCAGTATTCAGTAATTTTATTTCTCACCATACTGAAAGCGCACCTGATATATAATCTACAATAAAGGATTTAAAAGCATTTCAGGGTGAGGGCAGTCGTGAGAAACAAAATTTGATTATTTTATAGCATGGCCTGTAAGAAAGCCCAATAAAAAAATAATGGAATAATAAGAAAATAACAAATATCGAATTGTATATGTTATTTAAAAAAAAAACAATAAATTCAGTAAGGCATGGCAACCAGGTATGTTCAGTATAAGGTTCCTCATGATATAAAATAGGACCAATTGGAGAGAGGCCAGGGTCTGGTAGTCCTCTGCTTAGACAAGGCTCAGATTCGGCTTTACAATGTAGTTGAAGGCAGCGATGTCTGTTTTGGAATCCCACATCATGCTGGTGTAGATTGTAAATTGGCAGCGATATTTATAAAGTTAAGATTATTAGCTATTGTAAGGTGGATTTTAAATTAATATTTAAATCCCATTCTAATAGTTGATAAGCTGGTTTCATAATGTGGCGAACACAGGCTATCGTTTAGTTACCAGGCCATGTCGAGTATTTGTTTGCCAGTTATTTGTCACGGATGCATATAATTAATAGTAGAGGAAGCCGTGAACGACCAGCGGTTGGGACAGGTGACGAACATGTGGCCTGCTAAAGAATTTCATGCCGCACTCATTATTCAGGTGATTCAGTGTATGTTTGGCATGAAGTCATAAAGTTTCAGGGACTTTACAAAAATTATTTATATAACTGGTGGCACTATTTTCAATACATCTTGTTATATGGTTTCATTGACACCTTCAGCAATGGATCAAAATGACCATTGTCTTAACTTAGTTACACTGTCTTCTTCACAGGGATAGGGATTTTGAAAGTAATAGAAAGTTTACAACTTCAGCTCAAAAATTAAAACAATGGAAGACTTTAAAAAATGCTTACATTTGAAAAATTGGTTAATTGTTACAGGATGGATTTCTTTTTGATTTTGTATCCAGAGGCTTGCGAGATACGGATACAAAGCCCTCGCCATTAATGCAGAAATGTGAGATTTGAGAAAAATACCACATAACGTTATAAAATACCAAGTTGGTAATTATCCAGTTTGGGTTAGGGCTCGAGTGTTTTGAATTCCCTGTGCAATCTGCTTTCCTTGCTCTAACCCTAACTAACTTATTTCTTTTTGTTTTTCTGAGCGGAGGCAGTGGTGTTTTTTTATGGCTGGAACTTTGTACGAAAGATCATTAAATACTTATCTGAGAGTTTATTTGGTGCTCCTGAAGTATGTATACCAATATGTAGATAACTTATTTTCTTTGGCTATTCCACATCGAGTTGTGTAAAGGGACAGAAACTTACTTGGCTGACACTGACAGTCCTCGAGCTTGTAATAGAACTAAAACAAGGAAAATCAGAATTAAATTATGGCTTAACCCTAACCTGGTACGCATACACGAGTACCCTCTATTTACTAAAATTTTGCATATTATCTCAACACAAAATGTTACAAAGGAAGGTATAATAAGATGTTTGTTGTATTATGCTTAATAAACGCAGCCAGAATTTTTGAATGAAAGGGGGGCAAAATTGGAATCGAAAGTTTCCATGCAACAGTCTGTAGTGATTTAGTCGATTGTTTCATGATGGTTTCTAATAGTCTATTGCTGCATTTTTGCCTGAACCTTAATTTGTGAAGATTGATAGCTGAATTATTAAAGACTAATTTTTGTCCACATGAGTGAGTGAACAGACTTTCTGTTTCAACAAATATGAACACAGATCTCAATTGACCAACCTAGAATCAAATTTTGTATTTTTGGCATGAGGCCTATTGTTTTCCACTTTTTGTAAAACTTTTAGTGAAATTCTGTTCATAAAATGTTATTTTCATGTCACACTTACATGGCCCGCCAGTTTAGGTGGCAAAATTTTGTGCCCCTGGTCTAAAAACCTTGCCCATCCCTATTGTACAGTGACACCCCAGTAGTCAACCAAAAAATCGAAGTAAAAAATGCTGCACTATTCGAACGTGAATTTGGATCGTGAACAGCCACGGCCGAGTGAGATGACGCCACCCTAACTTACCCGAACCGAAACTTAAAAAATGAAAATCTTACCATTCAGTTGGAACTTGGGAGTTTCCAAATCGTTCGTTCCTCCTGATATAAAGTGCTTAGTAAAGCAAAAAAGTTCTCCAAAAATCTCACTAAGCAAAAAATTAATTGTTTTATTGTTATTTTTTATGTTATGCTGCAATTTATTACCAAATAACTTCAACTAGGCATGGATGGGATTCATGTGATTACTGAATAATATGCCAACTTAGGACATATTATATCTGACAAGGGCAAAGTACGGTTCGTGAGCCCAATACAGCCGTTGAGTATGTCAAAATGGGTTCCTGATGCTGACGCATCCAAACTGAAGCCGGATTTTGATTTTTTAGCTAAAATAGCAAAAATTTTGTTTTGGCACGGGGCTTATTGTTTCCCAATTTTGCTTTTGTAACACAGTAAATATTAATCATGAAATATATAGTTTTTACGTTACACATGGCCCACCAGAATAAGTGGGGAAAATTTCTGACCCTGGTCCAAAAACCATGCCCGCCCGCTGAGATTTAATATATATCAGCATTTCTCATATTTTTACCTTGGAACACCTTCGCTTTTCATCTCGCTTCACGGAACACCACAAATTTAGAAGCTAAAATTGATAACAAGCCAGTAGGCGCCCAGTATGGAACTCCGTCATTGCCCGAAGGCTGCGTCATTTCAGTTTACTAATGGGTAAGAGGGAGACGCCAAGAAATAGTACTAAAACAGCTTTTTTATTTGAGCCCTGTGAGTCTCATACGTATTCATGGGTGAAAGCAGTGGCGCCAGTTTTTTTTGGAGGGTGGAAACCCCCCCCCCTTTTTTTTCAACATTTTTGGAAAGCCAAAAAAGTCACCAAAAACGGTGCAGTTACATTTTGCCGATTGTTATATCTTGTAACCCTGAATCTGATGTTTTATAGGTTTGAAAATGGAGCAGGATATCGGGCCAGCTGTGTCGGTGTCAGAGACAAACATAACTGATTCCGTTGTGCAAGACTTGAGCGTGAATAACGCTGCAGAAGTCTCTGTGACAGCAGAACGTTCAGCATCCGTGATAGCAGAACAGGCGAATCTAACAGCTAGAAATGCTGTCATTTCTGCCGAACAATGCTACATTGGTAAGAGAATTTTTTACTCAGTGTTTTTGGCAGCCCATATTCGTGTCTATATCTATATTAGATATGCACCTGCCACTGGTATAAAGTTTTGTAATACTCATTTTCGCAACCAAATTTCAACTTCAGAATAAGGGACGTTCTAGGGATGCGACGAATCCAAAAAGGTTCAGCTTGGCCGAATTCGAGTATTTGGGTTGGTCTCGTGTCCGAGTCTCGAGCCCAATACTTTTATGCAGCTCCGAAATAAATACCTAAAGTGATGCTGTTGTTCGCGTATATTGGCCGTAAATTAAACATTAGTAAGATAAGACTATGTACCTATCATACTTTTTCAATTTCTAATTTTACATAAAGCCAGTCAACACCGCCTTTTTAAATTTAGAAACGTCGATACAGATAAGTAAGAGGAGTAAATAATGTATTCTATGGGAAGTTTTCTAGATTTTAGGGAGAAATAATATTTTTACCATATACAAATGCCATTATTGCAGATTTATTCACATGTTTAGTATCAGTGTTTTGACCCCAAAGCTGAGTTACATGAATACTCAACACTGAGTATTCAAGCAATGACCAATTGTTGGAGTTTTTAATTTTTAATAAATTCGAAAATACCAGGGACTTTTTAAAAAATTAAATAAAAAAAAATGTAATGTAACTACCAGCGTCACAAATATTGCATCCCGGGGATATATATAATACTGTTCGCTTAAAATTGGGACCGTAATTTACAAATTGTGGAAATGGTGTTGAAATATTGAAATATTAAAATAAACGAAAAATATGATGAATTTTGTCTGAGGAGTTATTTCCCCCATCTAACAGTAATTATGCGATATCACTAAACGGCAGTCCGTGAAGCAGTTAAATTTTTACTCATCCTAACCTGTTGTGAACTCCCCCTCTCTTTCAGTATTTAGTTAAATTTTTACTCATCCTAACCCACTAAGAAAATGTTTCTACCAAACCTTAGTTAGTAATCAGTATTTTATTTCTCCAGCATGCTTGGATATGCAGTAGACATACACAAAGTAACATAACCATAATAAAATTGAAAAAGGTCGGATTGCAAAAACTGATTTTGCAAATTTTATTAAAGAAATCTGTTCTTTTCTTTTCCAGAAACCAGCATTACCGGGGCTGCTGTTCAAGATATGAGCATAGAAAGTGCGAAAGATGTTTCGGTGATCTCTGAACATACAGAAATAGCGTCGCAAAAGGCAACTGTCCAAACAGTAGAGGCAAATGTGTCGGCAACAGAAGCTCATATATCTGCAGAGACTTTGCAACAAACCAACATAACTGGTATGATTGTTTAAAAGTTTTCTATATATTTTACATAAAAGGGTTCTGAACCAGTGACTCGCCAATTTTTTTGATATATTCCTTCTTTTGAATATTACCTGTTGCCTATTTATGGAAACATTCTAATCTAAAATTATCTAAATACAAAGTAACATTCCTCTTTTTCCTTTCTGTCAAAAAAACTCTTCCTTGGTTGGGGAACACTGATCTAATTTATCGTGCTTTCATATTATTTCAATATTTAGTCAAGTTTTTACTCACCCTAACCTACTGTGAACACCCCCTCACTTTCAGTATTTAGTCAAATTTATGCTCACCCTACCTACTGTAACACACCTTCTCACTTTGAGTATTTAGTTAAATCCCACTCACTCTAACCTACTGAGAACACCCCCTCACTTTAAGTATTTAGTTAAATCCCACTCACTCTAACCTACTGAGAACACCCCTCACTTTAAGTATTTAGTTAAATTTTTACCCACCCTAACCTACTGTGAACACCCCCTCACTTTCAGTATTTAGTCAAATTTATACTCACCCTACCTACTGTAACACACCTTCTCACTTTCAGTATTTAGTTAAATTTTTACCCACGCTAACCTACTGAGAACACCCCCTCACTTTAAGTATTTAGTTAAATCCCACTCACTCTAACCTACTGAGAACACCCCTCACTTTAAGTATTTAGTTAAATTTTTACCCACGCTAACCTACTGAGAACACCCCCTCACTTTAAGTATTTAGTTAAATCCCACTCACTCGAACCTACTGAGAACACCCCTCACTTTAAGTATTTAGTTAAATTTTTAACCACGCTAACCTACTGCGAACACCCCTCACTTTAAGTATTTAGTTAAATCCCACTCACTCTAACCTACTGTGAACACCCCCTCACTTTGAGTATTTAGTTAAATCCCACCCACTCTAACCTACTGAGAACACCCCCTCACTTCAAGTATTTAGTTAAATCCCACTCACTCTAACCTACTGTGAACACCCCCTCACTTTGAGTATTTAGTTAAATCCCACCCACTCTAACCTACTGAGAACACCCCCTCACTTTAAGTATTTAGTTAAATCCCACTCACTCTAACCTACTGTGAACACCCCCTCACTTTGAGTATTTAGTTAAATCCCACCCACTCTAACCTACTGAGAACACCCCCTCACTTTAAGTATTTAGTTAAATCCCACTCACTCTAACCTACTGAGAACACCCCTCACTTTAAGTATTTAGTTAAATCCCACTCACTCTAACCTACTGAGAACACCCCTCACTTTAAGTATTTAGTTAAATCCCACTCACTCTAACCTACTGAGAACACCCCCTCACTTTAAGTATTTAGTTAAATCCCACTCACTCTAACCTACTGAGAACACCCCTCACTTTAAGTATTTAGTTAAATTTTTACCCACCCTAACCTACTGAGAACACCCCCTCACTTTGAGTATTTAGTTAAATCCCACTCACTCTAACCTACTGAGAACACCCCCTCACTTTAAGTATTTAGTTAAATCCCACTCACTCTAACCTACTGAGAACACCCCTCACTTCAAGTATTTAGTTAAATTTTTACCCACCCTAACCTACTGTGAACACCCCCTCACTTTGAGTATTTAGTTAAATCCCACTCACGCTAACCTACTGAGAACACCCCTCACTTTAGTGAATTTAGTTAAATCCCACTCACTCTAACCTACTGAGAACACCCCCTCACTTTAAGTATTTAGTTAAATCCCACTCACTCTAACCTACTGAGAACACCCCTCACTTTAAGTATTTAGTTAAATTTTTACCCACCCTAACCTACTGAGAACACCCCCTCACTTTGAGTATTTAGTTAAATCCCACTCACTCTAACCTACTGAGAACACCCCCTCACTTTAAGTATTTAGTTAAATCCCACTCACTCTAACCTACTGAGAACACCCCTCACTTTAAGTATTTAGTTAAATTTTTACCCACCCTAACCTACTGAGAACACCCCCTCACTTTGAGTATTTAGTTAAATCCCACTCACTCTAACCTACTGAGAACACCCCCTCACTTTAAGTATTTAGTTAAATCCCACTCACTCTAACCTACTGAGAACACCCCTCACTTTAAGTATTTAGTTAAATTTTTACCCACCCTAACCTACTGTGAACACCCCCTCACTTTCAGTATTCAGTCAAATTTATACTCACCCTACCTACTGTAACACACCTTCTCACTTTCAGTATTTAGTTAAATTTTTACCCACGCTAACCTACTGAGAACACCCCCTCACTTTCAGTATTTAGTTAAATTTTTACCCACGCTAACCTACTGAGAACACCCCCTCACTTTAAGTATTTATTTCAATTTTCACTCACCCTAACCAACTGAGAACACTCCCTCACTTTAAGCATTTAGTTAAATTTTCACTAACCCCAACCTACTGAGAACACCCCTCACTTTAAGTATTTATTTCAATTTTCACTCACCCTAACCTACTGTGAACACTCCCTCACTTTAAGCATTTAGTTAAATTTTCACTAACCCCAACATACTGAGAACACCCCTCACTTTAAGTATTTATTTCAATTTTCACTCACCCTAACCAACTGAGAACACCCCTCACTTTAAGCATTTAGTTAAATTTTCACTCACCCTAACCTACTGAGAACACCCCTCACTTTAAGTATTTATTTCAATTTTCACTCACGCTAACCTACTGAGATCACCCCCTCACTTTAAGTATTTAGTTAAATCGCACTCACTCTAACCTACTGAGAACACCCCCTCACTTTAAGTATTTATTTCAATTTTCACTCACCCTAACCAACTGAGAACACCCCCTCACTTTAAGTATTTATTTCAATTTTCACTCACGCTAACCTACTGAGATCACCCCCTCACTTTAAGTATTTATTTCAATTTTCACTCACGCTAACCTACTGAGATCACCCCCTCACTTTAAGTATTTAGTTAAATCCCACTCACTCTAACCTACTGAGAACACCCCCTCACTTTAAGTATTTATTTCAATTTTCACTCACCCTAACCAACTGAGAACACCCCCTCACTTTAAGTATTTATTTCAATTTTCACTCACCCTAACTAACTGATAACACCCCCTCACTTCAAGTATTTATTTAAATTTTTACTCACCCCAACCTACTGAGAACACCCCTCACTTACAATTTAGTTAAATTTTCACTCATCCTAACATACTGAGAACACCCCTCACTTTAAGTATTTAGTTAAATTTTCACTCACCCTAACGTACTGTGAACATCCCCTCACTTTAAGTATTTATTTCAATTTTCACTCACCCTAACCTACTGAGAACACCCCTCACTTTAAGTATTTATTTCAATTTTCACTCACCCTAACATAATGTGAACACCCCTCACTTTAAGTATTTATTTCAATTTTTACTCACCCCAACCTAGTGTGAACACCCCCTCACCTTTAGTATTCAGTCAAGTTTTCACTCACTCTAACCTCTTGTGAACATCCCCTCACTTTGGGTATTTAGTTAAAGTTTCACCTGTTTTTACCTACTGAAAACACCTTCTCACTTCAAGTATTTAGTTAGGTTTTACTCACCCTAACCAATTGAGAACACCCCTCACTTTCAGTATTTGTTTCAATTTTCACTCACCCTAACAAACTGAGAACACTCCCTCACTTTAAGCATTTAGTTAAATTTTCACTAACCCCAACCTACTGAGAACGCCCCTCACTTTAAGTATTTATTTCAATTTTCACTCACCCTAACCTACTGTGAACACTTCCTCACTTTAAGCATTTAGTTAAATTTTCACTCACCCCAACATACTGAGAACACTCCCTCACTTTAAGTATTTATTTCAATTTTCACTCACCCTAACCTACTTAAACACTCCCTCATATTAAGCATTTAGTTAAATTTTCACTCACCCTAACATACTGAGAACACCCCCTCACTTTAAGTATTTATTTCAATTTTCACTCACCCTAACCTACTGTGAACACTCCCTCATATTAAGCATTTAGTTAAATTTTCACTAACCTCAACATACTGAGAACACCCCTCACTTTAAGTATTTATTTCAATTTTCACTCACCCTAACCAACTGAGAACACCCCTCACTTTCAGTATTTATTTCAATTTTCACTCACCCTAACCAACTGAGAACACTCCCTCACTTTAAGTATTTAGTTAAATTTTCACTAACCCCAACATACTGAGAACACCCCTCACTTTAAGTATTTATTTCAATTTTCACTCACCCTAACCAACTGAGAACACTCCCTCACTTTAAGTATTTAGTTAAATTTTCACTCACCCTAACCAACTGAGAACACCCCTCACTTTCAGTATTTATTTCAATTTTCACTCACCCTAACCAACTGAGAACACCCCTCACTTTCAGTATTTATTTCAATTTTCACTCACCCTAACCAACTGAGAACACTCCCTCACTTTAAGTATTTAGTTAAATTTTCACTCACCCTAACCAATTGAGAACACCCCTCACTTTCAGTATTTATTTCAATTTTCACTCACCCTAACCAACTGAGAACACTCCCTCACTTTAAGCATTTAGTTAAATTTTCACTAACCCCAACCTACTGAGAACGCCCCTCACTTTAAGTATTTATTTCAATTTTCACTCACCCTAACCTACTGTGAACACTTCCTCACTTTAAGCATTTAGTTAAATTTTCACTCACCCCAACATACTGAGAACACTCCCTCACTTTAAGTATTTATTTCAATTTTCACTCACCCTAACCTACTTAAACACTCCCTCATATTAAGCATTTAGTTAAATTTTCACTCACCCTAACATACTGAGAACACCCCCTCACTTTAAGTATTTATTTCAATTTTCACTCACCCTAACCTACTGTGAACACTCCCTCATATTAAGCATTTAGTTAAATCTTCACTAACCCCAACATACTGAGAACACCCATCACTTTAAGTATTTATTTCAATTTTCACTCACCCTAACCAACTGAGAACACTCCCTCACTTTAAGTATTTAGTTAAATTTTCACTCACCCTAACCAACTGAGAACACCCCTCACTTTCAATTTAGTTAAATTTTCACTCATCCTAACATACTGTGAACATCCCTTCACTTTAAGTATTTATTTCAATTTTTACTCACCCCAACCTAGTGTGAACACCCCCTCACTTTTAGTATTCAGTCAAGTTTTCACTCACTCTAACCTCTTGTGAACACCCCCTCACTTTAAGTATTTAGTTAAATTTTCACTAACCCCAACCTACTGAGAACACCCCTCACTTTCAATTTAGTTAAGTTTTTACTCACCCTAACCAATTGAGAACACCCCCTCACTTTCAGTATTTAGTTAAATTTTTACACATGCTAACCTACGAAGAAAATGTTTTCACCAAACCTTAGTTAGTAATCAGTAGTTTATTTCCCCAGCATGCTTGGATACACAGTAGACATACACAAAGTAACAGAACCATAAGAAATCGAAAAAGGTCGGATTGCAAAAACTGATTTTGTAACTTTTATTAAAGAAATCTGTTCTTTTCTATTTCCAGAAACCAGCATTACCGGGGCTACTGTTCAAGATATGAGCATAGAAAGTGCGAAAGATGTTTCGGTGATCTCTGAACATACAGAAATAGCCTCGCAAAAGGCAACTGTCCAAACAGTAGAGGCAAATGTGTCGGCAACCGAAGCTCATATCTCTGCAGAGACTTTGCAACAAACCAACATAACTGGTATGATTGTTAAAAAGTTAATTTCCCATTTAACCAGAAAAACTTCTAAACCAGTGGTGTGCTACCTTATTTGTTTTTTTTTCTCATTTTTATCTTTTGAATCTCTTTACTAGTCCTTCCCTATTCATGACAACTCTTGTTTCTGTCATTCAAATTTCAACAGATATTCAGCTAATGCAACATACACTTTAGTTGAAAAATTACGAATAAATATGTATGCATTGCAATAATCTTGGAATTAGTAAAATTGCTGTCATGATAATTATGATAACAATGATAGTAAAATTGCTAAATTTCTGTGTTTTTTTATCTCGGAAAAAACGCTGGTCTACTCCAGTGATTTTCAACCGGTGAGAGACCTCCAGGTGTTCCACGAAAAATTGCTTTTTTGAAGTATTATGACGCCATAACTGAAATTTAATCAGCCGGTGAACTTATACAAATTACACGAGGCTGCGGGTTGAGATTAAAATTCGCATTGAGGCGTGTTGTTAAGCGACGGTCACTGCGAACCAACTGCCGAACCTTTTCAATGTTGGTATCAGTTGTGGAAGTGCAAGGCCTCCCTGACTTCGGATCATTCTCCAAATCCTCCCTGCCTTCCACAAATCGCTTGTGCCATTCAAAAACTCTTGTTCTGGACTTGGAAGAATCTCCATAAACATCACACAACATCTTCAAAGTCACTGTTGCCGTTTTTTCAAGTTTAACACAAAATTTATTGTTAATTATTTGCTCAATCGTCATTCTGCAATTGAACCCCCTATCGCCAAAACACTCAATCAGATCTCGGAAAGCAATTTTTTTAACGAGCAATTGATCACATTCACCTATGGTTCCTAAAAAGCAAAATAATTGCGATAATGTGTCAAAACAGCTGTTAAACAAGGAACACATGTTAAAAAACATGTAAAAGTACACATGTAAAAGTATTGATTACCGATGGTTAATCATGTTGCGCGAACTGTGACATCAGTCCGGTTTCTTTTCAGTCACACCTCATATTTAGCTAATGCAACTTGCACTTTGGATTTTGCATGGTTTAAATAGTTGAAAATTTGTGAATATATATGTATTGCAATCATCATAGAAATTAAACAATATCAGTAAAATTGCACTAACTTTTTTTCCTATCTAAGAAAAACTCCTTGGTTAGTCTAATCCAGTGATTCTCGAATACCGCAGAGGGGGGGGGGGGGGGGGGCAATTGCGCATTCTCGAAAAAGTCAAATTTGATTAAAATCGCTGAATGTTTTCTCAGATGACGTGGGTATTCAGGTCATTAACATTGGTATTTGTGTCGGTGAAGTATATGTCCGCGAATTCTCTCCAATCTCCAAATTAAGTATTACCTAGTATAAGTGCCCGAGGACGTAAACTCGTACTTATTATGTGATCATCTGAGACGAGACTCTAAATTCAACCTAAGGATTGGATACCCAATCCAATTTCCACTGAAAAATAAAGAAGTGAATTTGAAGTATAAAAGCGGTCATAATATATTTATATATATAATGGAAAAATCATAAAATCTGTTCTATTCATTTCCAGAAACCAGCATTACCGGTGCTGCTGTTCAAGATATGAGCATAGAAAGTGCAAAAGATGTTTCGGTGATCTCTGAACATACAGAAATAGCGTCGCAAAAGGCAACTGTCCAAACAGTAGAGGCAAATGTGTCGGCAACAGAAGCTCATATATCTGCAGAGCCTTTCCAACAAACCAACATCACTGGTATGATTGTTTAAAAGTTTTCTTTATATTTACAGAAAAGGCTTCTAAACCATGGATTCGCCACCTTTTTTGATATATTTTTTTTCTTGTCTATCACTTTTTCCTATCATGGAAACTGCCACATTTGATAAAAAATGCAGCACACGATTTGGATATTGCACGGTTTGAATAGTTGAAAATTGATGAAAAATATGGCACGTATTGCAATAACCATAGAAATTGAAACAAATTTTGGTAAATTGCATTAAAGTAAGGTTTCTCCTATTTCGGAAAAAACTCCTCGTTTTAGGAAACATTGGTCTGAAACATTGTACAACTCATGTTTAAACCAGTTTTATTTGAGTGACTCAGAACTTCTTCTATTTCTGGAAAGTTAACCCAAAGTAATCTTATCCCGTAAAAGTTTTTTTGCCTAATTATTGATTAGTCGGCGAATAAATTGATATTCATTGAATTTTTGGATTTTAAATATAAAATGTGCTAGCCAATAGATTATACCAATGTTAAGGGCTGTAGATTCGGAGTCATGGTTTGGTTGGAATGAACGTTTCTATCGAGCCTTAGTTAGTAATTAGTAGTTTATTTCCCCAGTATACTTGGATACGCAGTAGTCATACATAAAGTAATATAACCATAAAAAAATTGAAAAAGGTTGGATTGCAAAAACTTATTTTGTAACTTTTATCAAAGAAATCTGTTCTTTAATTTTCAGAAACCAGCATTACCGGGGCTGCTGTTCAAGATATGAGCATAGAGAGTGCGAAAGATGTTTCGGTGATCTCTGAACATACAGAAATAGCCTCGCAAACGGCAACTGTTCAAACAGTAGAGGCAAATGTGTCGGCAACAGAAGCTCACATCTCGGCAGAGACTTTGCAACAAACCAATATAACTGGTATGGTTGTTTAAAAGCTTTCTACATATTTTACAGAAAGGGGTTCAAAACCAGTGATTCTCCACCTTTTTTCTGATATATTCCTTCTATTATTAAGTACTTCTTCCCTGTCCTTGAAAACATTCGAATTATAAAGGGAAATTAAGCTTTGAATGTATTATTATACGTGGACAAATACTGTAATTAGATTATTACCAAAGTAATCAAAAACTATCTGAATACAAAGTAACATTTCTGTTTTTCCTCTATGTGAAAAAACTTCTTGGTTGCGAAACGCTGACCTAATATATCGTGCTTTTATATTTTAAGGAGATTTCATGATCAGATCAAAACTTTTAGTTTGCAGTAAAATTAACTCGAGTAATCTGATCCTGTCCTCTTCTAACCGTTTATTAGTCGGCAAGTTAATTTTTATTCGTCGAACTTATAAAGAAATACAAAAAATAAAATTTTTTACTGACATTAGATAACACCAAATAATGGGACTTTGGATGTGAATTCGGGGTCATGGTTCTGAGCCATCTAAAGAAATCTGTTCTTTAATTTCCAGAAACCAGCATTACTGGGGCTGCTGTTCAAGATATGAGCATAGAAAGTGCAAAAGATGTTTCGGTGATCTCTGAACATACAGAAATAGCGTCGCAAAAGGCAACTGTCCAAACAGTAGAGGCAAATGTGTCGGCAACAGAAGCTCACATCTCGGCAGAGACTTTGCAACAAACCAATATAACTGGTATGGTTGTTTAAAAGCTTTCTATATAATTTACATAAAAGGGTTCTGAACCAGTGATTCGCCACTTTTTTGATATATTCCTTCTCTTGCCAATTACTTCTTCCTATTTATGGAAACTTCCACATTTAATGAATTTTTAACAAATATTTAGCTGCGCATATACGCAGCATGCAATTTGAAATTTACATAATTTGAATAGTTGAAAATTGATGAATAGATATGCATGTATTGCAATAACCATAGAAATAAAACAATATCGGTGAAATTGCACTAAAATTGGTTTCTCCTACTTGGGAAGAAACACCTCGTTTAGTAAACACTGGTCTAAAATATTGTACACTCATGTTTAAACTAATTTTATTGAGTGACTCAGAACTTCATCTATTTCTGGAAAATAAATCAAAGTAATCTTATCCGGTATAAGTTTTATTATCTAGTTATTGATTAGTCGACAAATAAATTTTTAATCCTAAAATTTCTTGAGTATTACATATAAATGTACTAGGCATGAATTATAGCAACGATCAGGGCTTTGGACTGGATTCAAGGTTTGGTTAAAAAGAACGTTTCTATCGAGCCTTAGTTAGTAATCAATAGTTTATTTCTCCAGCATACTCGGATACGCAGTAGACATACACAAAGTAATAGAACCATAAAAAATCGAAAAAGGTCGGATTGCAAAAACTTATTTTGTAACTTTTATCAAAGAAATCTGTTCTTTTTAATTTTAGAAACCAGCATTACCGGGGCTGCTGTTCAAGATATGAGCATAGAAAGTGCGAAAGATGTTTCGGTGATCTCTGAACATACAGAAATAGCGTCACAAAAGGCAACTGTCCAAACAGTAGAGGCAAATGTGTCGGCAACCGAAGCTCACATCTCGGCAGAGACTTTGCAACAAACCAACATAACTGGTATGGTTGTTTAAAAGCTTTCTACATATTTTACATAAATAGGTTCAAAACCAGTGATTCTCCACATTTTTTCTGATATATTCCTTCTATTATTAAGTACTTCTTCCCTATTCTTGAAAACATTCAAATATTCAAAAAAAATTAAGCTTTGAATGTGGTATTATTATACGTGGAGAAATAATGTAATTAGATTTTTACCAAAGTAATCTAAAACTATCTGAATACAAAGTAACTTCTTAGTTGCGAAATGCTGACCTAATATATCGTGCTTTCATATTTCAAGGAGATTTCATGATCAGATCATAATTTTTAGTTTGCAGTAAATTTAACTCGAGTAATCTGATCCTGTCCTCTTCTAACCGTTTATTAGTCGGCAAATTTTTATTCGTCGAACTTATAAAGAAATACAAAAAATAAATTCTACTGACATTAGATAACACCAAATAATGGGACTTTGGGTGTGGATTCGGGGTCATGGTTCTGAGCCATCTAAAGTAATCTATTATTTATTTTCAGAAACCAGCATTACCGGGGCTGCTGTTCAAGATATGAGCATAGAAAGTGCAAAAGATGTTTCGGTGATCTCTGAACATACAGAAATAACCTCGCAAACGGCAACTGTTCAAACAGTAGAGGCAAATGTGTCGGCAACAGAAGCTCATATCTCTGCAAAGACTTTGCATCAAACCAACATAACTGGTATGATTGTTTGAAAGTTTTCTACATACTTTACAGAATATGGTTCTAAACCAGTGCTTCGCCACCTTTTTTAATATATTTTTTTCATTTTTATCTTTTGAATTTCTTTAGTAGTCCCTCCCTATTCATGAAAATTCTTGTTTCCGTCATTCAAATTTCAACAGATATTCAGCTAATGCAACTTGCACTTTTGATTTTGCATGGTTTGAATAGTAGGAAAAACAATGCTACTAAAATTGCACTAAATTTCTGTTTTTTTTTATTTGGAAAAAAATGCTGGTTTAATCTATCGTGCTCCCATGTTTAAACTAGTTTTATTCGGTGACTCAGATCTTCTCCTATTTCTGGAAAACTAACCAAAGTAATCTTATCCCCTAGAAGTTTTCTTGTCTAATTATTGGTTAGTCGGAAAATAAATTTTTATTCCTTGAATTTCTAGAGTACTTATTAAATTATTTCTAGTACTTGTAAAATGTACTAGCCATAAATTATAGCAAATATCAGGGCTGTGGATTCGGATTCATGGTTTGGTTGGAATGAACGTTTCTACCGAGCCCAAATTAGTACTTAGTAGTTTATTTCCCCAGCATGCTTGGATACGCAGTAGACATGCACAAAGTAATAGAACCATAAAATTCGAAAGTTATTTTTGCAACTTTTATGAAATAAATCTGTTGTTTTCATTTCCAGAAACCAGCATTACCGGGCTACTGTTCAAGATATGAGCATAGAAGTGCGAAGATGTTTCGGTGATCTCTGAACATACATGAAATAGCGTCGCAAAAGGCAACTGTCCAAACAGTAGAGGCAACTCTCTCTGCAGCAGAAGCTCATATCTCTGCAGAGACTTGCAACAAACCAACATAACTGGTATGATTGTTTAAAGTTTTCTACAACTTCAACAAAGAAAGGTTTTAAACCAGTAATTCGCACTTTTTGATATTTTCTTTCTCTTAATAATATTATTTGTTCCCTATTTATGGAAATATTCTAATCTAAAATTATCTAAATACAAAGTAGACATTCCCTGTTTTTCCTTTCTTGTCAAAAAAACTCCTCCTTGGTTGGGAAAACACTAATCTAATTTTATATCGTGCTTTCATATTTCAATATTTAGTTAAATTTTTTACTCACCCTAACTACTGTGAACACCCCCTCACTTTTAAGTATTAGTCAGTTTTTACTCACCCTAAGTCACTGTGAACACCCCCCTCACTTTAGTATTTAGTCAAGTTTTTTTTACTCACCTAACTTATTGTGAACATCCCTCACTTTAAGTATTTAGTCAAGTTTTTACTCACCCTAAGTTATTGTGAACATCCCCTCACTTTAAGTATTTAGTCAAGTTTTTACTCACCTTGACCTGCTGTGAACATCGCCTCACTTTAAGTATTTAGGTAACCCTAACCTACAGTGGACACTCCCTCACTCCAAGTATTTAGTTAAATTATTACTCACCTTAACCTACTGTGATCGATCTAAAGATCCGTAAGTTTGTTGATAGATATTTGTCTGTTTGTCTGTTAGATGCACGCGGTATCTCACGAAAGCGAAGTTAAATCTGCTCCAAATGTTGCATGTGCATTCATCATATCTCGGACCAGAAGCCTATTGATTTTGGATGAATTATGTTATATAATTAGCGAGTTATTAATTAATTAGTGATAGGACACGCGGTGTCACTATAGAGTCATGAATAAACCGCAGTTTCTATCGATAAGTCTTCGGTCTCCGACTGATATTCTCGTCTGTTGTTGATTAGTCGAAAAATAAATTTTTATTTTTATTCGTTGTATTCCTTGGGTATTAAATATGAAATGTTTTAGCCATAAATTATAGCAACGATTGGGGCTGTGGCTTCATATTTATGGTTTGGTTGGAATGAACGTTTCTACCGAACCTTAGTTAGTTATCAGTAGTTTATTTCCCCAGCATGCTTGGATACGCAGTTGGCATACACAAGTAATAAACCTTAAAAAAAATCAAAAAAGGTCGGATTGCAAAAACTGATTTTGTAATTTTTATTGAAGAAATCTGTTCTTTTCATTTCCCAGAAACTAGCATTACCCGGTGCTGCTGTTCAAGATATGAGCATAGAAAGTGCGAAAGATGTTTCGGTGATCTCTGAACATACAGAATAGAGTCGCAAAGGCAACTGTTCAAACAGTAGAGGCAACTCTCTCTGCAAGCAGAAGCTCATATCTCTGCAAGACTTTTGCATCAAACCAACATAACTGGTATGATTGTTTGAAAGTTTTCTACATATTTTACAGAATATGGTTCTAAACCCAGTGCTTCGCCACCTTTTTTTAATATATTTTTTTCATTTTTATCTTTGAATTTCTTTAGTAGTCCCTCCCTATTCATGAAAATTCTTGTTTGCCGTCATTCAAATTTCAACAGATATTCAGCTAAATGCAACTTGCACTTTTGATTTTGCTAGGTTTGAATAGTAGAAAAAACAATGCTACTAAAATTGCACTAAATTTCTGTTTTTTTTATTTGGAAAAAAATGCTGGTTTGATCTATCGTGCTCCAATGTTTAAACTAGTTTTATTCAGTGACTCAGATCTTCTCCTATTTCTGGAAAACTAACCAAAGTAATCTTATCCCGTAGAAGTTTTCTTGTCTAATTATTGGTTAGTCGGAAAATAAATTTTTATTCCTTGAATTTCTAGAGTACTTATTAAATTATTTCTAGTACTTGTAAAATGTACTAGCAATAAATTAGCAAAATCAGGGCTGTGATTCGGTCATGGTTTGGTTGGAATGAATGTTTCTATCGAGCCTTAGTAATTAGTAGTTTATTTCCCCAGCATGCTTGGATACGCAGTAGGCATACACATAATAGAACCATAAAATTGAAAAGGTATTTGCAACTTTTATGAAATAAATCTGTTCTTTTCTTTCCAGAAACCAGCATTACCGGAGCTGCTGTTCAAGATATGAAGCATAGGAAAAGATGCGAAAGATGTTTCGGTAATCTCTGAACTACAGAAATGCGTCGCAAAAGGCAACTGTCCAAACAGTAAAGGCAACTCTCTCCGCAGCAGAAGCTCATATCCTGCAAAAGACTTTGCATCAAATCAACATAACTGGTATGAATTGTTTGAAGTTTCCTAGATATTTTTACAGAATATGGGTTCTAAACCAGTGCTTCGCCACCTTTTATATATATTTTTTATTTTTATCTTTTGAATTTCTTTAGTAGTCCCTCCCTATTTATGAAAATTCTTGTTTCCGTCATTCAAATTTCAACAGATATAGATAATGCAACTTGCACTTTGGATTTTGCATGGTTTGAATAGTTGAAAAATTATGAATAAATATGTATGCATTGCTATAATCTTGGAAATTAAACAATGCTACCAAAATTGCACTAAATTTCTGTTTTTTTTTTATCTGGAAGAAAACGCTGGTCTTATCTATCGTGCTCTCATGTTTAAACTAGTTTTATTCGGTGACTCTAAAACATCACGACAATCAGTGGACATAAAAATATGAGATAAACTGCCAAATTGTATTTAGTTTTGATACGTATTTTTAAGATCTTGTGAACTCGTTATTGCAAAATCTGATATTAAATACCGTAGGAGTACAATTTAATTTCGTACAATAAAAATACATACAAAGTTAATCAGTAAATCATAAATACATATTCATCGACTCGAAATCCACATGGAACAGTTGTCGCGATTACGCCACTTGTTAAAAGAGCTGACTTTTTCAACGAATAATGATTTTTCTGTTGTGCAAAGCAATCAATCCATCACTGATACAGGAATATTTAAAATGTCTTGTTTTATTAATTTAATTGTCTTCAATTTATTCTGTGATTGCATGGACAAAACAAAATCATCGCTGCTCTAAAGTTCTACGACAATCAGCGAACATGTGTGGTAAACTGCCCGAATATATCTTATTTTGATCTGTATTTTTGCCATTTTGCGAATTCGACAAATTTGAGCTGTATTTGAAACACTAACTCCGCTCAATCACAATGCTGCCGTTCAGATTATTTTCAAGATGAAATCGTTAGAAAAATCCGCAAATCTGCTGTAAAATGTCATTGTGTAAAATTTATTTAGTACAATAAAAATTAATTGAATTTTGAATTTACTTTAAATGAGCGGTTCCCAAACTATGGGTCGCAAAAGGAATCTAAGTGGGTCGTGGAAAGACGTAGAAAGCTTTGATTAATTATACTAGTTATTATGATCGGTGTCGACTCGAATACGTAAATCTTCAAAAAAAAAAAAAAAATTTTATTGAATCCAAATTCTAATCTGTGAAAGTTTCTATTTTACGATCTTCTCAAAGGAACAAGCCATGTGGCTTTTTTACGCATAGCAGTTTTGTACACTGTACAGCATTTCCTACCGTGTTTCCCCGAAACTCAGACAGGATTTAGATTTATTTGCTTTTGAAGAATATCAATATGGTTTTTTTTTGAAAAAGGTCTTTTGTGTTCATTTATCAAAAATAAATTTACATTGTAGAAAATCACGAGATTTTTTAATAAACATTATATAAAAACCAACATCCATTTCCTATACAAAAATCTAGTGACAAATATCATAATTGTGATTGTGACATCACACAATCTTGAATAGTGGTGTGATCTTCACCTTACCTCAGGTCATTGAACCTTTCCTCTCCCACACATTTTAAATTTATTTTAAGGGTAGGGTTTAATTAAAATCATTTTCAAAATTCAAATTAGGTCTTATATTCAGGCCAGGTCTTATTTTCGGCGAAACACGGTAGTTTTGCGATGATTAGCCCTTGCTGTGTCGCCATAAGCTGTGGTAATAAATAGTGGGTCTAGACTCTAAAAAGTTTGGGAACCACTGCTTTAGATTAATTATCTTCTATGATATATATCATCACTACCCGAGAAAAAGTCTCGTTTTTGATTTTAGTGACGGTATGGCTTGCAACGCCGACTAAACATAATGTGTGCGGAAGAAAAAATTTGAAAAATGCCTAAAGAAGTGTTTTTAATTTGTCGCAGCCTCCTACAACAAAACTTATCTTATTTACAGACTTTGCAGTTTTATTTTTAGGTATTCATATTGCCGCTTTTCAATCAAAAAATTGGCGTTGCGGATTCACCCCTTTATTCCTTTTTAGCATCTTCAATAAAAACCTATTAATCATTTGTTCCTGCTGCGAGTTGCGACTATCGCATCTTGATAATTTTGTAAGTCAAAAACAACTTATGTTTAGATATAGACAAAATTATATGGGGTGAGATCGCCTCTCTCACACCCACACGAGGCCGCCCTTGGTTACCCTTGGTCAGACGAAACGTTACAGAAAAATATTTGTGTAAGTGTGCAGCAAGACTCTTGAATTAAATAGAATTGTCATTTAATGACTATCCATTTTTGTATTTCTGATAAACAATGTTATTTTAGGCTACCGGTATTTCTATACTTTTTAAAATAACAGCCAATCTTAATTCAGCTCATTTCGTGAAAATCAAGTCAGAATATATCAAAACTAATGATCTTCCCAGATTTCTTTTATATGAGTAGGCCTCTCTCAGAAATGAAAATTTTGGTCTATTACGAAAAATTTGTTTCCGGACAATACAACTTTCACAGTGGATCAACTGTAAAGCGCACCTCAGAAAAAAAATCAACTAAATCTTTTGGTGCTCCCGAAGTATGCGAACCAAGATGGCGGACATCGGATCGTAACATGGGTAACAGGTCAGGGTTAGGCGATATTTTTTTCCAATTTTCCTTATTTTAGTCCTATTATCAGTTCGAAGACTAGCCAAGAGCCTCCCGTAGTATTTATAGCTAAAAATTATGGCCTAACCCTAACCTAGTACACATATTACATTCCGATGTCCGCCATCTTGGTTCGCATACTTCGGGAGCCCCAATCTTTTTTCATATGAATCGGCCTCTCTCAGGGAATGAAAACTTCAATCTGTTACGGAAAATTCTTTTCCAGCCAATAGGATTCTCATAGTGGTTCAATTGTGAATTGCACTAGTTCAGCACCTCAGAAAGCAAGCTAATCATCTAGTTCTAAATTATTTGTGAGGTAAAATTTTGCTTTACTCGCCTTTCATTCAACTAATGTTTGATGTATTGGCGATCTATCATCACTAAATCGTGTCCGGTTTCGTACATTTCACAAACGTTAACTTTAGTCAAACCTTCAGTCAAAACTCAAAAATCATTGCTTTCACAGTGGGAACGGGAAGCGTCTCACGAACAAAGAAGAAGAAAAAGAAGAAGGGTGAGCATTGTTCATTTTGGTATTCAATTAATATTCCCTATTATTATTAGTTAAACTCTAACTCAGTGGTTCTTAAACTGGGGGGCGCGCCCCCCTAGGGGGGCGCGAGAAGATTTTAGGGGGGGCGCGAAAGATTTCAAGAAACCACACTTGAGACTTTATTTTGCTTAGCCAATTTAATATTTTGAAATTTCATTTAACTCGTCGTCTTGTTGCTTTATAATTTTGTGTCGTAAAATGATGCAAAATGACCCTTTTCTTTCACTACTCACTACCAGACTACGCGTGGCAAAATAGGATAAGCATGCGTGAATATGCGTTGAAATTGATTACTGTGTTAACGGTTCTGCGAGCATTGATTTCCTTGCTTAGTGTCGTCACAATGACCAATCAGCATTAAGTCAACAATGATGGTACAATAGAAGTCGGTCAGACCAATGACATTAAACAACATGATAGGCAACTCTGACGTCACTCCATAAGACTACAGGCAAAACATTGTATTTCATGATACGCTCCAATGCACATATTTCTCGTCGCCTTTCGCGTTCGTTTTCCGCTCGCTTTTGCTACTCGGCGTCTTTTTTACGTGTAGTACCTGCCTTTTTGCGCCTGTAACGAAACAAAATAATCTCTATATCTAAGAAGTTTTGCTTACTTGGAAAGCTGGAATAACAGGCAAGCTGTAAAGAGCAATTCTGGACATCATAGACGTTTTTTTTTATCAGAGAAGATTACAAACGCGATAGCGGAAAGATTTGTGTGGAACATTTTGCAGATAATGACAAAGTTCAAAGTTAGTAATTTTAATGTTTGCGCTTAATCATTGAAATTTCATTTAAAGAGGGTGTCATACAAAACTGTGCTGCGATACAATTCCATAACACAAAGTTTGCACCTATCGAACTTGCTTTTGTAGGTGAATTTATTAGACATATTACATATTCAGTTAATCGTAGGTAACATTGCTGGTACATAATGCATCGTAGATAGGTTTGTTTAAATTTAGGAATTTAGCTCATAGCCCACTAATTAATATTATCTTCTATGCAGGAGGTTGCAGGGCTGAATTCAACTTGCAGCCTTACCGATCACCTGACGATGCTCATTTAGTTTGGCTCGAGCAAGTCTTCTTGAAATGCTTGTGTGGATGGAAACTACCTATATTTTTTTGCCTTCCTCCGATTTTAGACAAATTTATTCTGAGGGATTTCGCATATAATTCTCACTGATTGTTGGCTGTTTATAATTCCTATTGATTGTGAATTCTGATTATAACAATGAGTTGAAAATTTTTTTACCTAATTTACTGGCACCTTTTTCTTGTCAATACTCCAAGCTGAGGTAATAAACATGACAATACATTTATGTCATCTGGAAGCAAAATATGCACACTAATTAATAGTTTGGCACATTGAGATAATACATCATGACAGAAAATACAAGTTAAAGATATGTATGACCATCACATGGTAATTAAAATTAAAAAAAATTAATAGGGGCTGTGGAGTATGGAAAGTTCAAGACAAAGAAAAGAACAAATGTTCATAGCTCATGAACTCTCAAGTTTGCCTCCATTGCTTTGTGAAGGCCAATATATTTCGAGTGGCTGAATTGGTTTACCTTTATGATAGCAACGATTTGTATTTAATATAGCGAGATTATTTCAATTTAATTGAAGTGATATAATTTCCCAAAGCAATGCTTGAATCGTCTAGAATAGATCAGTGGTGTCAAACTCATGGGTTTTCGAGAGCCGCATTGCATTTTGAAAATTGTAAAAAGAGCCGCAAACAGTTTTTGATAATGTATACTTAAAAGATATTTTTAAGATAATTTTAGTTTGTGACATATATTGTGATGCAACTAAACAGTTGGATTAAGTTTTATTATTTTCTTCAATTTCAAATGCAATTACATATTAATATTTGCATTCCACTATTATTGCAACATTTGCAAGTTACAGTATTTATTATAAAAAATCGTAAAATTCTATGTACAACCATCAAAATCATTTTTGAACAAGCTTTGAATAAGGAAAGAATAATACATACACTAGAAATAACTTAATCTAAATATATGAACCTAAAATTAACAAAAATACTACAGTATAAACTCAATGTTTTAATAATTACATTTGTCCTGGCGTTTGGCATCTTTTTTGTGTCACCAGCATACTAAGGCCAGTCTGAAATGATTTTATAGTACCAACTCTAACTAACGAGGCCACATGATCATGGGTTTATCTGGATCTTTACGAATGTTTAATTAATTCCAGTAATGCAAAAAAGTTACTTTTATCATTTCATGTATAGATCAGTAAAAAAACAAATGACAGATTTTTTCGACAAGACATTTCGCACTACATTGCGTGGCATAGGATTGCTTGAATTATTATTGATATTGATTTTTAGTAACTAAGTCGTTGTATAATTATATTAATATACAAACACATGGAAATTTTCTGTTCGAAGTTGGTCTTCGAATTTGTCATATTGACTGCTGAGCTTATTGTGTTTTTTGATTGTATTGATGGAAATATGACAAATTAAACAATGTGCTTCAGAATTTTGTGAAGAGCAGAAATGTTACAACTCCCATTTTCTTCGAAAATGCCACCTTCTTCATGTACTTTGCGTTTAATTTAATTACTCAAGTGTTTTATTCAAGTATTCTTTTGCTAGCTTGATGTGTATTCTTAATTGGGTCAAAATGTGGACAAAAAAAATTAATATTCCAAAACTACTTTCAGTAAATTGTTTTCTGTGTGAATAATCAATTTCACTTTAGAAGGTTTGAAAAATCTATTACATTTAGATAAAAAAAAACTTCCAAAATACTATTACAATTATTGTTAAGCGTTCGAGGGCCGCACTGGAAGTTCTCTGGGGCCGCGAGTTTGAGATCCCTGGTCTAGATTGAAGTTGTTCAAAAAATATATGATAGTATTTTATCATGAATGATGATTATACCCTTTCCGGAATTTCTTCTATAGTACTACCAAAAGTTGATGAACCAAATATAACACAGGTGCAGTGAGGTACCCGTAATCCTCATTTCCAAAGCTGTTTAAGTATGTCTGGCGTGTTTTGTGCCTTTTTACAAATAAGACCGCTTATGCAATCTTACGCTTTGGAATTTTTAGTTATTTTCCTCAAGCCCTGCAGGATGTGGGGGCCATACACAACTCTACCGGAGGGTCAAATGTCTTTGCATGCCTCCATAGGTTGTTTTCTATTGCAATTTTCTATTTTCAATTGCATTATATTTCTTGGAATCACACTGTCACTGATATGTCGCCAAACTTCTGATATCTCCCCGTCTGCTATAGTTGTCCTGTGAATAAATAATAGGAAATTGAGATTAGACGAATAGTTGAAACTTTTGCTTTCTGTCGGCTTAATTTCTTGATTGATATACTTACTATTTCTGCTTTTGCCTCTTGTGCTGCAAGAGTCTCACAATGCTTAGACAGGTTTGTCCACAACTTTCACATCTGAAGAGAGAGAGGAGATTTATTAATTTTCGTTAAGAATAAATAAAGCAGTCTATATGATTCAGAATGGAAAAGCTAATAAATCCAATATCTCATGTTTTATTTAAAAAATATTTTACTGAATTTGGTATATAAACCAACTAATAAAAGGGTTTAGTCAGAAAATTACAAGCATTCGTGGCTCCAAATACTTGAGAAATCAGACTATACAATATAGACCGGTATGAGTGAAATGTTAGGTGAACTTGTTAACACTTTGATTCAATACGCAAATAAAAGTGAATGCGTAATAGTATGTTACAATGAGCAGCAATCAACAATGAGTATATATCCTCACTGATTAAAAAATCTAACTGGAGGTGCATGAACTATTTGAAACCATAAGGGGTAAGTAAATATGTAATTTCGGCAAATGGGCAACTACGTACCGTACTGAATTAATAACTTCGTAGTATTTGACAAAGGCTGGCTTTCCCACATGTACTTAACAGTGCGATGCCCGGGTGTGATATACAACAATAGTATTCACCTTACCTTTTGCCGATTTCTTTTTACCCCAACTTTCAAAAATATCATTAAAATCGACAACAACTGTCAAAGCAGGCACGAACACCATTCGTGCTACGCCTTGAAAGCAGCACACATCCGCTCGTTTTCGTCTCGTCAAGTATGTGCATTGGAGCGTGCTATCGAATACGATCTTCGGACAAAAATGCCGGAGTTGCGCATCATGTTGTTTAATGTCATTGGTCAGACAGATGTTCGAGCATGGCTGTTAACGTTTTGTCGTTTTCGTGGTTTTGTGTATTAGCCTATTTGACAGCTTTCAGTTGTGCCTCCAAAAATAGCTGTATATCGAATACCTTAATTTTCATCATATTTTTCGATGAGCTGTAGATTAGTTGCAATAAGTAATAAAACTTGATAAAATTTTAATAAAACCGCAAACTCTGTGATGACCTAACTTATGCCATAAGTATCTGTAAGCGGCACACGGTATTTAGTTTTGGATAAAATTGACAGTTTTGACCATTTGATGTATATCTTTTCTTTGGGCTGAAAACGTACATATATTTATTGCACTTTTCCATTTTTGTAAACTGTATTGTTTGTAATCTCATCAGGTAGATTGGCTTTGAATATTTGAGAAGTTGAGCAAGCCATGAAGTCTGCAATCGTTGTGTATTGTCAGAAACAGTAGATTGACTTTGAATATAGCTCAGTAGTGATGTTATGAAGTAGTTTAACAATTGAGTGAGTTTTTACGTAATCATTTATTGCATTTAGTTTAGATTTAGTTGTAATTTAGTTGTATTGCAAAATGAGCGGGAAAAAGAGAAAGTATGATGAAGATTATCTTAGGTATGGCTTCATATATACCACAGTGAAGGGCGAGGTTGTACCGCAATGCATTTTGTGCTTTGAAAATCTCAGCAATGACGCTATGAGGCCAACTCGCTTACAGCGACATCTTAAAACAAAGCACCCTGCACATCAGGAAAAACCTTTAGCTTTTTTTCAAAGCAAAAAGGATTCATTTAAAAAAATGAGGACTTGTAGCATGAATTCATTTTGTCAGTCGCCTTCTGCAGATGTAGTAGAAGCTTCTTTTGAAATTGCTCATATGATTGCGAAGCAGAAAAAACCGCACGGTATAGGGGAGACATTGATAAAACCGAGTATTTTAAAAGCTGCTAGTCTTGTTTTGGGAGAGGCGAGCAGAAAGAAACTTGCAAAGATTTCTCTTTCGGATTCTACAATTAAAACAAGAATTGATGAGATTGCACACGACATTGAACTTCAGGTTATCGAAAAAATAAAGCTGTCGCCATTTTTCGCCATACAATGTGACGAAACTACTGATGTTGCCAACTTGTGTCAGTTGTTGGTATATGTCCGTTTTGTAGGATCAAGTTCAATTGAAGAAGACATGCTCCTTTGCAAACCTCTCGAGACGACCTCTAAAGCTGAAGATGTATTCAAACTTGTTGCTGAATTTTTTGAAAATAATGAATTGAAATGGGATAAACTTGTAGGTGTCTGCACTGACGGTGCGCCGGCTATGATAGGATCTCGTAGTGGATTTATTGCCAGAATAAAACAAAAAAATTCCGACGTTATTGGATCGCACTGTGTCATCCATCGAGAGGCTTTGGCTTCTAAGACTCTCTCTACTTCGATGAAAGATAAGCTTGCGATAATAATACGAACCGTCAACTACATTAAAACTAGTGCCGTCAATACACGAATGTTTGCCCAAATTCTGTAAAGATATGGATTGTAATTACGAGAATCTGCTTTTCCATACAAATGTTCGGTGGCTATCGAAAGGAAACATGTTGGCACGTGTGTATGAGATGAGGAATGAGCTTACGCTATTTCTGGAAGCTCAGGAAAAATACGATCTTCTCCTTTATTTCAAATCAGATGAATTTGTGCTGGTCATGGCCTACCTTGTGGACATTTTTGAATCTCTGAATAAATTAAATCTACTATTACAAGGCAGAGAAACTAATCGAATAACTGACTACGGTTTCATTCGTGCTTACATAGCGAAGCTTGAATTATGGTATCGCCGAGCTCAACAAGGAAACGCGGCCTCATTCCCCAATCTCGATACTGCTCTTGACGAAAAACAAATCAAGCTTGATGGTGATTTCAAGAGCGATATTGTGTCCCACCTACGTCTTTTAAAAGAAGAATTTGAACGCTATTTTCCAGATTTGGAATGACACAGAACTTCCAGAATGGAAACTTACAAGAGATCCATTTCGTGTCGATGAAGACATTCTTCCAAGCAACTTGCAAGAAGAATTTTTGGATATGAAATTTTGATTCATCTGCAAAAGACGACTTTTGAAGCCATGCCGCTAACCGACTTCTGGGCAAAATATGTACGCATATATAAGAGAGTAGGTAGCGTAGCAATACGCACTCTGCTTCCGTTTTCATCTACCTACCTTTGTAAAAGCGGGTTTCTACTCTGGTGAATATAAAGACAAAACAACGGAATAAACTTCAATGTGAATCAGATATGAGATGTGCGTTATCTGCTACAGTTCCTCGAATTAAATTACTTGTTTCGCAAAAACAGATTCACCCTCTCATTGACGTTATTTGTGAATAAAATCTTGTTTCGTTGAATGCATGTTTGTGCCTCAATTTAAGGGGGGGGGCGCGAAATCTGTACGATTTTTCAAAGGGGGGCGCGGCTCAAAAAGTTTAAGAACCACTGATCTAAAGCATCTAGCCACTTTCTATTGCGCTCTTCAAACTACATTTGCGTTGCCGCACGCATTTCGTTTTCCTAGTTTAAGCTTAGGGACTTGGGAAATAATTTATTAGTTGAATTGGATTGGAATATTTGACCTCGTCTTTCACACCGAACAAGGCCATGTAAAACCATCCACTGATATCTAAAGATGTGTAACGTGTTTTCTTTTGGAGCAGTGGTTCTTAAACTGGGGGGCGCGCCCCCCTAGGGGGGGCGCGAGAAGATTTTAGGGGGGGCGCGAAAGATTTCAAGAAACCACACTTGAGACTTTATTTTGCTTAGCCAATTTAATATTTTGAAATTTCATTTAACTCGTCGTCTTGTTGCTTTTTAATTTTTGTGTCGTAAAATGATGCAAATGACCCTTTTCTTTCACTACTCACTACCAGACTACGCGTGGCAAAATAGGATAAGCATGCGTGAATATGCGTTGAAATTGATTACTGTGTTAACGGTTCTGCGAGCATTGATTTCCTTGCTTAGTGTCGTAACAATGACCAATCAGCATTAAGTCAACAATGACGGTACAATAGAAGTCGGTCAGACAGATGTTCGAGCATGGCTGTTAACGTTTTGTCGTTTTCGTGGTTTTGTGTATTAGCCTATTTGACAGCTTTCAGTTGTGCCTCCAAAAATAGCTGTATATCGAATACCTTAATTTTCATCATATTTTTCGATGAGCTGTAGATTAGTTGCAATAAGTAATAAAACTTGATAAAATTTTAATAAAACCGCAAACTCTGTGATGACCTAACTTATGCCATAAGTATCTGTAAGCGGCACACGGTATTTAGTTTTGGATAAAATTGACAGTTTTGACCATTTGATGTATATCTTTTCTTTGGGCTGAAAACGTACATATATTTAATTGCACTTTTCCATTTTGTAAACTGTATTGTTTGTAATCTCATCAGGTAGATTGGCTTTGAATATTTGAGAAGTTGAGCAAGCCATGAAGTCTGCAATCGTTGTGTATTGTCAGAAACAGTAGATTGACTTTTGAATATAGCTCAGTAGTGATGTTATGAAGTAGTTTAACAATTGAGTGAGTTTTTACGTAATCATTTATTGCATTTAGTTTAGATTTAGTTGTAATTTAGTTGTATTGCAAAATGAGCGGGAAAAAGAGAAAGTATGATGAAGATTATCTTAGGTATGGCTTTCATATATACCACAGTGAAGGGCGAGGTTGTACCGCAATGCATTTTGTGCTTTGAAAATCTCAGCAATGACGCTATGAGGCCAACTCGCTTACAGCGACATCTTAAAACAAGCACCCTGCACATCAGGAAAAACCTTTAGCTTTTTTTCAAAGCAAAAAGGATTCATTTAAAAAATGAGGACTTGTAGCATGAATTCATTTTGTCAGTCGCCTTCTGCAGATGTAGTAGAAAGCTTCTTTTGGAAATTGCTCATATGATTGCGAAGCAGAAAAAACCGCACGGTATAGGGGAGACATTGATAAAACCGAGTATTTTAAAAGCTGCTAGTCTTGGTTTTGGGAGAGGCGAGCAGTAAGAAACTTGCAAGATTTCTCTTTCGGATTCTACAATTAAAACAAGAATTGATGAGATTGCACACGACATTGAACTTCAGGTTATCGAAAAAATAAAGCTGTCGCCATTTTTTCGCCATACAATGTGACGAAACTACTGATGTTGCCAACTTGTGTCAGTTGTTGGTATATGTCCGTTTTGTAGGATCAAGTTCAATTGAAGAAGACATGCTCCTTTGCAAACCTCTCGAGACGACCTCTAAAGCTGAAGATGTATTCAAACTTGTTGCTGAATTTTTTGAAAATAATGAATTGAAATGGGATAAACTTGTAGGTGTCTGCACTGACGGTGCGCCGGCTATGATAGGATCTCGTAGTGGATTATTGCCAGAATAAACAAAAAATTCCGACGTTATTGGATCGCACTGTGTCATCCATCGAGAGGCTTTGGCTTCTAAGACTCTCTCTACTTCGATGAAAGATAAGCTTGCGATAATAATACGAACCGTCAACTACATTAAAACTAGTGCCGTCAATACACGAATGTTTGCCAAATTCTGTAAAATATGGATTGTAATTACGAGAATCTGCTTTTCCATACAAATGTTCGGTGGCTATCGAAAGGAAACATGTTGGCACGTGTGTATGAGATGAGGAATGAGCTTACGCTATTTCTGGAAGCTCAGGAAAAATACGATCTTCTCCTTTATTTCAAATCAGATGAATTTGTGCTGGTCATGGCCTACCTTGTGGACATTTTTGAATCTCTGAATAAATTAAATCTACTATTACAAGGCAGAGAAACTAATCGAATAACTGACTACGGTTTCATTCGTGCTTACATAGCGAAGCTTGAATTATGGTATCGCCGAGCTCAACAAGGAAACGCGGCCTCATTCCCCAATCTCGATACTGCTCTTGACGAAAAACAAATCAAGCTTGATGGTGATTTCAAGAGCGATATTGTGTCCCACCTACGTCTTTTAAAAGAAGAATTTGAACGCTATTTTCCAGATTTGAATGACACAGAACTTCCAGAATGGAAACTTACAAGAGATCCATTTTCGTGTCGATGAAGACATTCTTCCAAGCAACTTGCAAGAAGAATTTTGGATATGAAATTTGATTCATCTGCAAAAGACGACTTTGAAGCCATGCCGCTAACCGACTTCTGGGCAAAATATGTACGCATATATAAGAGAGTAGGTAGCGTAGCAATACGCACTCTGCTTCCGTTTTCATCTACCTACCTTTGTAAAAGCGGGTTTTCTACTCTGGTGAATATAAAGACAAAACAACGGAATAAACTTCAATGTGAATCAGATATGAGATGTGCGTTATCTGCTACAGTTCCTCGAATTAAATTACTTGTTTCGCAAAAACAGATTCACCCCTCTCATTGACGTTATTTGTGAATAAAATCTTGTTTCGTTGAATGCATGTTTGTGCCTCAATTTAGGGGGGGGGGGGGGGGGGGGCGCGAAATCTGTACGATTTTTCAAAGGGGGGCGCGGCTCAAAAAGTTTAAGAACCACTGCTCTAACTTATCTAAGATTTTCTGCCAACAGAAAGCAGATGCATCAACATATTTTAGTTTTGTAGGATCTGCCTGTTGAAGTTATATTCCAACCAAATCTTATCATTTTTAGGCGAAATGCTGCTTTTCTAGGATAGGGTTTACATATTTATTCCGGGGAGAAGAAAGCCGATTTGATGGCTACGGTACATGTGGGCATGATATTCGATGAACCTTTGACCCCGAAGAAAATTTTCTTAAACTTTACCATTGCAAATTCTTGGTGCTTATTTTAGAGGTGGCTTCGCGAGTTGATGCTTATAATCTGGGACATATGTTTCACGTCATCATTTTGATTCAAAACATTCAACAACCTGTTTTTCAACAGTACCGATAGAGAAGTTTATTTGATGGCTTCATCATATGGCGAACCATGGCTTCTCATACAGTTATCAGTCCATGTCGGATATAAGAATAATTAGTCAGTTATTTGTTTTTGAAAGCATGAACTTGATAGCCGTAACCCACCAGCGGTTACGGGAACCACCTTATGGCGGCGTCGAGCAAATTATCTTGCACACAAGATTCAAACTTGGGAACCCACGCAGGGTATTCAGAGGTACAGTGGTGAGCGTATTACTAACGCTTAGCACGATGTGCCGTGAAATACATATTGGTAGAAATTTATTGATCAAAACTTGAGATTTTTATCTTGTTCGAGAATTCTTAAGGCTCTGGCCGGTACGACAAATGCGCAACTCACAGCCGAACAGGTTGTTTAAATGGGTTAGTCATGCATTTAAGCATTTGAAGGTGTGCAATGGTGAAGAATTCAACAACCTGTTAGATTAATACCGTTCAAGCTCATTTTATGTACAAAACTGAGAAAAGATGTCTAAGAAAAATACCTATTTAAAGTACCAAGCTCTAGACATTTTTGAGAAGTGTAGATAGGTGAGCGACAGCTGAGACGCTAAAAACCATATGGACATGAACACTCAGCAGCACACACTAACATTTTCTTTTTCAGAAAACCTTTTTAAATCAAGCCATGATAGTCTTATTATCATGCCTTTAATATTTTTCGCTTTGAATTGTTATATGTTTTAAATATCGGTGATGCAGCTGCGTTGCGAATTGTCTTCGGCTGAATAGGAAAATAGCATGTAGTGGTGGTCACGCTGTGCCAATTCTAAAACGGTGTCCACTTGGATCACAGTGTGCCACAGATGTTGATACTAAAAATTAACTTGTGGATGCGGTCTTTTTCTTATTATGCTGGGACGAGGCGGCACCTTCAGTAGCGAATATTACATCCTGTGTTCTCCAAATCCCCATAAACAACAGTCTACTTGACTAGATACAATCAAATGTATTATAACTTGAACAACATGTAACAGTCTCACAAGAATTGCAAAATCAGGTTTAACACAATAATAATCGCCAAACAGTTGGTGAGGTACGGAAAATCCGGTAATTAATTTTAGTGTCACATGGGTACAAACAAATGCAGTACCAATAAAATTTTGAACAGTAAGAAAGCTAATAATCGTTATACCCAAACACGAATCAATTACAAATATAAGTCCATGTTGGGAGAGCTACAACCAACTAAGAACTGCTAAGAGGGCAATTAGCCTAACGCGACAGTATGCGAAGAACGCAAGTGAGAACACGTGGTTCTAACCAAAAGTCAGAAGGTGACTAGTCTCTTGCAACATCTAGTGGATATAGACCCACGGGTATGTGTGCCAGTAATGCTCTTTCTGAATCCGGGTTCGGCAAACTTTTGTCGCTCGCGGGACAAAATTGAAGGTTGCAAGTTATTGGCTGGCCGCACATATTTTTAGAAAGTTAAAAACTGAGGGAATGGCCAATGAATCACATTTTTTTCACTGATTTCAATTAAATTTCAAGCAGCGCGCTAAGACTGATCATTTGAATATTTTCTGCGCCATTAAACCATTTGCACTCAGCATCAACTTTTTTACGTTCTGTTGTCATTTGTCTAATTATAATCAATTATAGGCTCATTAAACGAGTGATTGTAAATTATATACTTGTTAGGTTATAATATAATTCAGTCTACACGTGTATCACAATAAAATATGTTACGTAAAGTTATGATCGTCAAAACAGTTGTTTTGTTAATATAATCCAGTGAAGTCGTGGGCCGGATTATATTGCGAGCCGAATTGTATGAATCGAATAAATCATAAATAAATGATGATAAAATACTCCGGGTACAATTACAAAATTAAAGTTACGAAACATGAAAGATACAAATTGTGTGGCGATTGAATTCAAAATTCACCCACAGAGCCGAGTTTATTGGCAGCGGTGGAATTTTTCGTCTGTGTGTGTGCAGTTGTTTGCATATTCCGTACTCATTTATTTTACAGTATGACACGAGCTATTTTGTAGATTTTAGTCGATTGCGATTGAAAACAGGTTGACCATCCCTGTCATTTCTCATGTTTTTCGGAATAGTAAAACAGAAAGCTTAAAAAATATATATTTAATGCAGGATTCAATAGTGAAAACTAATTTTTGAAAAATTGCAGAAAAATATGTGACAAAATTTAAGAGAGATGTCAATCGTGATGCATACAGCAAAGCAAAGGGTTCTGTTACTGACTTGTACAAAGATCAACGGCTGGTTGAACCAGAGTTCGAAGCAAATCCCCGCATTCGAGAATTATCTCATTTCTTCAGTGGTGAAATGGCACCGAAGAAAAAAGAATATCGAAAGGAAGTTGGATTCAGTGTTTCAAAAGAGTTTGGCAGTGAAGGAAACTTGGTGGATTTGAAACAAATATTGCAAAGCCTCAACCCAAACAAACATCGGCACATAGCTATCGTTGGTCAGGCAGGAAGTGGTAAAACGACCTTTGTAGAACGGATGGTTCGCGATGTCGCTGAAAACAATAATCTATGTGGCGATCGTTCTTCTCTCGATCAAACAGAAAGGCGCTACGAAATCATCTACTTCGTCTTCATTCGAGACCTTCTTGATTCTGAGTCAATTAATGCGAAAGATTTACTGTTTGGAAACACCATCACAGATTTGAGTAAGGAAAGCCAACAATATGGATATGAGTGGATCATTGAAAATCAGGAAAAGGTCATTTTTTTCTTTGATGGATTGGATCAGGCGACTTGGTCTCTTGGCGGTCATCACCCCAAGATAAATCACATGGAAAAGGCCAGTACAGCAACGGTGATGTACAACGTTATCACTGGTCATCTTTTCCCAAGAGTTCAAAAAGTCATGTCCTCCCGCGAGCATTGCATAGCTCCTCTCACTGGCGACCTTCGACCCCAGCTAATCTACGCATTAATAGGTTTGAGCCCAGATGACGTCAAGAGTTTATTCATCGCACTCCTTGGTGATATCGGTCAACAGCAATGGGATCGGGTGTGTTCAACCTCTCCTGCAATTATCCCGCTGTCTTCAGTTCCAGTATTTTTAATATACAACGCCATTGTTCAGAAGTTCAACCCGGAAAATCCACCAGATACCATGACAGGAGTTATGTTGGAGATCCTTGATATTTTTCTGAAATCCCCTCATGTCAGAAATAAGCAGGTTCTGCACAAGCTGAAAGAAATGGCTTTTCGAGCAATGAGCGAAGGACGTGTCGTTTTTACAAAAGACGAATTAAAGAAGTTTGGAATAGATCCAGATTCGATTCAAGACTTGGTTATCGAAGTTCCAGGCCGCACAAGGACGAGTCATTGCTTGCTTGAAGGAACCCAACAAATATATTTCTCGCACCAAGTAATTGAAGAAAACTTTGCCGCCATGTTCGTATCAGAAATGGGAGTGAGAGAATTTGAAGAATTCGTGAACGAGTTCATTCATCAAGATCATTGGTCGGTTGTGCGCAAATTCTTGTGCGGAATTCTTCTCAACCCGGCTTTGGCAATAGATTGGCCTCCACAAATGCTTCAAAGTAAGATTTGTTGCATTTAACCATTAGTACAAAGCTGGATTTAGTCTCATATGAAACTAAGTTTCTAATTTGATGTAATAAGGCTCTTTTTAAGTTTCTAGCTTCCGTCTAGCCTCCGTTGCATGTCTCGCGTCACGCAATTTAACTTTTGGAAATATGTTTTGCTTAATATCCACCAAAATTTTCAAACCGCTCGTTCTCAAATCCTTCACATTTGCCCTCAAACTAGCGGCGCAAACTTCAAACATCACTTAAATGTAAGAGCAGTGCTTCTCAACCTTTTTTATATTGCGGCCAACTTTTACAAAGAGTGTTACTTTGCGACCCATCTTTTTAAGGGTTTTTTCAGAGGCTGAATAATTCAGGGTTGTCAGTTCGAAGTATTCGAATATATTTTTGCAAATTTTCGAACAATAGTCACTTTTCGTCGGCAGTAGCTGTTCCGTAATCGAGGGAAATTTCCAAACGATTTTCTGCATTTTTCACTTATTGTAATGACGATATAGTAGGTCGGGAGAAGTCGGACAGACTAATAAATTATTTTGAATAACTCTTTACAAAATGCCGCAGCTGCATTCGTTCTACGTGTCATTTATGCATCCCATCAGCTATCTTGCCACATTTGCATATCGTTGTCATAGCAATGAATCGGAATTTACGCGTAATTTTCAGCAAAAAATATTGGGGTAAGATGAACATTTTGCGGGCAAGACGGACATACATCAAGATAAACTTGATGGTGTCTCATAAGATCTCGGTCAACGCCTAGATGCCTTAAGATCAGATCTCTTAATATATTGTTTGAACAGAGCATTTTTCCTGCATTTTAACCAGTGTGTCCGTCTTGCCCCATAAAGGACATTTCGTGGCAATTTTCAAAAGAGTTTGGACAGCTTTAGAAAAAACAACATATTTTTTGCAATTTTTCAACTGCAGTTTTTAGTTACGTCTTATTTATACAAACCTCTAGAAATATTTATTTTGTAATTTCTTGGCAATGTCTGCGGGAAAAAATCTGAATGGGAATCACGCCGGACCCAACATTTAGGAGACCCAGTATAAATATGGCGATGATAGTGCTTTTAATATGTGTTGTAAAATGGTACTTGGTACCAAGAAATAATTATCAACAAGTCTCGATGACGACGGCCCATTGACATTTCCAACATGCTATATTGAAAAAAATCCTCCCCCTCCCCCACTCAAAATCCACCCCACTTCTTCATTGACCCTGTCTACCCAACAATGAATACCGGCAGTCTACTAAAGAATTTATCCAATCTCATGCATCCAATTTCAGCAAATAAACAAAATAAATCTGAGTTCTTAGACTTTTTCTGGCTAAAATTATTCTTCGCAACGTTGGGACTCAATTATTTGACGTTTTTCTGCCCCAGCAGAAACACCCCTTACTCAAAAAACCCCGCCATGTAAGCCGCCGATCCTGAAATGTAAATTCTTTGTTCTGTTGTTGTTCGCATGACGTCACTCTTCCACGCGAAGCTTTTTGGATGACGAAAAAACGCGAGATGTTGCTATTAAAAGGATTTTATTTTAACTGTCCATCATGCCCCGGGACTCCGACTTACCCCGACTTACTATATAACAGAATTGGCACCGTGATCGTATGTTACCTTCTGTGTGAGATGGCGCGCATAGGGTTGCTACACCTTTGCCACGGTTGCGTGGTGACCATTGTCGATATTCCCGGCAAGGCTACTTGCTTACGCATTGATTTCCAGTACGTCAAAAAATTGAAAATTACGTAAAGCCGTAATTGTTACGATACCCAAAAATAATTTACTTTTTTCGCAATTTTTGGCATATAATTTTGATAATGGTTTCAAAAAGTATCGAATTTTATTAGGATGATATTCTGTTTCATAAAATATTAAAATTTATAACCAATGCCAGCTTTAGAATACCGTACCATATTTTAATTTATTTTTTTCCAATGTAGCTATTGGTTGCGCCGACGTACGCAAAAAAGCTTACTTAAAATACCACGGCAGTCTGCAGACATGATATGTGTGGTAAACTGCTCGATTAAAATAATTTTTTTTTATTCTGTTTTCATACTTAAAAATAAAAACATTGCTATTCTCAAATACCACCATCGTATAAATGACATGGATGGTAACAGACGCATCCGATAGTTACGTGTGAGCGCCCGAATTGATGGAATCGACTGGGATTATTAGAAAGTATTGCTATTCTATTAAAAAGTTGAAATATTTCAAATCTTTCAACAAAATATATAGAAAAATACAAATTATTTGTCAACGAGTTCGCTTCCCATTATGACATGCTTGACGGTCAACCAGTCGGCCGCGGACCACGAAGCCCTGCGTAAGAGGATTTTAAGAGATTTGCAGTGTACTTGAGCTTTTCAGCTAAATTTATGATAGGCGGTATATTTTAAAATATAATTTATGGTATTTTTTGTTTTTGCGCCGCATTGTTTAAAAAACTATTGTCTGCCCAGTTGCCAAAATATAAAAAATGTCCTACAATACGTTTGTAATTGAATAACAAAATGCCGAACCTGGGAGATAGTGCTACTTGACGTCAATTTGCCTCATAAAAATAATAGTTTCGAACGAGACCAAATCCAGATTTGTACGAAAAGAACATGCATTTTAAACATATTGGAAGTATTAAATAATGGTATTTGAAATTCCCGATATTTTACAATTTACGGAGAAAAACTTCTGAATATTAAAATTTAACAAATTTATATTTGGTTTAATGTACCGGTTATATTAATACTTTGAATTCTTGACAGTGCATACTTATTCAACATTCATTTTTTCTCAATAAATCTCAATTCAAACTTATGGTTGTATTGTGTCAGTCAAGGGGTGGCAAGACATTCTAATGCCTGTTTTATAGTTAAAGATAAGGAAGCAAAAGAAGAAATACTGAGACGTAGCATGAATGAACAACTGAAGGAAACATACGATTCAACCGCTTTGATGGAATTGTTCGGAGCTTTGTACGAGTCGAATGACGATGAATTGATTCAATCCCACGTTCATGATATCGATTTCGAGAAAGCAACAATCAACCCCAGTGGAATGCTGGCAATATCCTCAGTTATGCGTCGAAGTGGAAATCTAAATCTTCTGCGTTTCTCCAAATGCAATCTCACCACAGAGCTATTTGATATCATGATGTCAAATCTGAAGGATTCTCAGCTCAAGGTTTGTTTATTTCAATCTTCGTGATGATTTATCAACACCGCGTTATTCTCCATTGTTGCAATTATCAATGGCCGATATTACCTTGTTTGGCTCACTCTTGCCTTTATACTTACGCAGTTCACACTTTTTGTTTGTTTCATTTACTTCTAATTGTAGAGAGTTGCATAGGATATCTTTAACTGGAATCGTCACCACTTGTTATAATTGTTCACCCAGGGGTGCACAACCTGCACCCGTCGAAGGTAATATGGGCGACTGTGCTGGTGTGTGTGTTACTGTCAAATAATTTATGTTTTATGTTGGCGCTTTACTTTTACGGGAAACCATAGAAGTACTTGTGTCTGTAATGAAAATAATTGATCAATATCATAAATAAATAACAGTTGTAAATATTTTTTTTATATTGTTAAGCGGGATTTCGTCATTCCATATGAAATTAGATTTTTTTTCGGCGTTTATGTAAAGAAGTTACTATTTGAGACCCTGCTCGCGATGAAGCCACTTGTTAAAAAAGCTATCTTTTTCAGCGAAAAATGATTTTTTTTTGGTTGCTAAAATTATTTAATCGATGACCAATACGAGAATTTAAAATAAATTTTTATATTGATTTACTTGTGTTCGACCTAATTCGCAATTGGGTCGACCTACAACAAAACAACATCGATATTGTGATATGGCTTCCAGCACCGAAATTCAATTGTTAAATTTTGGCTATTTCACAAAGTAAAGCCAGCAAAGTAAAAATTCGTTGCGCTCTCAACGACCTTTAAATTATCTGATTCGATAAAAATACTAACCAATAAGCGCTTTTATTTCTTAGATTTGTTTAAATTTTACCATTTAATGAACGTTTCAGACGCAAGTCAATAACAGATACCAATTCTATAATTAATAATAGCTCATAAATAATCTCGGTCTCACTGGCGGCCGTACACCTTTTACGAAAACGTAATGTTGTCGTCGTCTAACGAAAAAAGTTTGTGCATCCCTGGTTCACGCCCTATTTTTATTTTCATAAAGAGTTTTATTCAGACACCTCATCAATTAATATTGCAATCGAATTAATACCGATGCTAGGACAACTCACCACTAGATGGCGCACCATAAAATATATGGAACTGATGCAAATAAGTTGGATTCGTTTTGAATCCATCACATGGCATCGATGCATTTTTATAACAGCTTGATAAAACTATTTTAGTCTGTGATTTGCAAACCTGCGAAGTAGCTGTTTGACAATGATTGCTGGTGTTGAAGTTTTATTTTTATTATCCTGCTGTCTACGATCATCGAATTATGGAAATAATTTCAATTGAAACTGCAAATCCTTTGAAAAAATAGAAAATATTATTATTGAAATCGATTGTTTCATCCCGTAGCGAGGAGTCATATCAAACATTTTATTTAGCAGCACTGAACTGAAAATTGCCGTAATGTATACATAGGTCAAGAAGTTTGTCCTGGGCAACAGATTCAATGCTGAATTATTTGCTTCTGTTACAAAATTCACGGAATCTTACGTTGATGAAATGGTGTTGGAGGATTGCAGCGGGAAGGATGAAGTTGGAATCATCAGTAGAAGCGTTATTTCTAAGAAAGTGAGTTGAAGTTACAAGATACTTTGTCTAATAGCGTTTTCAGAATTGAAACAAGTTTGACTTGTTTGGCAAAACCTACCAGTTCTTGCAATGATATTTCTATACTTTAAAATAAAACTAATTGACATATTAGTTGAACTGATAACTAATTTGCATGACGTTTTATCTTTTATTGTTGGTCTTGTGGTTGAGGTAATAACACCCAATTAAAGTAGAGATGAAAGCATAAGAAGCAGTTGAGTCTTGGTCTTTGCAAGCCTTTGAATATGCGATTTGTAAACCTTATCAATAAATATTGGGCATAATATATATAACAGTAGTAAAAACAATAGAGTATAGGCAAAGTCTGGGAGGTAGATCCAATTGATTTGATTGAACTCTTTGTAAGGCGTTTCCTGCATTTATGCTTCGTATAAAATGACTAATATGATAATAAGATATGATAAGAAATTAAGGTTTCCGATCCAGCATTGATTACGCAATTTATCACACATGACAAGGCGTGGACAGAAATTTTTCAATCGGGGGTTCTGAAATCTGTAATTCGCCACCTCAGACAAACGCAGCGCAACGAAACGCAGTCCACCGCAGACGAATAAAATAAAACAAACCAAAAAAATACGCTGTGGTGAGTTCGCACACTGTCGTGTATACCGGCCTTTACAGCTAGGTGGTCTGGCCGGCAGTCGGAAAACGCGGGTTTCCATGAGAATTGTTGTTTTAAAAATGTGTTCCAAGCTACGAAAAAATGCTATGTGTAATACAGAAGAATATTTTTAGAAATCAAACTGAATATGTCAAGATTCACCATAACAAGGTCTACAAATAAAAATTGCGAACTGAATAAATCGCCTTATTCGGTCGCAATCACGTCACTTCTACTTTAGACCACAAGCGGCGTTTCGCGAATACCGGTACGGCATCCGTAAGACAGATTGGCGTTAGAAACAGCATAGCATGCAGCGGTGCCTTTTGAAAATGAGTTACAAACAGAAATCGAGAGCTTCATATTTTACAAGATCAGGAGGGATCGATGACCAAGGACAGAAACCTACTTTCATAGTGAAATACGATCTTTCAAGATTCGTTGACGAGCCGAAGTCTAAGAAGTGGATCGCCCTTCCGTTGATTAAATGAAGTACGATTATTTGACTAACCATTGCATTCCAGAAAAAGTTATTCTTGCGTTTATGCAGAGGAAAGCTCGACGTTTATAGATTATATATATGGTTTTGGTTCACAGCGTTTTATTCGTTTTCTATAATTCTTGTACGCACTATACCACGCATGTTATGCAATGCAAATAAACTTCGGCTTCGATATTTATTGGTTGGTTCGAGGCAGCTTCATATCAGCTCGGAGACGGGGCCATAAAGTTTGGCAAGTCGCACCTATTAGTCGTCAAACCCCCCTGGCTACGCCACTGACGCATGAATGAGGTGAATAGCTTGGGGTTTGAACCTCAGATACTTACCTGCACCGTAAACATAATCAATGTACAACAACTAGCTCTCAAAATTGTGTTTTTGCTGATGTTGCGGTTCCCATGGGAAATATTTAAAACATTTTCGTTTCTTTTGATTGAATTTTTCAAGCCCATTTCTTGTGACTGCTCTTTCAAATCAATAATTAAATATACAAAGTTTCTGATTTGTTAGTTTCGAACATTTCACACTTTCCACTTGATTTTACTCGGGTTATCACAGTAAATGCTGAATAAACTTGATCTATCTTTATCCAGGTGCTTATCAACAAGATAGATTTGTCGTTTAAAATGTCAGAACAACTCAGCATTGAAACTGGAATCGTTTGTTCCAAGTATAATGTTGAATGTCTGAAACTGTGGCAAGTTGACTTGAGAGAGATTCATCTTCGTAATTTCTTGAAACATGTTGGGAATGGTAAAGTAAGTGATTAACATGTAAAAATATATAGAAGAAACAAATGATTTGATTAATATAAAATTAGACCAAAACAGAACGATTTGGTTTATTCTGAATTGAACATCATATAGGCTGCAAGTCACTATTTACCTTATGTAGAACCATGCTTCTCAAACTTTATGTTCCTGTGAACCCTTCATGCTTCTCTGAAGTAACTGCAGCCCCCACAATTTTCAAACCGACAAACACAATAGGAGAACATAGCATAGAGCTATTAGGGACAACATTTAAATTAGTTGCCACTCCTCACGTACGCAAATAGCAGATTTATCTCATGTGAACAAGCGTAGAAAATCCATGACCGCATGAGTAAGTGGAGACGAAGGGGAAAATGATTTTAAATGCAGTGGGGTTATGCTCACAACTGCTTGTTTGTGTGCGATATATTCATGAATATGATATCAAAACTAAATTTTCGTTTTTCCCCTCTTTTTTAAACTACTGCAAAAAATGCGGATGTAAGGAAAAAATTTCAACATTTTTTTTTATACGGAAGGCCTAAATGGGGATAAGTCTTTGTCGTATTTTTGCTGTCCAGCCATCTTGCTGCTAATAAAATGAATATGAAACTTTCATAGAGCAGTGGTTCATTTTTATCTGCGATCCCAATTTTCGTAAAATCGAAGATTACAGATACTCACGACCCTACAACGAGAAAAATTATAAAATCAATATCTTCTATTCTAAACATTCTATTTAATCAATGGGAACAATGTGCCTGTATATCGACTGTAAGTTTGGTTGCGCTGTTGTAGGTAACTGTTTATTTAGTTCAGTGGTTCCCATCCTTTTTACTTAGACAAGCAAAATCAATAAAAATGAGCTCGCGGTAATAAAATATTGCAATGAATAAAAAAAAATTACACTGTGTCTGCGATTTGGCACAGACTCGAACAAAGAATCGCAAAACACCAAAAACAGTTTGAGGTTCAAACAACAAACGGTCGATTTGGGGTAAAATATTACCTTCGCATTCACGTGGGCAGTGAACGTTGGCTGAAAAGTTAAAAATTATTGAACACGTCTGACGATGCTCCGGTGAAACGGGAAACTCTCAGAAGATTTGAGTTTTTTAGCAAAACAAAGACAGCCTTGATAGAACGTGGTAGGCTGTGAGAAAGCGTACGATACTCAGAGAAATGGAAAGATGCTTCTGAATATGGATGAATTTGAAATCTTATTCTGTATATTTCAACATTGTTTTTTTGTTTATTCCAATGTTATAATGTTGCAGATTGCTCCATAATTAATTTGAAATCAAAACAGAATATGAAAGTAAAATAGGTAGAAACGTGTTCGGGGTTTCATCTTATGGAGTGCCTTTATTTTGTTTGATTTGTTGACGATTCGTTTTTGACTGCCTGGAGGCCTTTGAAATGATGTATAAAATGCAACACGCTCCTTATTTTTGATTTAGGAATGTTAATTAGATATTTAAATACAATCATATTGCAACACTAAAATGTTTCACTTCTATACGGTGATGATATGGACAAAAACACGTACGCGTATATTTTCATACACGCGCGAGAATTAACAATGCGCTTTCGCGACGGCATTCTGGCTCGGCAGAGATCATCAACTCTATTGGGTGAGATGGTGGACATGAGGTTTTAACACAAAGTCTTAAGCGCGCAACGACAATACGATCGCCATCGCGCCTCTCATGTTGCCTGGATTCGATAAATTTCATAATAATCATATTTTAGTGGATGCAATGGTCTAGCTCAGCGGTTCCCAAAGCGGTCGAAAACGTCTTCTTGTGGGCGTTTGCGATAACTGGAAGAGCGCCTATGTCGATTTGGGCAATTGGGGGGCGCTAGCTGTTAAACTGAGCGATTGGGGGGCGCTGACAACATTTCGGGCAATCACAAGAAATGTGGTATTATCTCTCATTAAAACTTACTCTTATGTTTTGGTTCAACCTAGTTAGCTTGTGATTTCATAGTTGGAAATTTTTCGCTTGAAACAGCCGGAACGCTCATATGGGTTTACTTTACTATAGTTTTTAAATTTTGGTACTTATAGGGTCAATATCGCTTTTAGCTGTTTATCGACGTAATGCCCTGATATGAGAGAAGCGATAAAACCTTCCAGCCGTGACGCAAAGTGCGAATCGTATAAATAGCCTGGATTTCAAAATCACCTGTCAGACGTCTAAAAATGTGACTCAGCTCAGACAGGAAATACTCCTTTATAACGATTTATTATTGTTTTAGTATGTATTTTCAGTCATACTAACTATCCCTGACCATCCCTGGCGCTGTGTTGTTTTGATAAATATGATTTCGACTGCTCCATAGTTGGCAGAGGTATGGGGATTTTTTGTATGTAAAAAAAACGTAAAACTAATGGTAATTTTAACGCGTAAATGCGCGTATGGGATTGTTTACGCCGTTCTACGCGCATTTCCGTCGAAAAAATTTAATTTTTTTGCATTGGGGGTGGTATAGTACTGAAATAGGATTCACGAGAAGATTTATGTTGTCCGGTTTCCCAAAGTTTCGATTCAAATGTCTCCTATTCCATTGTCTAAGCAGCGTTATATGTGGTTGTTTGGGTACAACACCCTTATTTTATAATTTTGCTAATGCTGGGAGCAACACGTGAGAGCTGGACCATCTGATTGAAATGACGTACGCCAGATCCTACCATCTCCACGTTGCGACTTAACTGGTTCATTTTTCATTCTTGGGTCATTGAATAACAAGGCTACATAAATAATACACAAGGCCTTACCTTGGAGGGGCTGTGCCCCGTTAAACATTTTGTTGTTATTTAAATGACCTAACAGCAGAAAGTAGGCTTCAACAGAAACTAAGTGAGTGATAGACAATTTTGCGAAACGGGTGCAAATCTGTCTCTAACGCCAAGGAGGTATTTTGCAACATATTCTAGAGACAACATTACTTTTGTACAAAGTGTTTTAAATTCCTGAAACTTCTGTGTATAATCAATCACACACAAACAGAATGTTGGGCGCAAATAAAATTAAATAGTTTTTTTTTTCGTGGGAATAATTAAAAAAATTTTGGTTTTCTTTTTTTGGGTAACCTAGAATTTCCACTGAACCACTACCGTTGGTACTATGCTTTCAAAGCGTTATTCAGTGTGTCGGTGTTCCATGTTTCTGGCTACAGAATCAAATTGATATATCCTTACGTGTGGGATCGGGTTAAAAGTTTTTTATTGCTTTTGTCAGCTCATACTTGGTAGAGCGTGCGTTTAGTGCCGTGACCGCGCGTCTGGATATCAAAAGATATCCCCTCGATCATGTCAGGCGAGGAGACTCAAGATGTTTCTGACTAAAATAAAGCCAGACATTAATAAGCTGGTGGCATCTCACGAGGTTCGCCTCAAACCTCACATTATTCTAATGATAAATGAAAATAAAGTTGTTTCGTTTATTTTTGTCATGAGGGCGTTTGGTAGTCGAAAAGTTGACCAAGGGCCTAATGCCTGGTTTATACTTATGAATAACACTAAAGGTAACTGGCATTTCATGGTTAATTGAACTCAATACATAGAAATGATATAACTGTCAACGCATTCAGCTTTCATATTAGGTATTCTCATCTATGGGCCAAGCATATTGCAGTCACTTAAATTTCATGAGCGTTTCATGCATTGGCACCGAACAAGTCGCTAGACATGGTTTAGCGCATGATTGCCACCAGGTATGCTCATGTCAAAGATAAATAAAGCACAACCGGTGTATAGCAAATTGATATAATGTGCGGACGTTTCGAATTTCTATTAAGAAAAACTTCATCAGGGCATGATATGAAGAGTACACTATCGTAAATATATATAGTAGAAAGAAAAAAAAGATAGTAAAAATTAAACGGCGTGAAAAACTGAAACAAAGGGACAAAAGTTAGTTTCAAACCCCAAAACACAATTGGCCAACTACTTTCTAATGTCAAAGACCGCCCATGCCCCAACAAGAAAAACGGCGTGGTATATGCAATCCCATGCGCTGATTGTTGATCTATTTACATTGGAGAAACGAAACGAAGTCTAGAAACTAGAAGAAAAGAAGATCAGCGTGATGTAGAACAAAAAAAATTTGAAAAATCGGCCCTTTCGAAACATGCCCTTTCTACTGATCACAACATTGATTGGGATAACAGCAGGATATTGGAACATGAAATTCACTACAGAAAAAGACTATTTCTCGAATCTTATCATATCAACAAAGAGAAAAATTCAATGAACGATAAAGATACTACATTGTTCCCGCATGTATATAAATCATTGTTTAGATAGTCCCGTAATTGTTTGAACTTGCGCTTATTCACCCGGATCTATTATCATATTGTCCCTTTTTTTCAGTTTTTCACGCCGTTTAATTTTTACTATCTTTTTTTTTCTACTCTATATATATATGATAGTGTACTCTTCATATCATGCCCTGATGAAGTTTTTCTGAATAGAAATTCGAAACGTCGGCAAATTATATCGTTTTGCTATACACCGGTTGTGCTTTATTTATCTTAGACATGGTTTAGGTTAAAAATGTATGACCACTAGGTTGCAAGTCACTATTTGTATTTTAAATTATCTCATCCTTAATGAAATACATGAAATTCGGGGAAGTCATACTAAATTACTGATTACATAGGAAATCGTTCTGCTCCATATGCCACATTAGGTGATTTCATTAATTGAATGCCTGTGTAGAATGTACTATGTTGAGCTTTATTTCAATGTTATAATCATCAATGTTATTATTCATTCAGTTGAAGGAACTCGATGTCAGCGACAATTACAATCTTGGTGTTGCTGGGATGGCAGTCACAGGTATTATTGTGTCACAATGTGAAGTAGAGAAGGTTGGAATGCAAGGATGCAATCTGACAGCGGAAGCAATGAAAGCATTCAAAGAAAATGTTCGGGATGCAAAGGTACAAATATTTTAAAAATGAAACATTGGTTATTCAGAGATTAGTGTAACGTATCAAGCTAGGACCATATATAACTGATGGTATTAGATCTAGTGTGACTATGCTACTATGTAATTTATATTGAGTAACAAAAATCAAAACTGCATTGAGTTAATATTAAGGTATAAAATATTGTTCAGGGTCATATCGTTCATATTGTTTCAATACCATCACTCCGAACAAGGCTCAAAACAAGCAGGCAATAGAAAAGGAAAAAGTCTTTGTTACATTCAATCGCTTTCAAACTAAAACAATTAGAAATGTTTTGAATTTTATATGAGTGAGGTTGCACGTCATTATTTACATTGTTAAGCTTCTCATCATTAATAAAATGCATGGAATTCGGGAAATTCAGACTAAACTGCTGGTTACATTAGATATCGTTCTGCTCTATATGCCACATTATTTGATGCCAACAATCTAATGCTCGTGTAGATTGTAAAATGTTGAGCATTATTTCAACTTTTTATCCATTTTTTAAATAATAACTTGGTAAGCAATGTCGAACCAGAAAGATTTCGGTCCTTCCTAAATATAATAATACCTTGCATAACAGTAGCTGCTTGTACAGAGCCTTGTTAGGAGTGGAGGTTGTAATACGCCGTAGAAAAATATTCAGTAATGCAATGTTATAAATGATTGGTTTATACTTTAATAAAATTAAAGTTAACTGGCATTTCATGGTTAATTGAACTCAAAACCTAGAAATGATGGAACTATCTGTTGTGTTCTTAAACCACTTTTGTCTGCAAGAAATACACAAGTATAGACGTTGTAGCAACATCCTTTATTGACCAACTCAAACCATCGACTGGCCGGAGACTCCGGCCAAGGACAAAACGTGATGAGTAGTCATGCGATTTATGACGTAATAAATACACCACATCACCTCCTTCCTTAAAACAAGGATTGTTAGTAGCAAGATTTAACGCTGACAGACAAATACTAATGATGTAGTTAGTAACCAGAGTTTTACATTAAAAACAACTTAAAAATGAAATCTATCTGGTCTCCTTCTCCGCCGAAGTGGGTAACGTCGTTCAATATCTGTAGTCGACTTTGGTGTCTGATTCTGAGATTCGTCAGTTACCAATGTCCGACCAATGGGAGAGTTTGGTGGCGGTGATTCGATGTTTGAAGACGGCACTGGACTTTTGGATACTACACTATCGGTTTCATCTGGTTCCACAATCGTAGTCTCGTCATGTTCAAAATAATCACCTTCAGATTCAACCAGTTGCTCTTCATATCTATGTTCTTGCTTGATCTTCAAGTCAGATTTAATAATCTGGTTGATATGCCTCTTCCAACTAACATTAGGAGCGACACTGACAAGATAAGTCGGTGGCCCTATTATTTTTGTTATTACACCACGTTTCCATTTCGAGTTTCCATGGTAATCTCTAACGAGGACTGATTCACCAACGCTAAATGATCTAAATGAGTTTTGCTACACTTCGTCCGCACTGTATATTGTTTTTCTTCAACACGATTACGAATGTTAGGTTAGATTAAGTCCAAAATAGTATGAAGACGTCGTTTACAGAATAATACAGACGGTACCTCACCAGTCGTGCAATGGGGAGTATTTCGATACCCCAGCAAAAAATCATCCAAATGTAAGTCGAATTTGTTAACATCGTTAACTGAGCGCATAGCGCGCTTGAACGTTTGTACAAATCGTTCGGCCGCATCGTAAGATGCCGGATGATAAGGTGCAGATTTCTTATGCTAGATACCATTTGCTTTCAAAAAGTGTGCAAATTCATGTGAACAAAACTGAGGCCCATTGTCGCTCACAAGATATTCCGGTAAACCATATCTAGCAAAAAGACTTCTTATGACACGGATAGTGCTATTGGCGTTAGTTGACGACATTTTAATAATATCCGGCCATTTTAAATAGGCATCTACTACTATTAAAAAAAAAACGCCCCTTTGAATGGCCCGGCAAAATCTACGTGGACTCGGATCCATGGTGCTTGGCGCCACTCCCAGTGATGTAGAGGAGCTTTCGAAGGTTCATTTTGCTGCATTTGGCAGCCATTGCATTTTTAACCATATTTTCTATGTCTTTGTCTAACCCTGTCCACCAGAAATAACTTCGAGCCAAAGATTTCAATTTCACAATTCCAACATGACCATCATGCAATTCTTTTAACAAACGTGATCTCAGAGAATTTGGTATTATTACTCTTGAACACCACATCAAACAACCATCATGTACCGTCATTTCATTCACGTTTATGAAAATAGTAGGGCTTGATACTGGGTTTATGTGACTGGGACAACGATCACCTTTTCAGCACATAGTCATATACTTCCATTAAATCAGAGTCACAACAAGTTTTATTTCTAACCTGTTTACACTAGAGTAAATTTCCTCCCACATACGTAACAATAGAACTTTTTGATCGCCCAAATAATTGCAAGAGCCTCATAAAATTGTGAAGAACTGTGCATGCTTTTACAATCTAGTCTGCTGTGATTGGCGATACACATATAGGCCTGCGAAAAATTCTAAACCTATATACCATTATGCCAAAGGCATTCTCCACAACCCTGCGAGCTCTCGATAGGCGATAGTTAAAAATACGGGACATTCTTGATAGTCCGGTACCTGGGAAAGGGCGCATCAAATTGGTTTTTGAGGAAAAAGCCTCATCGCTCAGAAAAACGGCTCTTCCAACATGGTGCTTTTTGGCAAGTCTAATGAACCACCCACAAGTTTTTTTCTAAAAGATGATGATGCAAAAACATTTCCATCACTTTGACGTCCATAATCACCAATATCTACATATATGAACCTATATTTTGCATCTGAAAATGCAAGCAGTACCAGGCTGAATTTTTTTTATAATTGAAAAAACTTGAACCAGTGTTTGCAGGAGCTTGTATCAGAACATGCTTTCCATCAATGCTTCCAACACAGTTTGGAAACTGCCACAATTGTTGAAAATCGTTTGCAATAATTTTCCACTGATTTTTATTTGGGACTGCCATGAACATGGGAATCCCATATCGCAGCGCAGGTTTCTGGAACAATTCTGGATATGGTTGTTTTGTGAATCCTGTAAGAGAACCCGATGTTCTGATATGAGTCCCCCGTCACCAAATATCTGAACAATATATAATGTTGTATTTAGCGAAAAACTACAATTTTTCCTTTTTATTTCACTAATACCATGCGTTAAAATACCTTAAAGTAACTGCAAGTCGTTCTTCAGGTGGAATAGGTTCACGCATGTTTGTGGTTTGTTTCACAATCCTGCTTTTTATCAAATTCTAAAGACGATCAAATGTAGATGGTATCATGTGGAAATACTGTTTAAAATAGCCCTCCCTTTCCATTCTCATCTCCTTAATCAATCAGTAGTATTCTCCTGAAAATAAAGCCAAAGAGGTGAGTATAGGCTGCGTGTGACATATGCATCTATTGTCATGTAAAATATTACGGCACCGTGCTCCTTTCATCTGCAAAGTATTGGGTGCATCCACAATTTCTTGCAGACATAGTGCACATCCTGTTTAAATTTAAAGAAAAGAAACTAGAACAATAATTTCAACTGATGTCGGTACAAGTACTGCTTGTAGCGCCGTGACCGAAAATGACCTATTTTTCTTCGCAATACAATCCCCATTTTAAAAACAATCGTGCAGTGATCATCCAATAATATCCAAAACAGAATATTACAACACACGGTAGAGGAGGCTAACGTTCACCACGTGACGTCGGTCACAGTACACTGGGCAGGATTGTGATTCTGGGCACACTGCACAGTGCGGTGAGTCGCTGTATGGTGAGTTATACTGCTGTCGTGTATACCGGCCTTTAGTGTCTTCCCACTGATAATCGGAAAAAGCCAAATTGCACCATTTTCGTTTCTAAGTACGTTATTTATGCGTAAATTACCAACCTCTATAGACGACGAATTCCCCAAGTTAGGACTATCACTGCTGTCGTTCTCCATAACATTTGCACTTCGTGGTTTATCATTATCGCGTCGGTCATTCCACGTCTTTTCTCTGGACACCACTGGCTTACGTCGTGTGCAAACCTGTTGAATATGACCTCTGCGGCCGCAGTTAAGACACTGGAAGGTTTTATAACGGCAATTTTTGAAATCGTGTGCAGTTTTACCACCGTGCTTACATTTTAAGTTATTAAACCGTTGCTTTCTAGAAAAATACTGCTCCTTCACCATTGGCATAACACTGCCACTTGATATTTCGGCCACATCCATGTTGGCCAATTCCATTGACGTTGCAATTTGAAATGCCCTTCGAAGATCTAATTTTTCCTCATCTTTTGCCATTAACCTTTTTCTAGTAGCCTCGTCGAGTATACCAAAAATTAGGCGATCGCGAATGAAATCATCCCTCAATGGACCGAATTTACACCCTTCAGACAATTTTCTTAGCTCTGCTGCATATTCACGAACCCCTTCAGAAAACTTTTGATCTCTTCTGTGAAATGTGAACCTTTCCACAAAAACGGAACGTTTTGGTTTTGAATGATCTTGCAAGGTTTTCTTCATAACATCATATGTTTTGGAACTAGGTAAGTCGGGTGCCAAAATATTGTGTAGTATTTGGTAGGTTTTAGTACGCAAGTTTGCAATTAACGTTGGTACTTTTCTCTCATAGGCAATATCATTAGCAATCGCTGTAAATTTATTGTTTTATATACACCGTGTTTCGTTAACCACCCAAAGGTAAAAAAAAGGTTAATGCACTCACATGGTGTGTTACCAAACATTTTCTCCACTAAACTCAGTGGAAAAGCATGAACGCGTCATGTCACGTGATATCGAGGTGATTGTGACGATGTGACGTCCTAGGTAGGACTCGCAATATAAGTTACAGATAACGTTATATTTCTGTATTTATATAGTATCTAGTCCTGGGCACTTAAACGTTAGCAAACAAAGCTTTTCTTGACTGCCAACGGTATATGACCGAAAATTTCTAAGGATATGTAATCTACAACACAGATCCAGAGTCCCAAACGCAATCTGAATCCACATGAACACTGTAATAGTAAAAGTGGATTGACTGATCGATGTTTTAATTATGGCTAGATTACGGTAGTCTGCCGGTACTATAATTTCGCGTTCGTTTATCAGAATCAACTTAATAATTCGAAATCTTACCTGTACCAGCAAGCTTGAACCTCTCCGCAGGATGTTAGTATTCCCCATATTGTAGATTGAGACAAGTTCAACACAAACTGTGCCCGCCCACTTATTCTGTCTCTTGAAAATTTGAGTTGAATATCCCACACAGTCTGTTATGCACAGAGTTTCATCGAGGCCTCGGCAGAATGATAAGTCAACTCAGCGCGCATAAAAAATTTCGAAGCGATTTCAGCCAATAGCGTTCAGCCTTATCTAATCTTCACATTCACCTCGATATCACGTGACATGACGCGTTCATGCTTTTCCACTGAGTTTATTAGAGAAAATGTTTGGTCACACACCATGTGAGTGCATTAATCTTTTCTCATCTTTGGGTGGTTAACGAAACACGGTGTATATAAAACAATACAACGAAATAAGGTAAAAAAATTATCACCCCACAAGAATGGATGAGGTGGAAATGACAAAAATCCTATTTTTTCTGTTTACAGTGTATAATCTCAAGGTTTCATTCTGTAAAACTTCTCACACACTGGGTTACGTGACATGTAAGGGGTTTGAACCCGGGACTCGAATAAAGTCAATACTACCGACCTAACCACTACGACTACACCGTTGCGCTCACTGAACTTGATGAGTATTCAGTGTAATTCCCTACTGATATGGCCCAAGTATGGCACATGGATATATCTCATGCCTATTATAATCGTCAATGTTTTTATTCATTCAGTTCAAGGAACTCGATGTCAGCTACAATAGAAATCTTGGTGTTGGCGGAATGGAGGCCACAGGTATTATTGTGTCACAATGTGAAGTAGAGAAGGTTGGAATGCGGGACTGCAATCTGACAGCGGAAGCAATGAAAGCATTCAAGGAAAATGTTCGGGATGCAAAGGTAAAAATATTTTAAAATGAAACATTAGTTATTCAGAGATAAGTGTAACGATTCAAGCTAGGACCATATATAACTGATGGTATTGGATCTAGCATGACTATGCTAATACGTAATTTATATTTAGTGACAAAAATCAAACTGCATTGAGTTATTATTAATGTATAAGATATTATTAGGGATTATATAGTTTCAATACAATCACTCCGAATAAGGCTCAAAACGTTTTTTAACCAAAACAGTTTTTTTTTTTCTTCAAATTGTATAGCAATTAGGATGCAAGTCATTATTTAGATTGGTGTAAGAAGTTTTGGATAAAATTAATAAAATACATGAATTTTGGGAAATCCAGACTGAACTGCTGGTTACATTAGATATATTGTTCCGCTCTATATGCCACAATTAAATGCCTGTGTAGATTGTATTTAAATGAGTATAATTTTTCTTTATTTTAATGAAATAAATAGGTCTCGTCACCTCGTCACCTTCAATATCCCAATGTACTTCCAACAATATGTCTTAATCCTGGCACAAGCAGTCAGTGACTCTTAAAAAGCTAATATATTTAACACGGTTCATTCTCTTTCGGCAGAGATTACCGAATCAATTTCATCTCGGGTGAAATGCTGAACTATGTCGGCATCGCCAGTTCATAAAATTTCCATTCAAATCTCATGTTCAATGTCGCAAGCCTCCATTCTCACCCGGGTGTAATAACTTGGTAAGCAATGTCGAACCAGAAAGATTTCGGTTCTTCCTAAATATAGTAATATCTTTCATAACAGTAGCTGCTTGTACAGTGCCTTGTTAGGAGTGGGGGTTGTAATACGCCGTAGAAAAATATTGAG